TGGACACAGCCATGGCAGTGCTTGTCTAGGGTCAGGAGATCCCTAAACCCAGCATATGAAACTGGAGCAAGTGTAAAGCTGCTCAGAGGGACTCAGTGTTGCCCTTGGCCTTCCCGGGAGCACACTCAGTCCTCTCTCACTTCACGGCCACAGCCGTAGTCCCCACCTGCCACCGTCATCATCACCATCACCCTGCAGTCACAGCTGGGTCCTGCACTTTGAAGAGTGAAAACCTTTTTGCCCAAATGACCACCAGAAACATGGCCTGTGAACTACTAGCAGGGGCCCTGCTGCCGCCTTTCTTTCTTTCTTTTTTTTTTTTTTTTTTTTTTTGTCTTTTTATCGGTACCAGGGATCGAACTCACGACTGCCTGCTCACAAGCAGGCGCTTATGCCGCTGAGCTAGATCCCCAGCCCCATGCCGCCTTTCTCTTTAAGGAGCTACTGTCCCTTAGATTTGATCGTGGATTTCAGGTGAAGAAGTGTTGCTTTTCAAGCTTCTCTGTTTATCTCAGTGGGTTTTCAGAGCGCTTTGTATTTAGTAGGTATAACTTAACTTTAAAACCTCAGTATCTGAAGTTTGATTTTCAAAGGTTGGGAGGAGATACCATAAAACTAAACCAAATCAGCCCACTTGGCCTAGTTCAGTTAACAAGCTATTCTGTTTGAGATCTTTTTTATTAGTGCGTATCAGTTATACAGATTACAGGTTTTATTTTGGCATGTAACACACTTCACTCATTTTCATCAGTTCATCAGCCCATCAGCCAGTCCACTTCTCCCTATCACACTTGGGGTGTCCAGTGAGGCTAGAGGATGACAGTCCTCCCTCCCTCCCTCCCTTGCCCTGTCCTTTCTACTTTCTGCTTGTCTGTTTTAGATTCCTCATGTAGGGGTATAAGCCATTAGTTCAATTTTTGGAATCATTGATCTCCACGTCTGTTTCCTACAAATGGCAGTTTTATTCTTTCTGGCTGGAGACTATTCCGTTGTAATTACATACCCCATTATAATCAGCTATTTTTAATAGACTGTCAGCTTCCAGGGCTGAATGCCAAGAAAATGTTAACAAGTTTAAAAGATCAGCCAGGTGTGGTGGCACACATGTGTAATCCCAGCACTTGGGAAGCTAAGGCCATGAATTCAAGGCCAGCCTGGGCTACCTAGTGAGTTCAAGGCTGGTCTGGTGAGATGGCCTCAAAAAAAAAAAGTTCAGAATATACCCTATTTGTAGAGAAGTAAAGTTACTGAAAGACTAAAGAAATTAATTTTTTCATAGCTTATGTTTTAATATCTTCATGTTTGGACCATCAACTTCTGTTTCACAGAGCACAAAATAGAATGATAATAGATTATTCCCACTTTTATAAGTAGATTCTATTAATATTAACTGCTATGTAAAAATCTACAAAAATTCATACTTATTGGGGATTGAACCCAGGTCTTTGCACTGAACCAAATCCCTTACCCATTTTTATTTTGAGACAGGGTCTCAGTGAACTGCCCAGGCTGAGATCCAAGTCATGATTCTCCTGTCTCAGCCTCCCAGAGTGCTGGGAGTGAAGCACAAGGTTGGAGGCACTGCATAACTCAGTGACAGGTGGGGTATTCCTCATCAGAAACGCTTGGCCTGCGGTGTTTCCGGCCAAGGCTTTTGGATTTGGAATATTCACATAGCTTTACTAGCTGAGCATCCTGACAGCACCCAGTGAGTTCCAGAATGCTCTGGAGACAGCATTTCGGATTTTGGATTTTCGGGTAATGAATGCTTCATCCATTGTGGAGATGCAGTGCACCCGTGGTTTACTAACTCAGTTCATTCTCCAGGCCAGTGGTAGCTCAATTTGGCTGTTTTTCCTGTAAGAAATAACACTCATAATACATTCCCAGCCACCCAAAGCATCCCTTTACTAACCTTTTCATAACCCTAAAGGGTGGTGTAATGTGTGGAATTCACCAGAAACTCCAATAATTGCCTGAGTGTATTCACCACAAAGTTACAAGTGTGCCTGGTTTCCCAGAACAGCGCTTTCATGCCGTTCAGGGAACGTCGCAATCCAGGTTGACATCTGCGGCCTGCAGGAGGGAGGTGATGGGAAGGTGGTTCCTGTCTAGAAGAGGGGTCCCCTTCCACAGGAACACCAGGAACCTGGCTCTTTGGTATCTGCCCTCTCCTCAGAGTCCCTAGCCTGCTGGGACCTGCTTCTGTCACTAGGTCTCGCCTACAGTTGTGTGTCCCTCTTTTCTCTGACGCCGTTCTGTAGTGTGACGTGACACTATCATTAACCATTGAACGCAGTGATTGACCTTTCCCCTGTCTGAGTGGTCTTCTCTGCGAGCATTCGTTCTGTCCATTTTCTCCGGAGTTCCTGTACCACAGAAGGCCTTTGCGGCACTGATGGCTGACACTCCACCCCACCTAGGAAGCTCCTCGGCTGCAGTTCTCTGAGCTCAGCCAGAAGTCGCTGAGGTTCCCCTGTGGACAGTAGCTCTGACTGTCCCTCTACCAGTTCCCCTGCATCACCGTGCAAGTCTCAGGACTCTGCTCTGGTGACAGTGTCATCAACACAGGCTCAGGCTTCTCCACGCTGGCTTCCTTACACAAATCTCTGTGATTGTGGAGATGGTGGATCACAATGTGCTGTACGTGTCAGCGGGATCAGCCACACAGACACCACCCACACTTCTCCAGTTTCCTTCTTTTCAATTGTGGTTGCTTTCTTTACTTTCCCTTCCCTTCTTAGCTTCGTTTCAGCTTTCTGGGGAATTTCGATAGCAGGGATCATAGTGATTGTGTAAAGCACTGACCAGCGTCGCACCTGGGCTGATTGCTGCTTCCTTACACTGTTCTGACATCTGAAGGCTTTGTTTACAGCCACGTAGTGGCTGGCGTTTGGGTTGTAACCCCACACCTAAGATTCTGGTCTAGCCCAAGACGTTAGTATGTGAGGCCTGTGATAACTCGAGTGCCCACCACAGGATGCCAAGGACAAGGTGTCTGGCTGCAGGGCTCCCTGTGATGGCCACCAGGTGGCGCAGGCGTTCCTCACGAGCTGCTTAGCAGAAGAGCAGAAAGGATCGAGGGTCAGCAGGAGCAGCAGCTCCGAGACAGCTGCTGGGCAGTGTGGGAGAAGGCCATCGGGTTATTTGAGTTTCTGGCTCTTTGGGGCCTGGTTTTATGCCACTATTAAATAAACCATGTCAGCAGCCTTGTCATCTTTTTGACTCTTTTCTAGTGTACATGAGAACAAAAAAGTAAGAACACTAGGCAGTAAATACAGAGCGCTCCCGGATCGGGACGGGGAAACACATTGGGTACTTCAGCGGCTGTGGCAACTAGTCAGGGAGCGGTGCTGGTGATTAACTGGGGCCGCACCTGTGCTAGGTGAGCACCACAGTGGATGCTTTTGACAGTCATTATGAGCTATTAAATGACTTTCTCTCAGCTTAGATGTGACCAAAAGAAAAACCATTGTTTAGAAAAACCAGAGTAGTGACTGGGTAAAGGCAAAGGAGATGGTGCATTTTCTTTTTGTGTTGGGTTTTTGAGATAGGGTTGCACTATATAGTCCATGCTGGCCTCAAACTCTTTAGAACCTCCTGCCTCAGCCTCCCAATTGCTGGGATTACAGATTTTTTTTTTTGATTGCTGAAATATAAACAAAATAGTTTTCCTTGATTTGCTCAAGTGTAGAGAGCATGCTGAAGTATTTAGTGAGGCTCTTCCCACCGAGCACACGCAGCTAAAGATGTGCAGTGCTAGAACCAGAGGACTTGAACTGTGGTGGAGTCGATGCTTTCCCTGCATACTGCTAGTTGGGAAGGAAGGCCTCCTTCTCAACAGGATGGATCAAGGTCTCTCTTGGCACTTAGAGGAAATACCTGGTTTAGGTTGTGCACTGCTTGAGGACTTTCGTGGATGTGCAGAATGGAAATAAGTATTTCAGAGCTGCAGGATGGCACAGACGAGTGAGTGGGTGACAGTAGGCAAGAGGGATGACACAGTGAGGCCCGACACAGGCGGAATGCTGTGGCAGGGCCTGTGGTGACAGGGACACCTGCAGCTGCCAAAAGCTGCTTAATCCTGAAATTAGGAAGCATGCGGGACCCACGTAGGAAAAGATTTCTTTGCTTATCCAAGGATCAGAGGAACTAAAGAATGACCTGGTTGTGACCGGGGCCCAGAAGTGTGAATATGTGAGCAAAAACCCAAGCAGCCATGCTTCTGGAGAAGAGTCCATTCTTCTGGTTGTGAGAGTTAGAACATACTGAAAGAAGAATTCAACTGGTGCTGTCAAAAAAAAAAAAAAGCCAAGCAGGGTGGGGCATGTGTGTAATCCCAGCAGTTGGGAGGCTGAGGCAGAAAGAGCACCAAGAGTTGGAGGCCAGCCTGGGCTGCATAGTGAGACCTCCTTGTCTCAAAAAAAAGAAAAGAATAAACTCAGCTGTAGTATACCGTAAGGTGATACAGGACAAGTCCCAAATGAAATCCTCCCAGTGGGGAGGGCTGTAGCATCACACCTGCCTGGAGTGGGCAGTAGGAGTGAGCTGTCAGGCTCTCCCAAACCAGGATCTGCATTGTAGAAACCAAGGAATCAGAGACACAACAAATCAGCCTTCTGTGATGCACCAGAGTGAGGGCATAATACTCCGACTGGGCCTTGTTTAGTTGTTGAACCATGAACTGGTCGTACTGATTGACGATTATATCAGCTCTCCCCTGCTGGAACCAGATGCCTGAGCCACTGCATCTAGAGGAGAAAGGGTTTGTTTTGGCTTGCAGTTTCAGGCCACGGTCGCTGGCTGCAGGGCAGGAACTTCATTTTGAAGAAACTTGGTATGAAATATGAAATTTGGAGAAGTATATATGTGTAGTAACCCACAAACTCATGGAGAAAGTTGAGACACAGAGAATGTCTCCGGCAGGTTTGGGAAATTTACAGTTCCCCCTTGGGCTTTCTCTCTCTACTGATTTTGTTCTTTCTGTTCTTTTGCAACAGTGATCACATGGAGAATGTATGTGGCTACTTAATGAAGTACACCAACCTTGTCACTGGGTGGCAGTTCAGGTAAGTGTGCTGTTTGTGTTCCCTCAGCCTCCCTGGGACCAGAAAACCCCGGCTGATAATTTCATATTCTGGTGCAGCCAATGAGCTATAGCAGACTGGGCTGGGGAGCTCCTGGGGACGAAGCTGTCCCCTCTTTCCTCACTGCTCCTACTGTTCTGCTGTACTCAGGTTTGTCGCCTGCGTTGCGCTTATTATACATGCAGAGGCTAGGTTCTGAGAAAGTTGGGTTTGTACCAGATTCTCCATGAGTCTGGAACCAGGGATAGGTTAGATAACCAGCCCAGGTCATGTACGGTCAGTAAGTGGGACACCAGAGCTCGGCGCTTAGTGGAACTGATATTTGCACGGCAGAGGTTTTTTTATTGTGATAAAATATACATAAGATTTGCCATTTTAACCATTCTAAGCATATAGTTCAATGCCATGAAACATGCATATTTTTTATACGAGTTATCAGCATCCTCTTCTCAAACTTAGGCTACATCCGTTGTGTCATGCACACATACCCTGCACCCCAGCATGGACTTTTTCAACTTGAGTGTCTGGGGTTTGCCCTCGGGCTGAGTATGACATGATGGGGCTCCACTGTGGTACAGACCTCTCCGTCTTAAGGCTGAGTGCACTCCGGTATGCACCTGTCACACAGTGTGAGTGGCCACACACCCCTGGAGGGTGACGCATGTGTGCCTGTCTGTCAGTGTGAAGGGCTTCTGTGATGTTGGTTTACCAGTGTCTCTTTAGTCTCTGCTTTTTTGTCCTCAGAATTGAGCTACTATGGCTTATAGTACAGTATTTCTGTGCTATTTTGTTTCTCTCTGTTGATTTGTTTTATTACAAAGCAGTCCTTGCTCTGTTGCCCAGACTGGCTGTGTGCACTCTTGGGCTCAAGGCATTGTCCTGCATCAGTGTCCCAAATAAGGAGGACTGCAGGAGCAGGCCACCGTGCCTGGCTACTGCATTTCATTTTTTTTAGGGAACTCCATACAGTTCTCCACAATAACTGCCACGGACACCCCAGCAGTGCACAGGATTGCCGTTTCCCACATCCTCAGCAGCATTTGTGGCTTTTCTTCTTCTGTTTACAATAATAGCTATCCTCATAGTGTAAGATGCTCTCTTATTGTGGTTTTTAAACTTTTTTTTTTCTTTTTGAGACAGGTTCTCTTCGTGCTATGCAGTTCAGGCTGCCATTGAGCTCACTTTGTAGCCCAGGCTGGTCAAACTTGCAACAATCCTGCTGCTTTAGCCTCCCAAGTGCCAGGATTGCTTTTTTTAATTGTTAAACCTAGACTTTGAAGCTGAATGTGGTGGTGCACACCTGTAATCCCAGCACTCAGGAGGCTGAGGCAGCAGAATCACCGCAAGTTCAAGGCCAGTGTTGGCTCTGTAGTTAGTTCAAGACCAGCCTGCACTATATAACAAGCCCCTATATCAAAAGCAAAACATAACTAAACTTTGAACCCAAATAATTCTTTTTGTTTGTTTGTTTGAACCCAAGTAATTCTGACGCCAAAGTCTATTTTTGTTGGTGTTGTTTTGTGCTAGATATCAAGCCCAGGGCTTCATGCATGCTAAGCAAGCACTGTAGCATTAAGTTATATCTGTAGCTTTTTTATTTTATTTTATTTTATTTTGCAGTACTGGAGATTAAACCTAGGGAACACACAGCTGTATCCCTAGCCCTTTTTATTTATTGGTTTTGATATTTTGAGGCAAAGTCTTACTAAGTAACTGAATTACCCAGGCTGGCTTCTGCTTGGGATTCTCCTGCCTCAGCTTCTTGAGTAGCTGGATTATAGGTGTGAAACTACTGTATCTGTTCCAAAGTGGTTTTTTTTACAGTAGTAGTTTGGAACAGTGAGAAAAAAATTTTCCTTCATTCCTGTTTTGGTTAACAGTATTATTGAAAAAAATTCATTTACTGTACAGTTCTGTACTGTACTTAAGAGACCTTAAGAACCTAACAACCTTTCAGAGTTTGTTTTGGATGAGTGTTTCATAGAAGGTTCACAGGGGTAGATCTTAAGTGTTTTAGAAATTTAAGACGATAGCAATGGCTGCTGTATATTAACTCAAAGAATCCTTCATATCTGTGGGAAAATAAACAGCTACTGAAAATGAGCAAAAATGTGATGGGAGCTGGGTGAGGTGTCGTGTAACAGTAACCTCAGCACTCTGGGAGGCTGAGGCAGGACAATGCCAAGTTCCAGCCCAGCCTACACAATTTAGCAAATCAGTGAGAGACTAACTCTAAATAAAAAATTCCCAGAAAGGGCTGAGGATGTAAATCGATGTGAAAACCCTGAGTTCAGTCCCCAGCACTATAAAAGAAAAGAAGAAAATAAAAGTGTCGGTCATCCCCTAGGGAGAACTACAGACAGTCTACAAACACAGGAAGAAATGTTTCATCCAACTCATTATTAATGAAATTGAAGTTTTAAAACTGACAAAAAAATACAAAGGTAATTTGTATTTTCATCAAATATGTGAATGATTTTAGGGCTCAGAAGCCTGCTAGAAACCCACAGTCCTTTGCTGCCCTCCTGGTCACTGTTGACTCCCCCGTTGTGCCTGGCTCCTCTGCTGTCCCTGAGCAAGGGCCGAGGCACCGTCTTCCAGGACCCTGACCTGGACCGAGTGGTCACAGGGGGCCATCTAGAGCAGGCTGCCTACAGGGCGCCAGGCTTCCCCACACTGGAGCATGGACTTTTTAAAAAGTGAAACTTAGAAAGCCGTCCTCCCCGAAGAACTGCATGCTCCATAAATTGGAATTTGAATTAATTTGGTTCCTAAAGTAGCTCATCTTGGACCAAATCAGAACATCAGATTCTTTTCCATAGTCCCTCAGTATGTCGTCAAGTTCTTTTCCAACACGTATCAGTGTTTCATCGTTTAGTTTCAAGTTCCTTATGTTTCTGAGTCTCCAGTTGCAGCTTTTCATTTTTAAACAGGATCAGTAGTCCGTAGTTGTGACCTATTTAATGACAGAGTCACAGAATCTTTCTGTCCTGACATTACTCTCATGAGTGTTTCCCTGTTTCAGTCTTAGACCGTGTTCACTTCTTACCCAGCAGTCAACCAGCCTCGGAGCTCGTGTTGTGATTTTTTCCCCAGAGAATCCTACATAGAAAATCTTACTACCATTTGTCTTTCTGCAGTTTGTCCTCCCTGTTAATAAATTCAAGAGAAGAATGAATTTTGCACCACAAGACTTGGTGGCACATGCTTGTAATTCCAGCACTCAAGAGGCTGAGGCAGGAGGATCACTGAGTTTGAGGGCAGTTTGAGCCACATAGCAAGACCCTCTGTCCAAAAAAAAAATAAAATAAAATAAAAGTTAAAGACAACAGGGAAGGGAGAGAAAGACAACTGCATTGTTCTCTCCACGGAAGCACCTCCCCCGGCGAAGCGTCACAGCGGTCCACCCTTGCCTCTCCGGCGCAGGCCCTGGGCTCAGCTCCTGCTTTGTGAGCAAACCCAAAAGCACCTCTCTCTCCCCTGTTGACAGTGTGTGTCAGTTTTCCAGTGAGCTCCTGCTACAGCGTTCAGGGCAGGGTTTACAAGTACTACTACTTGAAATGCATTTCAGAATTATATTTTCTTAATAAGGAAAATCCATCATATTTTAAGCGATGGAGGTTTTTGTGCTTTAGTTTGCCTAGGGAAGTGTCTAAAAGTCACAGCCTTTGTGCAATCATTGCAGGTTTTTTGTGTTGAACAATGAAGCCGGGTTGCTGGAGTACTTTGTGAATGAGCAGTCCAGGAACCAGAAGCCCCGAGGGACCCTGCAGCTAGCGGGCGCAGTCATCTCTCCCAGCGACGAGGACTCACACACCTTCACGGTGAACGCGGCCAGCGGCGAACAGTATAAACTACGAGGTAGGCGGGAGAGCCAGCTGGAGGGACACCAGCCACCCCCCACCCCAGCTCCTCATGGCCGTGCAGAAGGGACCATTGGGCTCTCAGGGCCCTTGCAGAGTGGAGAAGAGCTGATCTAGAGCCGAGCATAAAGCCCACAATAGCAGTCACTGATGTGAGTAACGCAACTGCCTTTCTCGTCAGTAGTCTGTGTTATGACATTCCAGAGAAGGCCAGGTGGCCCTCAGGGCAGCCTGGGAGGACTGACTAGCTCGCTGACCTCAGCTCCTCTCCCTTGACTGCAAGGAAGCTAGAGCGTAGACTCGCTGAATACTGCATCTGCCAGAGAGGTTTCGCCCCTTTCTCTGACTTGGCTTCAGTACCCGCTTTGCAGTTTTCGGGGACTAATGTATGTACTTGGGGTTTGTTAAAAGGCCCGCAAGACCGATATGAGGATGCACGGAATTGTGTAGAGTTTGTGGCTTCATCTGAGAAATGGTGTAGAGCAGAATGGTGATCCGAGGTGGCCGGAAATTACCCTTCGCTCACACCGACCCTTAGAAGTGATCTCCGTAAACAAACACGCACCACAGCACAGGGCTGGAGGCCTCTCTTCGCCCGTGCCAGCCGCCTGCCTCTCGGGGTCTCAGTCCCTCATGTGCCACGGCCTCTGCCTGCCGAGCTTCACTGGGGGACATCAGCCCTCACCCAGAGGGGCCAGGTGTTACCCGTCAGCTACCTGCTCTGTGAGTGACGTGGGAACGGCGGCCACACTCCCAGGGTCACAGTGCCATGTGTGCTTCTTTCCAGCCACAGACGCCAAGGAGAGGCAGCACTGGGTCAGCCGGCTGCAGATCTGCACGCAGCACCACACAGAGGCCATTGGGAAGGTAGGCAGGCGGCTGTGAGGTTGGGGCCCTGGAAAGCACGGTTTTCAGTTTCCACGCGGGGACACTCGCAGTCAGTGCAGAACCCACAGCTTTTGTGCGTTTTTGCAGATTCCCAAAGTTGTGCAACTGCAGCAGCCATTTGGGAGGTCCTTTTCATGACCTCTGTGGAAGTCCACAGCCATCCTTGTGCTCATTCTGCCTTTCCAGCCCTTGGCAAGCCCCAGTCTGTTTCAGTTTCCAAGGATGTATTATGCAGATGGCTTCAGATAAAGTGTGGTTTATCATGTCTGACTTTCTTCACTTAGCAAAAATATTATTTTTTTCCATTACTGGAGATTGGACGCAAGGCCTTTCCATTAAGCTATATTCTCAGCCCTTTTTGAAAATTTAGACACAGTCTCACTAAGTTCCTGAATTGCCCAGGCTGGGCTCCCGTCTGTGATCCTTCTGCCTCAGCCTTTCTCCCAGAGTACTGGGATTACAGGGATGCACCGTCAACAGAACCCACTCAGTATCATCTTTCTGAAATTTGCTGGTATCCTTGAGTGTAGCAGTACAGTGTTGTTTATTGGTTTGTATTTTTGTCTTTTTGAGATACGGTCTCATTATGCAGTTCAGGCTGGTCTTGAACTTGATTTGTAGCCCAGGCTGGCCTTGAACGCACAGTGATCCTCCTGCCTCAGCCTCCCAACTGCTGGGATCACAAACATGTATCTCCACCCCCAGCCATTATTATTTTTATTTTTTTTCTAATTTATCCTCAACATGAAGCCGTTATTATTCTTTTTTTTTTTTTTTTTTTTTGTCTTTTTCATTTTTATCGGTACTGGGGATCAAACTCATGACTGCCTGCTTGCAAGGCAGGCGCTTATGCCGCTGAGCTAAACCCCCAGCCCCGAAGCCATTATTATTCTTAAATAGTGAGTAATGTTCTGATGTATACACGTGTACCACCTGTGTGTATCATGCATCAGATCATTGCACACTTGGGTTGTATCCATTTTATAGATAATATGAACAATGCTGAAGTGTTGGGTATGGTTGAAAAACACAGTGAAGCTGGGTATGGCAGCTCACACCTGTAATCCCCGCACTCAGGAGGCTGAGGCAGGAGGATGGTGGCCAGCCTGGGCCCCGTAGTGAGTTCAAGATCAGTCTGAACTACATAGCAAGACTGACTCAAAAAAAAAAAGAAAAAAAAAAATACAGTGAATGTTCAACTTTCCAAAATGTATTGTAGTAAAAGACACATGGCTGCAAAGTCCCCTCAAGCGTCCTCCTTTTGCTTCAGATGCTCATCCCATCACCCTTGCCACGTCCTGCCACAGTGCTGGGGGTCTCTTTCATAGGTGTTTCTGGTCACACTGGTCTGGCTACTTGGATATTAAGAATGGATTCAAAACATTCACATTTTGCAGTCATTGGGACTTTAGGGAAGAGCCAGAAGTCACGTGGTACCAGGTCCACCGAAAGTGCTGGACAAGGACACAGCGCCACGTTTCTATGAGCCCGAGTTCAGTTCGGTGGCACAGTGGCTGCAGTCACCATATTTTTGATCACACTCATAAAGCCACGATAGATGGACCCCGTGATGAGTGTGTCTGGCGAGGAGAGAGGGGAGTATTTCAAAAGGGATTTTTGCAGTGCGTTCCCTGAAGTGAATGCAAACCGTCAGTGTGTGCTGCAGTTCTCCAGAACACGGGTCTAGGAGCAGACTTATAGGTGACAGAGTAACTCTGAGGCACTGGCAGTCTTTCCCCAGCGCCCCTCACCCCGAGTGTGTATGAGGGCGCCAGGTCCTCGATCCCCTCGCCCGTGCGTGGTGGATGGGGTCGGCTCTGGCTGTGATCTCAGGCTCTCTCCCTGTGGCTAACCGCAGGGCGCATCCTTTGTGTGCTTAGTAGTTGCTCTTTTGTGGCCTTCTTTGGGTGTTTTTATTTTTGTTAGGAAAAAGGAGAGTGTATATCTGAAATCTGAAAGTAGAGATGTTTGAAGATAATAGATGGCATATTTAAAGGACCCCTACCTAGGGGGAGGCTTGAGTTTTACTTTTGTTTTTAATTCGTCCTGGTGTTTGACATCACTAATCTTTAGGAATCATAGTTTAGCTCCACAGCCTGGGTTTTGAGAACTCTGACCAAGATAGCTTTGCAGGACTCTGCAGGACTCCAGCCACCCGAAGGAGTGGCGGGTAACAGTTTGTTCAGAGGTACACTTTTGTTGTTTTACATCTATCTGCATGTCGCTGAGCACAGCTTTTGTGTTAACCTTGTTCTACAGTCTGAAATGAGAAAAGCGTTGCTACTATTCTAATGTAAGGAGCACAGAGTATCCTGGTCACTTGTGAGGCTCATTCCTCTTAAGTGGCAGGTGCTGAATCAATCTCAGGTGGCTGGCAGCGCAGCCCTGTTAAGCGGAATGATTCTCTTTATCTGGCAGAATAACCCTCCTTTGAAGTCTCGGAGCTTCTCGCTTGCTTCCAGCGGGAATTCTCCCATCACCCAGCGGAGGCCGAGTCAGAACGCCGTCTCCTTCTTCAGCGTCGGGCACCCCAAGCTGCAGCCCTCGAGCAGGAGAGTGCCCCTAGCGCCCGACCACCTCGTGGAGGTCAGAGAGGTCAGTGAGCCTGAGGTCGGGCACGCGCATAAAGCGGCATCTCATCCTGCTTGGTTTCTCACCAGAATTTTTGAAATGTGGCTTGTGTTTCCTGTCTAGTATTTTCACAAGATGCTTTTAAGTGATAAAAATTCCCTGATTATATAGCATCCAGGTTTGCTGTATCTGTCAGCCCTGCGCTAGGTACACTATCATTTTACAGAAGTCTGTGTCTGCCTTTTGTGTCTCCAGGAGAATAAATTGCTTTAGGGTAAAATGAGGGGTCAGAGAATTGCGGGGCCTCCGGGGCAGAGTACAGAGCCAAGCAAGTGATGCTTTTTCTGTTCTGAGTAGGGACAGCGCTAGGAACTGAACCCAGGCAAGGGTCCCCCACTAGACTACACCCTCATCCCCCCCATTTTTAAAATTGTGAGAGAGGATCTGCCTGAATTGCCCAGCCTGGCCTCGAATTGTGATCCTCTTGCCTTACCCTCTCCGTAGGTGGGATTTCAGGCATGCACCACAATTCCCAGCTGTGACTCCTCTTAAAAACCTGAGGTAGGGAACGGAGTGTGGAGCACAGTGGTGGAGCATCTGCTTAGCCCACACACAGTCCAAGTTCAACCGGCACAAAAAACAAGCACATCAAAACAAAAGCCTGAAGACTGATACGTTCAGAAAATTTTAGACATACACAGAGCAGATAGTTAAGTCCTTGATTTTGCCTTGTCTCACCTTTTCTGTGTTTTGTTTTATTTTGTTTTTTGGTACTGGGGATTGAACTCACGACCTTATACTTGCCAGACAGGTGCTTTATGCTACTGAGCTAAATCCTTGGCCCCTGTCTTTCTCTTTTAAATTGAGTACCAGATAATTCTAGGTGTCAAAGGATATGGTCTGTTAGGTTCTGAATATTTGAGACATTAATTGCTGAATTACAGTTGATAGAGTTTTCTGATGTCTTAGAAATAGATTGCTGAAAATAGTACTGTAAATCACACCCAAATAATTCAAAGTAGGATGCTGAGGAGAATGTACCCTCTGTTGAGCTGTTTTGAGTCGTATTTGTAAATATGGTCTAGCCGAACAGGGTCCTCATTCCCATAATCCCAGCACCAGGGAGGCTGAGGCAGGAGGATCGCTGCAAGTTCGAGGCCAGCCTGCATAGCAAGACTTTGTCTCAAAAAAATAAATCAGGGCTAGTAATACAGGCCTGTAGTCTCACAACTTTGAGCAGCAGAGGCAGGAGGGTCCACATTTAAACCCAGCTTTGGCAATTTAGGGAGATTGTGTTTCAAAATAAAATGATGTTAAAGTGGTCCTGTAGTGTTACTCAGTGCAAAGGCCTTGGGTTCAGTTTCCAGCATGAATCTGAAAAAAGCTTATAGGTGAAGAAACTGAAGTTTAGAGCATTGAAGAAATGTGCCAGCCATGTGTGGTGGTGCACATCTGTAATCTCAGCACATGAGAGGCTGAGACAGGATTGCTGCGAGTTCCAGGCACATTTTGTTTTTCTTTGAGTCAGAGTTTTTGCTATGCAGTTCAAGCTGGCCGTAAACTCTGTAGCCCAGGCTGGCCTGAAACTCACAGCAGTCCTCCTGCCTCAGCCTCCCGAGTGCTAGATTACAAACATTTACTGCCATACCTGGCTAGATTCTTTTCATTGTGGGTACACAGAAGGGCCATAATTCATATGTCAGGTGGCTCTGATTGAATTTGATTAGGAAAAAGATCAGTAAAGGTGATAAGATCCATGTGTACCCAGAGATACAGGCTGCAGATGGACACGAATGTACTACCAGTGGTGCCAGCCAGCAGGAACGTTAGAGTGAGCGTGGAAGGCAGAGCCTTAGAGGGCTTCTGAGCCCCGCCTCCCGCCCCCAGCAGTTCTTAGCCAGCAGAGCAGCTGGGAAGCTTTGGTTGATGCTGTTCACCAACTCAGAAAACTTTGAAAGCTTGTTTTGAAATAATTTTAAATTTGTAAAAAAAATTGGAAGAATAGCATAGGATTTCTGTATATTCCTCATCAGATCTGCTGTGATAATTGTTATCCTACATAACTATAGTGTTATTTATCAAGACCAGGAAGTGATAATAATGTCATACTTCTTGTTCTGGTTTTGGATTGTATCCTTCTGAGTAATGCTTTGCATTTAGTTATTTCTCTTTTTTTTTTTTTTTTTTTTTTTTTGAGATAGGGTCTTGCTCTCTGTACAGTTCAGTTTGCCTGAACTCACTATGTACCCCAGGCTGGCCCCAAACTCACGCCAGTCCTGTCTCCGCCTCCTGAGTGCTGGGATTATAGGCGTGCACCACCACACGTGGCTACTATAATTATTTCTGAATCTTTTTTTTTCTTTCGATCACTGATCATTTAGGGTTTTGGGAGGGGGGTTGTTTTGTTTTTATTATTTTGGCACCAGGAATTGAACCCACAACCTCATCCTTGTGGGCCAGGCGATATGTTGCTGAGCTGTATCCCCAGGCCGTTTTTAGATTCTCGAATTTGAGTCTGTCTGGTATTTTCTCATGGTTTTGGAGAGGTTATAGACTTTAGGACACTGTGTGCTGGTCATGATGGCCCGGTCACGTGGTTAGAGTGAGTTTTTGAGTTTCTGCAAGAGTTGCTGTCTTCCCATCTGTACTTAGTGTCTCGGGGAAGTATTCTGAGGCCACGCAAATGTTGTTTCTCTTCCAAGAAATTGAGAGAACTTTTGTTACCAGGCTGACCTGTGGTTCTAGGTCCTCAGACTCTGATCTTGGGGACACTCTTATCTGAAAAGTTATGGAGGACTTCAAAAAACTTTTGTTTTATATGAGTTAAATGTATTAAGATTTATCTTATTACAGTTCAAAGCAAATTTAAATAACTTGTTTGTTTTAAAATAAAATTATAAATCTGTTATATGGTGTCATACAAGCTGATATCACAGCCACTGCCCCTGCTCTTCTCTACCCCCACCCCACCAGAGCATCCCCAGCTCTGCTGAGAAACTCCAGCTCTGGAGATCACAATACCCAGGGAGGGCTGGAGAGTACGTGCAGAAGGTGCATTTTAATCTAGGTCCCTGGGTGAGTCAGTGTGAGATTAAGTGACAGTTGATAAAAGCAGCTGACTGTTGGGAATAATGTCATGTTAATATATACACAGATGTACTACAGAAGATACCGAATCAGAGTGCTCTGTTTTAGGGTTTACTGTCTCTCAGTAGTGCTGCTTCATTGCAGTGCTGCAGTGCTGCTTCAGTGCTTGCTTCAGAGTCATTTAATCTGTGCCTTATGAGTAGCACATGAATGATCTGGGCTGGTTTTTACACACTTGCAAGGCCACCTACATGAAGTACCATTGTAACCATTGTCACATGGAGCTACAGAACTCAGCCAAAGTTTCAGCTTTCCTGAAGCTTTTTTCTCAAGTCACTGGTTCTGCCATGTCAGAATCTCATGATTCATTGTTCCACTTCTTTGTGACTACTGTCTGTGGCTGACTTGCTCAGTGTGGAGAGTGCCGTTGCCGGGTGCTGACATTGACTTTTTAAAGTTTATTTTTTTCTAGCCACAGTTGTGCTACTTGCTTAAATCTCTTCACTTCTAACATCAGTTACAAGAACCTTTTGCTTACAACTAAAAGTAAGCATCATAATTTCAATTTTCATCTAAAAAAATTGAATTTCTCCTCCATCATCAGTATTCTACTGGCTCCACTAGGAAAGGCGATCAGGGCTCCTAAGCACAGCACAGTGTATTAAACTCTCAGCCTGAAAGCTCGTACCCAGGGCTGGTAGCAAAGCCAGCTTGACAGGACCAGAACGCTTAGGAAGGAAGAACCGGATAAACTCAGTAGAGCTTCTGATTAACTTGACCTGAGGTTTGAGATGAAGGTGGTTAAGAGCAGCTGGCTTGGGAATTTACTTTGGTGTTAGGTAGGTAGTTAGGTTAGCAGTGCTAGGGTTGGAACGCAGTGCCTTGGACATGCTAGGCAAGTAATCTACCACTGAGTCGTACCCTCAACCCTGACTTTTTTCTTTGGAATGAAATGTCTGATACTACTATTAAAGATGTTCCAGAATGTTCCTTCAGTGGGTTATACAATTTACACTGTTAATAAAATGGCAAGCCTTTGTTGCTTCCAGAGAAAAAGGTCATAGTCTTGCTCCGTGGATAAGCACCCACTAAGCCTCTGGAAAAGCCTAGCAGACTTCAAAGAGATTCCTAAGCTGAGTCTGTCCTGAAAGATGCTTAGAAGCTGAAAGTAGTTCATAAATGGCACTGCATGTGTATATGTGATTCAGAAATGACTGGAGCCAGGTATGGTGCACACTAATCCCAGCACCTGAGAAGCTGAGGCAGGAGGGTTGCTGCAAGTTTGGTCCCAACCTGGGCCACTTTGTGAGCTCAAGGCCAGCCTGAACAACATTATAGTGAGTCCTTGTCTAAAAAAAAGAAAGAAAGAAAGAAGAACCAGAACTGTTGTCTTCCTTAGATGATGTCTCACGCGGAAGGGCAGCAGAGAGACTTGATCAGACGAATTGAATGCCTTCCCGCCTCTGGCCTCCTCAGCTCCCTGGACCAAGACCTCCTGATGCTCAAAGCGACATCCATGGCCACGATGAACTGCCTGAATGACTGCTTCCACATCCTGCAGTTGCAGCACGCGTCCCACCAGAAGGGCTCGCTGCCTGCAGGTATGCTGCCCGCACTGGAGGGAGCCCGTCCGTTGTCACTCTGACCTGGAAAACCTTTCTAAAAACAGGGGCCGCTAGTTTTAATAGTCACATTGTTAAACAAGTTCTTGCTAAGGGTGCTCTTCACCGAGTTTGAAATGATTTCCTGCCCGATAGTGTTCTCTAGAGACCTCAGCACTCCATGGGATAAAAACTGAGCAGCTCCTGCATTCCTATAAAACATTGCCCCTGTCCATCCACGTGACCAAAGTGAAAATGCCGGCTTCATGTCTTGAGTTTTGGTTCAGCCCACTGCTCATTGTTGAATTGGTTTATACAAGTCTATCAGACACTTTTAGGGCACAGCTGGCATTTGACCATGTGTTTGCTGGAAGTAACTGGAGAAAAGGTTATTACTGCATGGGAGTACAGATAAGCGCTTCTAAAATGAGAGGAGCAAACTCACCCTGGGGTGTCCTATGTGGTCACTAAAGTATTTCACAACCACTCTGTGTTCTCCTTTCTAACTTGCTTCCCTTACTTGTGAAAGAAGCATTTTAGAAAGTCAGCAGGACTCTTTCTCTGGGAAAGAGTTTTATCAAAGTCAGACAGATGTAGTATGGGCTCCATCCTCTCGTGTGCCAAAATTCTACATTTCTTAGCTGTTCTCACAGCGATTGTAGGTGGAGGCCAGGGTTCTGTTAGAGACTCCAATCAGATGTGTATCCTCCTGAAAGACTTCCTAGTCCTGCAGGGTGCTAGGTTTGATCCCTAGTACTGCCACCAAAAAATCCCCTAATCATAGTCCAGTTCCAGTAGAGAAATGAATGTGAGTAGGATACATAAGATAATATTTAGAAAATGGTACCAACCAGAACAGTCTGGAGGCTGGACAAGGGCGCAGACCCTGAAAACCAGGTAGTCCAGGAGTGACAGGAGGATGAGCGAGAGGGCCTTCCAGAGAGACAGGCCACTCCGCCTCAGTTTACAACCCAGGTGGTCCTTGTCGGAATCGGGCTGAGGGACCCAGAACCAGGCCAGGCGGGTGCTCTGAGATTTGTTCATCTGCTGAAGTGGGAGTGTGTGGCAGGCAGGAAAGCCCTTGCTCTGCAGATTCCTGCCATAGTAGCCAGAGCCCCTTTATTACAACAGTCAGTAGCCCAGCCTCTGCGAAACCTAGATCAGCCTCCCAAATCAAGTGGAACAGTTTCCATTATTGATTAGCCATAGAATCCACTTCGTTAAACTAGTTAAGAGTAACCGAAGACCTCTTGAGTCATGCACGGAGAAGATGACAGGTCGTAAACATGACTGCTGTCTCTCACTGGGTCAGCCATTACTTATTTAGGAGCGCAGTCTTTTGGTCTGAAAGTTGTGCGGGGCTTGCTTAGGACTGAAAAGGGGAAGGAGGACATGCACCTGCAGGTCTTCAGTGAGGCCAGGGGCCTGGTTAGCAGCCTGCTGCCGGAAAAAGGGGAGCAGGTGACCATCTCAGTCGGGCTCCCTTGCCTTTGGCCTCCTAACTTAGCCGGAGTGCATTTTGTCACATAGTTCGACAGAGAGGGTGATGTGAGCCAGCTGGAAACTCACTTCAGGTGACTGAGGAGAAGTGAGTTCAGTGCTGCTCAGGGTTAATTTCTTTTCAGCAGGATCTGATTTCAGCTTGCAAGTGGCTCTGTAAAACGCCCAATCGTGGTGCTCATGCTAATGAGAGCCTCGGCTGTCTTCTCAGGTCCTCTGACAAGTGAATTAGTTGTGTAAGCGGGAAACTCATTGTTTAAATAAAATCCACATCTCCCGAATTTGCCAGATTATGAGCACATTTGAGCAGAAGTCTTCTCTTTCCTCACCAGGAACGACAATCGAGTGGCTGGAACCAAAGATCCCTCTTTCCAACCATTACAGAAATGGAGCTGAGCCACTCTTTTCCATGGAGCCGGAGAAAGCAGTGGCCGTTCCCCAGGAGCAGGTGGCTGCGGAGCCTGGACCCACAACCAGGGTAAGAGAGAGCAGAACCCAGTGCACTGCGAGGGGCACTGCTCCTCTAGCTCTGGGGCACTGAGTCAGCACAGGCAGTGCCCCCAAGCCCAAGCTCTGTTCCACTTCAAACCTCGTTGGCTTTGGGCAGACCGTTCTGGTGTTAATCGTGACCACGCCGCACTCCAGGTTAAATCTCTAGCCCTCTTTCATGCTGTTTATTCTTGCCTGATAAACGTGTCATTTGAAAAACTGAAACTTGCATGATTTCCTGTTTCCTGTTTCCTGGGCAAAAGCTCCCTAACAGGATTTTTGCACAATATTTATATCACACTTTTTATTCCATTATTGTAATATTGTTTACTATATCTTTACTGGTACATTCTCAAGCTCCAACATTTACTGTTGTAGTAAGCTTTTCATAGCAAAGCCAGTTGTTCTAAATTCAGTATTATCCGAAGCTGGGCCAGGGATTTAGCTCAGTGGCATAAACGCCTGCCTGGGAAGCTCAAGGTTATGAGTTCAATCCCCAGTACCACTTAAAAAAAAAAAAAAAAAAACACATAGGCTCTCAGGGTTTAATATTTTTATAAAATATTATCATTTTACATTGTTTTGTTTTGTTTTGGGGGGGGGTTGTTTGTTTGTTTGGGTTTTTGAGACAGGGTCTCACTATGTGCTCTAGCCTAGCCTTGAACTCACTGTGTAACCCAGGCTGGCCTCAAGCTTGCAGGGATCCTCCTGCTATAGCCTCCTGGAGTGCTGGGATAACAGGTATGGGCCACCACACCCAGCTACATTTCATTTTTTGAGAAACTGAAGTATTTATCATATTCATACATCTACCAGTGTTACAAATCACACTAACTTTTTGCCCTTTGTGTTCACATATGTTGCTTCTTTTTTTTTTTTTTTTTTTTTTTTTTGGTACCGGGGATTGAACTTGCAACCTCACACTTGCGAGGCAGGCGCTTGTGCCGCAGAGCTAAACCTCTGGCCCCACATTTGTTACTTCTTTTGCTGCCATAATTTACATAGACAGTTTTAAGACATTTTGCTTGATATCCTCATCAGTATTTTTCTGTGGCGCCCTAGCCTATATAATTAAGGTCTTAGGCAAGGAATGTAGCTCAGCAGCACAGTGCCAGCTTCACAAGTGTGAGGCCCTGAGTTCAGTTCCTAGTACCAAAAGATAATAATTTAAAGTTTTAAAAGCTGAAGCAGGTTATCAACTTGACATCCCTATGAATGAGTGTCTAATTCGTTCATTCGTTCCTCATCGTTACAAATAGCACAATGCTGGATTATCCTGCTTACTGGTTTTCCCACTCCCTGTCTTTGGACTCTTTCTTCACATTTAGGTCGTGCCCCAGACAGACTCACTTGCCCAGAGCAGTGTTTCATGCTTGCTTACATATTAGTAAATCACTGCCTGGGGAAGCGTGGGACAAGGACCTCCAGCACTGGCCAGCCTTTGACAGAGGCAGGTGGGCAAGCAGGGTGTCCGGAGAAGCAGACCAGACAAGGGAACGAGAAACACCTTTTGCTTGCAGCTTTCTTCTTGGCCCATTTGCAGAGTCAGACAGTTGGCAGCTGTGTATTACACGGTCTGGAGGTGACAGGTCCAACGTTAGGGTGTGGAAGGGAAGCAGAAACCCCAAGATGCAGGGCTATTCTTGGGGAGACCCAGCCTGCCTGCAGTCCACGACTCATGGGAACTGTGTGTTTGCGTCCGCCCATCTGGGTTACTCTGCCAGGAGGTGAGCGTTAAAGACATTGAGCAGGGCGGATGGGCCTGGAGTGATGCTTTGAAAGAGGCAGAGTCCAAGGAGTGGAAGAGGAAAGAGGAGCAACATAGGCAGGGGTTTATCATCCCAATGGCGGCAAACTCAGGACGAGTCTACTGGTACACATGGCCCTGGGTAATGAGCCACTTTGAGCTCCAGTTTCTTTGTGGAAAGTCAGGATGACCATATCTGCAGGATTACGTGAGGAGAACATGAATGTCATAGAGCTTAGCGGAAGTGACTTCAGGCCTGTTGGACCTCATGCTACAGCATGCTATAAACTATTCCTCCTGGAGAACATGAAAGTTACCGAGATGGAGTCTTGATGTGATTCGGGCAACAGGGCCGTGAGCATCAGGAAGAATGGAGCTGCTGGGACTGGTGTGTGGTGCCCCATGGAGTTAAGTGTCCAAAAGGCTCCTGAGGAACTGGAAACAACTCAGGAATAGCTAGTGGACATTTCAGATGAAAAGTCATTTGGATTTGTGATTGGATATAGGGTTAGACCAAAGAAAACTTCAGGTTTGGGGGCCTAAGTGACAAGAAAGGCTTGTGGTGCCATCTACAAGCTAGGATTTTGCAAGGTTGAAAAAATGAGGTTTTTTCACTTTCCTTGTGGTGCTGAGGATTGAACCCAGGGCCTTGCACTGAGCTATACCTGGTCCTTTTTATTTTGAGACGAAGTCTATTTCACTGTGTTGCCCAGGCTGGGTTTGAACTTGTGATCCTGCTGCCTCAGCCTTATAGAGTGCCAGGGTTACAGGGTGCACCACTACGCCCAGCTCCAGCCATTTGTTTTTTGAGACAGTCTGCTAAAGTTTCACAGATATCCTCACATTTATGTCACTCCTACCACAACCTCCCTAGTAACTGGAATTAAAGGCATACATTGCTGTGCCTAGAATAAAACTATTTTTTAAAGAGCATACTGCCCACTGGGCATAGTGGCTCACACCTGTAATCCCAGTACTCGGAAGGCTGGGGCAAGAGTATCGTTGGGAGTTCGAGACCAGCCTGTGCTACAAAGTAAGCTCAAAGCCAGCCTGAACTGCATAGTGAGACCTTATTCAAAAAGACAAAAAAGAGAGCATACAGCTAGGTTAAGTTTTATTTCTTTAACATAATATTTTCATTGGAGGAAGTTCAAATCATAAAATGACTGTGGTTTTAAAGCTGTTTGTCCATCCATCTATCTTTCCTTCCTTCCTTCCTGTGCTAGGTACTGAAGCCAGGGCTCTGCACATGCCAAGCCTGCACTCAGCCACCGAGCCATCCCTTAGCCCCCAAAGTTGCATTTGCGTTATTCATCCATGGCCCGGCTTCTAACCCCAGATGTCATGTTACCTTTGCAGAGACTCAGAAAGCAATATTTATTCTAGACCAGCAGGCTTTCTCTTCCTGGGGTCTCACAAAACTAGATAGTCTCACTTAATAGCATTTGGTGTCCCTGTGTAGAGAGAAAGAGGAGGATGAACTTCCCCACACTTACCATAGGTCCACGTTGTAAGCACACTTAGGCTGTGCTGCCCACTAGATGTAGGTGTATGTAGGGAACTCTTCCTGCCAGGTTAGCCATCCAGGAGGAGGATTCAGAAAGCCTTTGGGATGTCTGCTTAGGATCCCAAAAGCAGAAGCGGTCCTGATCTGTGCAAATGGTGATTATGTGGGGTTTTTGTTTGCTTGTTTTGAGGGTTTATTTTGTTTTGCATTCAGCAAGTTGAACCCAGGACCTCATACCATGTACTGCTGAACTACACTCCCAAGCCTTTCTCATTTTTAGGGTCTTACTAGGTTGCTCAGCTGGCCGTAAACTTGTCACCCTCCTGTCTCAGCCTTGTAAGGGGTTACAGGTATTCACCGTCACAGCCAGCTGGTCTGTGTGATCCTGGAGATTTTTTTTTTTTTTTTTTTTTTGGACTTTTTCCTTTTTATCAGTACCAGGGATCGAACTCACGACTGCCTGCTTGCAAGGCAGGTGCTTTTGCCGCTGAGCTAAATCCCCAGTCTTGTCTGTGTGATCCTAACACAAAGAAAGAAACTCGACTGTCAGTTGATTCTTCAGCATATGTGTTGATCCAGACTTCCTTAACAGATAGATAGTAGAAAAGGAGGAAGCTAGGGCTGGGGATTTAGCTCAACGGCATAAGCACCTGCCTTGCAAGCAGACAGTCGTGAGTTTGATCCCCAATACCAATAAAAATGAAAAAGACAAAAAAAAAAAAAGAAAAGGAGAAAGCTGAAGACAAGAGAAAAGCAGAAATAGATTATCCTTCAACTTTGTTGCTGTGTGCATTATATTTTGTTTTAGTATTTTGTAGGTTTTAAGTTTTTGATTTTGTGTGTGGCTAGGACCAGTTTTCCGTATCTAGCTGCATAAAACAGATAGGTTTCCTGTTTTCTAGTGGAAGGGAAAAATGAGAAGCAAAGACATTAACAAGATCATTTCCTTTTAGAAATTGTCATTACTCAAATCTAATGAAATACAGAAAGATGACATCTGTGTTAGTCACCTTTCTCATTACAGAAACAAGCTGGCCAACACCCAGAGTTAAAAGGAGGAAAGGTTTATTTAGCTCACAATTTGTACAGGTTTTAGTCCACTGTCTGCTGACTCCAAGGCAGGGTGGCATCACAGAGTAGAAACAGTTCATGGACAGAAGGCAGCAAACTGCAAATGACAAGCTATACACAGTGACCTCTTTCGGTCCCATATCTCCTATCTAGGGTTTACATTCTTTGGGCAGGCGGCACTCACAGCCAGGGTAGGGCAACTCTAACCCTAGCATCAAACAGTGAATCAATCCCAGCACCACATCCTTGATCCCAGCAGTATGCACCCTAGGTCCAGCCACCTTTGAAAAGCCCACCTATGCCCTCAGGAGCTTCGAGGAGACAGCTACAAATAAGTCAGAGCAACACCCACATAAAATTGTCTTTCTAAGAGATGCTGCCAGGTGTCCCCAAGAGAGACCTGGATGGTGATGGCTGATGGATTTTATAGAACGTTGGGATACAAAGCTGCTATTTGTTTAAATAGAATTAAATATGAAATCATCTGTCCTAGTCAGTCACTTAGGGCTAGACGTCTCCTGAGATAAAAGCACATCTTCAGCTTTTCCAGGAATGGCTTCATTGTGAGTCTGAGTAGTCATGAAGCCAGGCAGAGACCTTTGAAGCTTTCCAGCCGCTGGAGAGCAGCTCCAGGGTTCTGGGCAGGTGCCTCAAGCTGGCTAGGACTCATGGTGAGGGTAGCTTGGCAGGGAGCCCTCACCTGCCATGCAGGAGACTCTGGGTCAGTCCCCATCAGACAATGTAAAACACCGTTCATGGGCAGTAGCCTTGACACGCAGGTGCTTCTAGAACAACTTCTCCTGGTAGCTCAAAAAAAGAAAGATTTTCATTCTCAGACCACTGCCATGTCAGGCAGTGGTGGTGTCCCCGACAGGCAGTCAGAGTGTGGGACTCAGATGAAATCTTCTTCCTTCTTTCTTGTACAACACTCACATCTCGTATGTCACACAGATGGCAAATCCAGTGTTTCCCATAGCAGAAGTAACGGGCTCTCTGGAGGAGACATGTCCCGTTTGGCAGTAATGACAGTGGTGTTTCAGGAGGAACCTGGCCCAAATATGTAGGCATCCAGTCTGCTGCGAAACCTTAGTAACATTTACAGGCAAGACCTCTGCTTGTGTTCAGGAGCCTGAGGACATAAACACAGACGACGAAGTAGAGGACACCTGTGACAACAAGGAGGACGACCTGGGGGCTGTGGAGGAGCAGCGCAGCATCATCCTGCACCTCCTGTCCCAGCTCAAGCTGGGCATGGACCTGACGCGGGTATGTGCGGGGCTGAGCTGACCACGGGCCAGCTCCTTGCGGCCACACCTGGGGTTGTTCACGGGGTTGGGCTTTTCCTGTTCACCACTAAGTTCTCTCTTCCTCCCTCCCCACCTCTCTCTTGGTGATACTGGGGCCTCTTAAATGCTCAGCAAGTGCTCTAGCTGATTCCCAAACTTTAAGAGTTTATTGGGAAGCCATGTGTGGTAGCCCAGCACTCAGGAGACAGGCAGGAAGATCATTGATCTTCCTGGACTGCACCAAGTTCAAGTTGCAAGACTTGCAAAGAGCAAACGAAAAGATTGTTTCAAAACAGTCTCCATAAGGTGCACAGGCTGATCTTGAACTTCAGATCTTCCTGCCTCAGCCTCCTGAGTTGCTGCCATCACAGGCACAAGCTATAATGCTTGGTTTGGTATCCTAATGCATCCCTGCTTTCTCCCCCAATACCGGGGATTAAGGCTAGGCCTCATACTTCTTGTTTTTGTAATAAACCTGAGACTTGTGGTAGATAAATACCTGTAGTCTTACTGTTTCTGCACATTAATGTGTCAAGTGTGAAGTCTGAGGCGGATAGAACCCTGCAGAGCTGGACAGAGCACTGATCTTCACATGCCCTAAACACCGAGTATGAGCAGCACATTGGGGTACACCTGACACTGGCTGTAAAGGGTCAGATAGTACAGTGGCCATGTTCTGTGTAGCAGCTCCTCTCCTGCAGGATGTACTAGAGGTAGATAGTCATGGCTATGCTTCAGCTAAATTTTATAAAAGCAAAGCTGGCCATGATGGTGCACACCCATAATCCCAGCGCCTCAAAAGGCTGAAGCAGGAGGGTCTCGAGTTCAAAGCCAACTCAGACAATTTAGCAAGATCCTATACCAAAATAAAATTTCTTAAAAGAGCTGGAGACATAGCTTCATGGTCGTGTCCCTGTCTGTTGTGCGCAAGCCCAGGGTGCAGCTCCAGTACCACAAGGATGAGACAGGAGTGGTGGACTCCATGCTTAGTGTACACAGCACCTTGGCTTCGGGCTGCAGCGCCACGAAGCAGACAGGCGGGAGACCAGGCTCGGCCTGAACACTGAATGTGCGGCGTGGCACGCAGTCCCACTACCTTCAGAGTGTGGAGCTGCAGCCCTGTCACCTTATCACCCCATGAAACCTGTGACGAGGCAGAATCCTGGCAGGAGACCCGGACGTGACAGGCCAGGTGGCTTTCTCATCAGGTCCCGTCAGCTGCCACAATGCAGCGAGACCCATGCGTAGGGAGGCCGCCTTGTGGTTTGGCTTAGGCCAGTCTTCTGGTCCCCGTATATTCCAGCTGCCTGTCATTCGTTCAGGAAGCATTTTCACAGTAGCAGCTCAGGAAGTCTTGTTACCTTTGAAACTGGTTAAGGGGACTGGTCCTCAGAGGGGTTGCTGGTAGGAGTTGGGGTGGTATTTGGTGTCCTAGGCTGAGTCTGGGAGGCATAAAAATGGCATTGAGGCTGATGAGGTGAAAGCTCATTGAAGAGAATGTTCTAGAACCCAGACAGTGAAGCCCTCTGTCACACGGATGACCCCCACCACATTTGTGCCCAGTCAGTGAAACATGTGTTCTGTCGGCCACGCCCAGACTGAGTGTTCACGGACCATGTAGCTGACGTTTGTCATCCACTTCCTTTGCTGGACAGTTTTTCCCCTGTGTCTGTGCTATGGACTTGTGGTTTAGTGTAGGAAGCAGCAGCACAGGCATAGCTGGCAGGATGAGGGGTGGCTGCACCCCTCTCGCCTGGGTCCCGGCCTCTCCTCCTCCTACAGGGGCAGGGGTCTGGAGGAAGCAGGTAAAGCAGGTGGTGGAGGCTGAGACAGGCACCAAGTATCCCCGCCCCGGGGCTGCAGGAGCCAGATCTCCCACTATTCAGGGAGCATCTGCGGGAGGTGGAGGGGGGGGGTCCTGCATGGAGCCCCAGTGCACCTCCTGCCTGAGTCAGAAATCGGCCAAGGTGGAGTGGCCATTCGGCCTCCAGATGGCACAACTGCTGCCCCAAGAGGCCACATGTTCTATGGGGCTGCCGAGCTAGGGGGCCGCAGGAGTTTCACACACCCGCGCGTTCACCAGTTGTGTCCTCGCCCTACCAGGACCCCCTCGTCCCGTCTTCCTCAGTGTCTCACTCTGTGGGACCGCATCTGATAGGGGTCTGTCTTGCCCTCAGGCTGCGCGCTGGCATGGATGGGACTTGTCAGCCACCCCTCCCTGCAGAGTTCTCTGAAAAAGCCTCAAGGCATTCTGGCCACTGCCCTCTTGTGAATGCTGCTTTGCTCTGTGAAACCATTCATATCTTGTTGCAATGACATATCTTGATACAGGTTTATTTGTGTCCATTGTAGACTTTTTGTGGATGTTTTTATTGTGACAACTAGTAGATTTTCTTCTGGTGACAGGTCTCATTGTATAGCCCAGGCAAACCTTGAATTCATTATTGTCCTGCCTCAGCCTCCTGAGTGCTGGAATTTCAGGCATGCTCCACCATGCCCCATTCAAATATAGATTATTTTAATTACTATTTTGCACTCCTTTTCTTTGCTTGTATTATTTCTTTTCTTTAGGCTGAATTCCTGGAAGAATAATTACCAGGCTGACTCTGAACATCTTAGGACTCTTGAAAAATACTGCCAGTTTCCTCTTTCAAAGAGTGGAACTCTTTCAGAGCTTCTCCAATTGTGCTTTAAAACATTATGTCTTACACAGCTTTCGATGTTGAAAGTTCTCTTCTTAGAAGCAGTTCTTTGCCCCCGACATGGGTTGAGAGTTCGTACTTACTAGCAGGAGCGTCCTCTCTCTTCTCAGGAACCCGCCTTTGCGGCCTCCTCTCGTAATGTGGTCAGTCACCCCGAAGTTTATTCTTCAAGGCAAGATAGGATACAACATACACATGGCTCACGTCTACCTTGGACTTCAGTGCATTTTCCTGGCGATCCTTGTGTCTAGTCTGGAAGCCTGAAGCTTCTGCTATTCTTTCTGACTCTCTTGATGTCCTGAATTTGCTTTTAATGGTAACCACTGAGCAGGCTCTCATTTCCTTCTACGGGTATTTATTTTCTGTTGGGAGCAAAAGCTTTCTTTGTTGTCTGTCACTTTAGGGAGGGGTTTATGCTGGCCTTGAGCTCACTGCAACCCTCCTGCCTCAGCCTCCCCGGTGCTGGGATGACAGGTGGGCACTACCATACCCGCTTGACCTTTTCTGTAAATCCCCGTGTAGAATTCAGTGCTTTCCAGGACTGCCTGATCTTGCCTCCTGTGGCCTCTCCTCCCAGGTGGTGCTCCCCACCTTCATCCTGGAGAAGCGCTCCCTGCTGGAGATGTACGCAGACTTCATGTCACACCCGGACCTGTTCGTCGCCATCACGAGTGGCGCCTCAGCGGAGGACAGGATGATCCGCTTCGTGGAGTACTACCTCACCTCCTTCCACGAAGGCCGGAAGGGCGCCATCGCCAAGAAGCCCTACAACCCCATCCTCGGGGAGACCTTCCACTGCTCCTGGCGGGTGCCCAGGCACGGCTCCGAGGCCCAGCCCGCCCCTGCGCCTGAGGAGCCCACCACCTCACCCTGCTACACTGTGCGCTTCGTGGCTGAGCAGGTGTCGCACCACCCACCAGTGTCCGGCTTCTACGCCGAGTGCGCAGAGCGGAGGATGTGCGTGAACGCGCACGTGTGGACCAAGAGCAAGTTCCTGGGAATGTCCATTGGCGTAACCATGGTGGGCGAGGGTGAGTGCGCGGGGGAGCGGTGTGGACCCGACAAGTTCTCCGGTTACCTGGTTTGCATGTGAGAGATATTTAGCATCAAAAAAGTACGTGAGGGAGGAGATAGGCATCTCTGACCCCTAGAGAGGAAATAGATAACTTAATTGCTATCATTTTGTGTTCTGTGTGTATGCTCATAAATTTAGTTTTACAAAATTAGGATTCTGCATGTATAGTTTAGTGACCCACTTTTTTATACTAGATATATTCATTTTCTCATATCATTGTTTTTAATGGCTGTATAATATTAGGTAAAATGCATTTGCCATCATTTGTTAATTTATTTTCTGCTGTTTGGACACTGAAATTCTTTCCAAAAGTCACAACAAGAAATGTCTTGCAGCCAGTCATGGTCGTGCACACCTATAATTCTAGTACTCAGGAAGCTAAGACAAGAGACTCTCAAGAGGCTCCATCATGATTTTCAGACCAGCCTGGAACTGCACAGTGAGACCTTGTCTCAAAAAATGAACAAAAAGAAATACCTTCTTGATACATCTTTATGTCTCATAACTGTTTAGAGGCCATGAATATTTTAAAAATACATTGCCAAATTTTACTGCTCTTTTATCAAAAGGTATGAAAAAATAATTTGAAGCAATACAGTGTGTTTCAGCCAATAATACAAAACAAAAATCTCCACAGAGACCATTAAAAATTTAATGAAAATATACTGGGAAAAGCTGCCATTTTAACTGTAAAGAAAAGCTTTTGTGAAAATGTTATAGGAGTGTCGATGTCCGCTCCCGGCCGGCAGGAAGGACACACGACAAAGTCTGGCAGTGGACAACCTTTTCTTTTATTTTCCTTCTCCGTACAGCCTGCCCTGGGATCGCTCCCAGCCGAAGCCTCCTCTGGTCCGCTCTCCGCGGCTCCTTTTGGGCTTCTACTTCCGGGCTTCTACCGGGCTTCCTCTTCCCCCCCAGGGGTGGCACCAGTATATATACGGATACAGTGTCCAATCATGTTAAAGTAAGCAAGGCAAGCTGATTGGCTAACGGATACAGTGTCCAATCATGTTAAAGTAAGCAAGGCAAGCTGATTGGCTAACATCATCAGTTGCCAGGCAGACTATATTGTTGAGCGGGTTGCTTACGCGGTAAGCAGGAAACTAACGTGCTCGATGGGAGGGGTAATCTACCTCAGGCTTTGCTCTTTACTACAGGCCTCACGTCCGCCAAGTGAGGCGACCGGGCTCGGGGCTGCGGCTCCCAACAATAGGAGGAAATTGTTTTATCCCTATTTTCAGTTTGCCATGTTTTTAAGTTCTGTTATGAGATGTCTTTTTAATTCCCAAGTAATATTTCAAGTTAATTATAACTCTCAGCATTGGGAAGTCCTCATGATTTATTTAAAAAAACTTGGCCACTTCAGACAGAAGCTGTATTATAACCCTTGCCTTAGAGTTCATAGATCAGTTTGTTTACTTTAGATTTTGTTTTCCAGTACCAGGGCTCTAACTCAGGAACTCGCACTTGCAAAGCAAGTACTGTGCCACTGAGCTTAGTCCCTAGCCCCTGTTATTCAGTTTAGAAAGGAACCCGCCATCTAGCGGTGGTCATAAAGGCTGAGGCCTGACAGGGTTGGGCGTCACCTGCCCTGATGCTCTGACCCTGAGGACAGAAGGAATCTCAAGTGGCTGCCCCTCCCACCTCCTGGAGAGGGATTCCTTAGGCCAGAAGGAGAGGCCTCGGCCCCTAGTCATGTGGGAAGATGTCTTGAGTAGGCTTTTATTATCCAGCCACTATTATATATTCACACGCTGCATTTTGGAAATTAAATGACATAGTTTATTCTGAGCAGGAAGTAAATAAAATAAGGAAATGGAATTTATTAGTATTCATTTTGTTCCTGTTAGATGTTAGCAATAGGAAGAAATTCAATTTAGTTTAGATAAATGAGATTTTAGAATACTGGATCCATTGCTCAAAACTGGTTGAGTATCTCTTCAGAGTTTAATACTCTTAGAAATAAAAGTTTAAGGGGTTTAGCTCAGCGGCCTAAATGCCTGCTTAGCAAACGCAAGGTCGTGAGTTCAATCCCCAGTATCAAAAAAAAAAAAAAGAAAGAAAGAAAAGTTCATAAACCTGGCCTATAAGATAGCCAGGCATGGTGACACACGCCTGTAATCCCAGCACTTGGGAGGCTGAGGTAGGGGGATCAAGGCCAGCCTGGCTACAGAGTGAGTTCAGGGTCAACCTGAACTACACAGTAAGACCCTGTCTCAAAGGAAAAACTGGAAGCAAAGCTCTTGTAAATCAGGAGGGGAAAAGGGGTTGAGAGGAACAGGAAAAAAGAAACAAGACATATCAGGTACAAATCCCCTATGATGAGTGTGAGCATTGTGTATATCTAAAATATAGCAATAAAGTAAAAGGTGTTTGTTTGTCTTTTTCCTTTTTATCGGTACCAGGGATCGAACCCACGACTGCCTGCTTGCAAGGCAGGCATTTATGCCGCTGAGCTAAATCCTCAGCCCCAAGTAAAAGTTTTTTATAGATAAGATACTTTCACAAAATTGATAAAAATGCCCTTTTCCAACCTAGAGTTAGTCAGCAGTCATTGCTGGCTCCTGCCTGTCTCCCGCAGCCCTGGTACAGTAGAGTAGATGTCAGCCAGGACCCGACCGAGTTGCCGAGGAGCTGGCCGGGACCCTGGTGAGGATTGCTGGCTGCAGTCTGGTGCTGCTCACTGTGGGCTGCGGTAGAATCCCACCGTATCTTTGCCTACCCTGAAAATTAACTATTAAATAAAAGTTTCCATGTGTGCCAGACGTGGTTGTACACACCTGTAATCCCAGCACTCAGGAGGCTGAGGCAGGAAGATTGTTGCGAATTCAAGACCACCCTGAACTGCATAGCGAGACCTTGCCTCAAAAAAAAAAAGTTTCTGTGGCTCGTGGCCTGGTGGGTGAGCATTAAGAAGAGGTTCAGACCACCTCTCGGAGAGAGGTGGGGCCAGACACGCAGGTCTGGTGTGTCCTTCAGCCAGTAATACAGCTTGGTGACTTCAGGATCTCTTCATGACCTTGTGTGGATCATGACTCATTAGTGTAAGCCTTGGTGTAGGTCTCAAAATCCTCTTTAAGACTTCATCACTTTGCTGGTCCGATGGTAGTGGGTTATCAGAACTTGTTAACATTAGTGTCACTAAAGTTGGTATACCACCCCCCCACACTGCTAAATTTGACTGGCTTTAAAAAAAAAAAAGACTTCATCACTTCAGGGCCAGGGATTTAGCTCAGTGGCATAAAAGCCTGCCTGGCAAGCATAAGGTTGTGAGTTTGATCCCTAGTATCGCAAAAAAAATCAAAAAAAGACATCATCACTTCAGATGGAACTAATTCGCCCCGGTAGAATAGTGACTGTCTGAAACCCCACCCGGCTCCTTGTATAGCTTCACCCTAAGTATTTCAGCAAAATATGTCACATCCAGAGTTTTCACAGTAGAATTGTCTCTCCTTCTTTATACGCACCCACTAGAATGGCAAGCACTTTCCCACCACGTTGAGCTAAGCCCTTTGCTCTGGTGACGGTGGCTGTCTGGTTCTCCCCAGACTGCTGAAGAGGCAGCCGGTGCTACTGGGACTGTGTCCTAATGTGATGCCAGTGGCAAGGCCCTGAGCACTGCCTTGTGGCCGCATGCAGCTCAGGCTGGCCTGGAACTCACTCCACAGCCCACGCTCCCAGCAGTGAGCTTCGAACTCACGGCAGTGCTCCTGCCTCATCCTCCAGAGTGCTGGGATTAGAGGCGTGTGCCACCATCCTTGGCCTTGTGACTTTGTTTTATTGGTGGGTATGTTCACGGAAACTCAGGCTGCTTCTGCTGTCACATTCCCTGGCCCTGTGAACTCCAAAGACATCATCAGGTCACAGTGAAAGTAATTCTCGGGCTGGGAATTTAGCTCAGCAGCATAAGCGCCTGCCTTGTAAGCAGGCAGTTGTGAGTTCAATCCCCGGTACCGATAAAAAAGGAAAGGAAAAAGACAAAAAAAAATGTAATTCTCTTCCTTATCACCAGGAAATGTTGTCACATATAAATGAAGTCAGTGTTGCCCAAAGTTAAATGAAGATTGAATGAAACTGTGATGTTTGTTGTTAGACGAGAGAAAAATCTGCGCACGAGCACATCTCCATTTGTGTAAGCACATGCTGACCCCTCACATCTTGCTTGCAGGGGTCCTCAGTCTGCTGGAGCACGGGGAAGAGTACACCTTCTCCCTACCCTGCGCATACGCCCGCTCCATCCTGACCGTGCCTTGGGTGGAACTGGGCGGCAAAGTCGGTGTCACCTGTGCCAAGACGGGCTACTCAGCCAGCATCACCTTCCACACCAAGCCGTTTTACGGTGGCAAACTCCACCGGTAAGGACCCCTGCATCCGTCAGCTCTCAGCCTTCTCCCCAGTCTTTCACGATGACTCCTGACTCTTCTGCTCCTTTGTTTTAGGTGAATGAGATTCGTTCACGTTTGCGTTTTGCTGAATGTGTTTTATCTTTCACGGTGTTCTGGAAATCATGACTTAGATAGCTTGTCTCATTTTGTTTGAGGGCTATTTTTGGCCCTACTGCAAGTGCCCTCTCCCACTGAGCTGAGTCCCCTGAGGTTTAAGGTAGCTGATTATTAATCTGTCAGTTCTTGGCAGATCTTCCTGAAGGAAGTCGCTAATGGCACATACAAAAGAATTTCTAACCGAGACATACACAGTCTCTGCCAGATTCTGCCTCCAAGAGAATCCAGATTTGTATCCAGATCTCAGTGGAGGCAGCTTTTGCTACCAACTCAGATTAAAAAAAAAAAAAAAAAAAAAAAAAGACCTCTATTCCCAAGAAACCTGGGTGTAGCAACAAACACAAGCTTATCATCCTAGCAATTGGGAGGCTGAGACAGGAGGATCGCCACAAGCCCGAGGCCAGCCTAGGCTACATAGTGAGACCCTGTCTCAAAAAACAGAAACATTATAGTGGTTGAAAGCAGCATCCTGGGGCACCAGTACTGAACTGACAGCTTCTCTGTAATATCGCCTGGGAACCGGCCAGTTCTGACCTGTACCCTAGCCCAGGCCCCAGACCACAAGAGGACGAATTCCCAGTGGGACAAACTCTGTCCTTGGCCCCTCAACACCTGTTCTGAGTGTCCTGGAAGTACAGGGTTTTCTCTTCCTATAATGTCTCTGAAAAAGCAGCACCCATGCAGAAATGTACAGATTGGTAAGTGTTCACCAAACAAAAATACGCACACCTGGACCTGGATGTGGCCCATTCTTACCCCTCCATCCCCAGCAGTCAGGGCTGCCAGTTCAGTCTCCATGTGGAGGGCTCCTGCAGCGCGTGCTCTGCCCTGTGCACCCACTGTGCTCAGTGTTGGGATCTGAGACCTGCCCGTGTACACTCACAGTCTTCTGCTGTGGAAGACTGTTCACACACGTGTTCTTAGGTTGAGGGTGACTACCCACAGGGCTGCCTGTCACTCTCTGGTGCCCATGTGATGGGCTGCTACTGCTGCATAGATACCTGGGGCAGGGCTTCTCAGCCGCAGGGTAAGCAGGACCTCAGCAGAAGCTGCCGAGCTGTGTTTGGTGATTAAATCGGAACGTACCCCGCAGTTGGTCCCCAGACTTCCTCACTGAAGCCTGGCTTTCAGCAGTCTGGAAAGAACTGGAGAGAAAACCTGTTTAGCTCTGCAGCATTGAGTGAGCCTTTAAAAACAGATTTCAAAACAGTCCAGCAGTAAGTACTTTCTAAAGAATAAAGGCTGTCTAAGCAGAGCCAGCAGCAGGTGTCGGTGTGGTCACCTCTCACCCTGCAGCGAGTGTTGGCAGGGTTTGCACTTTGCCGTGTGCTTCTGCGCACTGCTCTGCCTCGTGACCCCAGTGCACGAGCCTTGGCACTGGGAGGGGCTCAGACACCTCAAGACACTGCCAGGTGTCCAGGGCTGTGCCCGAACCTATACCTGATGGGCTCTGTCTCTGTGTGACACTAATTTTTTGTTTTTGTTTTTGTTTTGCTTTGTTTTTGGTCTTTTTGAGACAGGGTCTCACTGTGCAGTGCAGGCTGGACTTGACTTCACTTTGTAGCCCAGTCTGGCCTCAGACGCACAGCAATCTGCCTGTCTCAGCCTCCCAAGTGCTAGAATTATAGGTGTGTGCCACCATACCTGACCTTCTTCTCTCCCTTCCTTCCTTCTTTGGATTTCATTGAGGGTGGACTCCAAGTCTCCAAGGCAGGTGCTCCAGCACTGAGCTGCACCCCGGCCGCTGTTTATGGCTCATTAGTGCACATGGTTCCTGATCTGTTCAGTATATTTTCTGAATAAGGAAACATGGGCGATTTCAGTTTCCTTCCTGAAAAGTATTTACAGGCCCCACGACTTCTTGCTTATGGAGAGGGGCAGAATTGCATCCAGGGCCTTCATGCTAAGCCACAGCCCTACCACCACCACCACCCCCTTTTTTCATTTTTTTTTTTTTTTTTTAATTTTGAGACGGGTTCTTACTGAGTTGGCCAGGCTGGACCTGAATGTGTGATTTACCTGCCTCAGCCTCCCAGAGTGCTAGTATTACAAATGTATACCACCACCCCTGGCTTGAAATTTCATTCTCAGAGTACATGTGTATATGTGTGTATCCATGATTATGTGTGTGCATGTTTGTGTGGAAACATTTAATTTATACACAAAACTATTTGACTGTTTTATTTCTTCAGCTGCAGCTTTTTTTTTTTTTTTTTTTTTTTTTTTTTGTCTTTTTCGTTTTTATCGGTACCTGGGATCGCACTCACGACTGCCTGCTTGCAAGGCAGGCACTTATGCCGCTGAGCTAAATCCCCAGCCCCAGCTGTCAGCTTTTTGACAGCTCTGTACTGTTTGTGCCCTTGGTTACAGTGAGCGATCTGTGAATATTTGCATGATCTTCTTGGGAGATGTGGCAACTCCCATCACTTTGCCCTGTGCCAATCCTTTTTGCACTGCCGCCCGGGGGCTGCTCCCAGCAGCCCTCGGCCATTGTTCGGGATCTCTGCAAGGCCCTAGTGTTGGACTTTTCCAAGCCACGGGCAGTGCTGCCCCCTTCCTCCTCCAGCCTTGCCCTCGCCTGGCTGCCGTGGGTTTCATTTCCCTCCCTCCGAGTTTAGTGTCTTTAATTTCTCACTTAGTGACCTGAAGCGCTGAGGTGGTGGCTGTGGTCTAAGGTGTATTCTCTGCCTGGAACCTAAAGGGAACCGCAGAGGCAGCGGGGAGCCCGCTAGATTGGGCAGCACTAGAATCGGCGCTAGCACAGTGGAGATCAGCCTGCCAGAGACAGGCAGGGTGGTGCCTCCACCAGGCAGTTGGGGTTAGGGTATCTGTGTCCAAACTGTGCCCATCCAACCCAGGGGTACTATCCTTCTTCTCCTGCATGTTAACTATGTTCGTCTAGCCATTTACTAAGTCCTTGCCTTGGAATCTATTGTAACTTGATATGAGAATATGAGACTATCGTGTGCCAGCGAGTAGCCAAAGGCAGTTTCTTCTTGGGGCCCAGTCTCTGTAAAAACAAAAACTGGACTGCAAAATAGCCAGGGTGGTGGAGGAAATAAACCTGGTTAAGCACTGCATGTATTTTTGTCAGCACCAATTAGGCCGAGTACTGAAACCGAGGGTGTTGATTACATGCAAATTCGATCACAGTAAACCCCAGCTCCAGAAAGAAATTGGTCGGCAGTGAGGGAATGTTAAAGAACTTTTACTCTGGTGTTTGTACTCTGTGAAGACACAACTTATCAGAGATTGCGACTCCTCACTGGTATCTGGCAGAGCTCTGTGTGACTGGGTGACCGGTGTGCACCCAGCAGGGTTTATTTTCCATAAATGCAAAAGTCCCAAACCATTTTTCGTGGGCCAGTGCTTTATCTCACCTTGAATTATAACAACATACCGTAAAACGTGTTAACCATATTTTCAGGGTACTGTGATGCAGAGAATCAGAATTCATCCTCTTAACTCTCGCCTGGCTCTCTGGGTCCCTGGCAGTGTCACATGTGAGAGGAGGCCAGGGACCAGGGCCCTCAGGATGCATGGTGGGGGTGAAGTCAGCGCCCCTGGCCTCTGCTGCTGGCAGTGACTTCTCTGACACTTAGGGCTGGAAACAGAGGCTTATGCGTCTCTCACCTGCTTAGGGTCCTTCTCCCTTGTGCCCACTGTGTAGCCAGGGCCAGGAGGTGCCCGGGCATGATCCTGGGGCTAAGCCCACTCTTGCCATCTCTGTGCTCACTCATGACAGGGGACCTGAGTGTGACCCTATGTCACATGGGCTTTTCCCGACTAGCAGCTGAGGGTCAGAGACAGAGCTAAGCATTTCAGAAACTTTACTGGCTTTTTATACCTACTTTTCATATTTTTTATGAAAACTTAATGTTTCAGGTAGACATGATCATTTTTGCTAACAAGCAGTTATTATGTTTCTTTCAATTTCTTTTATCCTGTTTCTTTCAATTTCTTAAATTGGCTCATTTACCCCTTTCTACTCTTTAGCTACCCAAGTGACAGGTTCCTCCAGCACTCATGCCTATCTGTCTTCTGTGTCGCTCTGTCCCCACCCCTTCTCCCTCTGCATCCACAGCATCCCTTTCCTTAATTTGGCCAGCTACAAGGTCTCTTTTCTGTCATCTGTAAACCAGTGGGCTTGCCTAACATGGCTGCGCTTCTGTGTGCAGAGACAGACAGAAGCGTGCAGTTTAATGTTATAAAGACTTAGGAGCTGGGCATGGTGATGCACGCCTGTGAGCCCAGCACTTGGGAGGCTGACAGAGGAGAATGATCTCAAGTTCGAGGCCAGCCTGGGCCACACAGGAAGATCCTGTTTCAAAAACCAACAAAATAAAGTGTGAAGCCTGGGATGTTGGTGCATGCCCGTGACCCTCGCTGCGTGGGAAGCTGAGGCAGAAGGATTACAAATTTGAACCCCACCCAGTTGGTTTAGCAAGGCCTTGTCTCAAAATAGAAGGGAAATACAAAGGGCTGAGGACGCAGCTCGCTGCTGCTTGGCTCTGGTCACAGTGCTGGGGGCGGGGGCGGTGTCTGCCCCACAGTGGACAGAGCCACAAAGACGAAATGAGCGTGAAGACAGAGCAGGACAGTGGCACCATGAAGCCAGGGCTAGGTGGTCACTGTCATGAAACACAAACTGTAGTCCTCCCTTGATGCCCGAGGAGTTCTCCTTTTCCCGTGGAGGGAACGGGTTACCTTTTTTTCCTCCTCAAATCAATCTTATTTCAAAGAAGAAGAAAAATAAAATCTCAAAATGCATCAATCAGGGGACAACAACGGTACCTACATTGCACATTGCCACCCCAAAATCAGTGATCAGTCACCCATTGACTCAGTGGTCCCAGCAGTCCCAGTGCCAGCTTTTCTCCAAAGGGCACGGCGGCAGCGGCCACAGGTACTGTCTCCCTGACTGTTCATGCTCGGGTGGCCTTCGTGTCCAGAGACAGGGCCTAGAGCACCTAAGGGTCGGTCGTCTGTGTTTTAGAACTAGGCAAGGCCTCGCTGTCAAGTTGGTTTTTACAGTTATTCTGTATTAATTATGACAATCCTGGCCCTTCCCCGTCACACTGCCTCAGCCCACAGCAGCCCATGAGGCTCAGGGACCACGCTCGTTGACATTTAAAAAGCCGGCAAAGTCACACACAGGAAAACACACAGACTTAGGTATACATCCTCTGTGTTTAGCCAAAGCGTACATCCCAGTAGCCCTCAACTCTATGAAGGGTGCAGTGTCCCTGTCACCCCTGAAAGCCCCTCCCCCGGCCTGTCTGGGAGCTGCCACCGCAAGGGCCACCATCCTCAAGGTTCTTCCACTACAGCCCCTTCCCCATCTAGACGACCACGTACCTTGTGCATTCCAATGAGGCTCCCTTCTTTGCACCACTTTTTGTTCACACCCATCCTTTCAGTGTCACACTTGGCCTCTTTACAGCTGAGTAGTACTCCCCCTCTGGGCTAGCTCTGCTGCACACTCTTCTGCTGCTGCTGCCCACCTGGGTCATTTCCGGCTGGGGTCTGTGAGGGGTGATGCCGCTGTGGGCTGTGCTTGGCAGGCCTGTGTGTGGACACAGGTTTTCTTGCGTGGCAAACACCCAGGCTCAGAATGACTGGCTCACAGGGGAATGTTTAAACCCAGGAGGGACAGATTGTTTTCTAGAGTGACTGGCCGCGCGTGGGACCCATCTGCATTTCACATTAGCGATGCTGAAGCCTCTGCCAAGAACCTTTTGCTCATGTAAAGGCTGGCTTTTCTGGAAATGTTAGGAGTTTTCTTTATGTATCCTTCCCTAGGTAGGAGTTGCTTGTAAGAGACACATTTTAAAAATGTGTTCTCTGAGGGCTTCCCTGTTCATCGTCTCAGGGGTGTCTTCTGATCCACAGATTCTAGTTTTCATGAGATGCATTTTGTATTTTTTTGTATGAATAATGCGCATGGCTTATGTTTTTAAAATCCTTTGTCCCCCAGCAGGGTATTAAAATAGTCTCCTGTACTTTCCTTTAAAAGCTCTTTGGGGGCCAGGGATTTAGCTCAGTGGCTTAAGTGCTTGCCTGGGGTAAGCACAAGGTCGTGAGTTCAATCCCTGGTACCAACAAAACAAAACAAGTACAGTATTCAAATAGAAGCTCTTTGGGTTTAGCTTTTAAGTTTCAGGTGATGGTCATGATTAATTGGATTAATTTGGTACGCGGTATGAGAGGTGTATGTGGATATCTAGTTTTCCAGCACCGCTTGTCTCCCGCACATCAAGGCATACGCCTCCACACCTGGTGTACTCATTTTTAAATAAAGAAGAGGAGACGGACTGGCCTTTAGCTCACTGTGTAGCCCAGGCTGGTCTCGAACTCACAATGATCCTCCTGCCTCAGTCTCCGGAGTGCTAGGATTACAGGCATCAGCCTCCACGCCCCTGATAAAAGAGTAGTTTTTAAAATTATAGAATTATTACAATTTTAGCCAGGCATGATGGCACACGCACCTGTAATCCCACCACTCAGGAAACTGAAGCATGAGGATCACTATGAGTTCGAGGCCAGCCTGAACTGCATAGCAAGATCTTGTCTCAAGGAAAAAAAAAACATTGTTAGACTTTAATAAAGAATATTGTTAAGTTATCACACTTCAGTTTTGGTGATGAAGTCTACTTTTATGCCTAGTAGTGGGGTTTTTGGGAGAAGGGGGTTGGGATGGGTGGGTTAGGATATTTTTGCTTGTTTTTAGGGGGAAAGGTTTAATTTTGGGGTTTTTGGAGACAGTCCCACTGTGTGCTGGCCCCAAACTTGCATTGACCCTTCTGCTTCAGCGTGCTGAGTACTGGAATGACAGGCGAGCACTGCCACCCCAGTGGTCTGGTAATCTTCCTAAAGATTAAAATTGACCTGGTGGGGGGTGTCTCTGAGTGTACCCTGTGGTTTACAAAGGGAGTCCGGCTTTGGCACCAGCAAACTGCCATGTGTGGTACTGGAAGTCTTCAGGGCACCCGGATGTCACTGATGTGTGCCTCTCTCTGCTGCCCAGGGTCACCGCAGAGGTGAAGCACAACGCCAGCAGCACTGTGGTATGCAGGGTGCAGGGTGAGTGGAACAGCGTCCTGGAGTTCACCTACAGCAGCGGGGAGACCAAGTGCGTGGACCTGAGCAAGCTGGCGGTGACGAGGAAGCGAGTGAGGCCATTGGACAAGCAGGACCCGTTCGAGTCCAGGTGCATGGCCTGCGGCCTGGGAGGGGCTGCGTACTCTCTCCCCTCCGGGCCTTCCGGATCCATGACCACAGACAGATTGGTCACTCATTTGCTTCTGCCCGAGGGGCGGCCCCAGCTGGCGCCCTGCTGCCCTGGTGGCTCTGCCACCCAATGGAGCTCGGGCATTATAAACTGAACAGAAGTGGAGCAGCAGCTCTCCCACCCCGTCTTCTGGTTAGCAAGGCAGTGCACTCGATGACTCTCAGACACAGACCTCGGGCCCCACACAAGAAACCAAGAACTGCTGGCTGTAATTCTAATCAGAGACACAAGTGACATAGGTGTGGCAGGTTGTTAGAGGTCACCTCCCAAAGGTGTGAGCATGGATGGGCCACGTGGCGGCTACTGCGGGCTCCAGAGCAGGCAGTGGTGTGAATGCAGCTCCAGGAAAGTTGCACGGAGTCCATGATTGACAGTACATTTGAGTGCCGAGGCAGAATCAGAAATGTAGAGAGCAAGTGTAGCCTCCGTAACTGCAGGGCTCCCCAGGCAGTGTTCCCTAATGACTGGGTGTTAAAAAGACCCAGCTATGGCCTTAGGGGAGCAGGTTCAGTGCCCAGTGCACCCCAGCTGCAGGCAAGGCCCGAGGCTTTCCGTGCAGTGGGATGCATGAGGACTCACAGCTTTAGTTCCGTAGGCTGCACCCCATTTTTTAAGAGCTACTATACTTACCAGGCTTTAACACAGCACTGAAGAATGAAATTATTCAAAACATGTTAAATTCTTTCTTTTTCCACTTGTTATCTCCCAGAAACCAGATTTTCTTTCTTTCTTTTTTTTTTTTGGTCTTTTTCGTTTTTATCGGTACCAGGGATCGAACTCACGACTGCCTGCTTGCAAGGCAGGCACTTATGCCGCTGAACTAAATCCCCAGCCCCCCAGATTTTCTTTATATGCCTTTAACTATAACAATGTATCACAGCTGGGTGTGGTGACACATGCCTGTAATCCCAGCACTCAGGAGGCTGAGGCAGGAAAATTGCTATAAATTCAAGACCAGCCTGAGCTATGGTTGAAAACTGTCTCGAGGGGGCTGGGGATTTAGCTCAGCGGCATAAGCGCCTACCTTGCAAGCAGGCAGTCGTGAGTTCAATCCCCGGTACCAGTAAAAAGGAAAAAGACCAAAAAAAAATATTTTTGAAATATGGTTTTTATTATTACTATTACTGTTATTGGTACATTGTAGATACACACAGTGCTGGCGTTCGTCACAGGGCACCTGTGCCTGTCCGTGAAATACCTTGCTGCTGCTGCTTTTTCCCCATCCCCCTCCTCTGCCTTCAACCTCTCTCCCTCATTATTTACCAAAGCTTTGTTTCCATTTTTTCCTTTCTTTTCTTTCTTGTTGAAGGGTTTTTAAAATGTGTTTCCAATTCATGAGGCTGTGGCTCTGCAATGTGCTTTAGAAGAAGTTTTTTAACTACCACATCTGTATTTTTGGCACATAGGGCGTTATGATTGCACATCTCCTGGTGAGCTTTGCAGTCTGTCTTTTAGAGAACTGGGCCTTTCTCTGCTGCTAACTTGTGAAGGCTTGGCTGGCGTGTGGCTCGGGTGCATGGCTTGTGACACCTACACGATTGTCGCGAGCACCCCCAATTCTTTCTCCTGTGGAAATAAGTTTTCCCTCATCCATGTCCTTTAGAGGTCTGGTCTGTTAAGTAATTCAGTGTTTAGTTGCTTTCCTCACGAGCCAGCTTCTGAATTCATCGATTTTTGTCTTTCTTCTGTTTTCTCTTTCGCTGATCTAAGCTTCTATGTTTTTTATTGCCTGCTCTGTCCCACATGTGTCATCCTCTCAGAGTTACTCAGAGTGGACGCTTAGGGCAGGGGTCAGAAGACGCTTTCTGGTCCATTCAGGCTGAGCATCTGTGAAGTGTTCTGCAGGGTCTCGGCCCCGCAGCAAGGAGGCTGTGGCCGTTGTCAGCAGCTTTGCTGGGCCATAGTGGGAGCCATGGTACCGGAATGGGCAGCTGTCGCAATGAGACACCTGGCTTCCCTCACTGTTTTTCCTTCTTTCCTAAATGTTTAATGTTGTGAATTTCCTCCAAGGACTGTCTTACTTATACCCCTCAACTTGTTTGTTTGTTTGTTTGTTTGTTTGTTCATTTTTGACATAGGGTCTTGCCCTGTAGTTCAGGCTGGCCTTTAACTCACTAATTCCCCAGACTGGCTTTGAACTGCAGGAGACCCTCCTGCCTCAGCTTCCTGAATGCAGGGATTACAGGCTTGTGCCAGTCACTTAGCTCTAACTCTCATTTTTGATACGTTTTCATTTGAGAATATCTTCTGGTCTCCCTTTGTTATTTGTTTGGGCTGAGGATTTTGTCCCTCAGTACTAACGAACAGCCCCAGGCCTTGGGCTCGTTTGGCTGGTGCTCTGCCCTGGGCTGTGGCTCTACCCACTGGTGGCCTTTTGACTCATGGGATTATCTAGAAATGTCTTGATAATTTCCAAGTATTTGTAGATTTTCCAGGTATCTTTCCGGTATTTATTGATGACTTAATTTCATTGTGGTCAAAGAATGTATTTTGTGTGGTTTTATTATTTTTTTAATTTACGGAGATCTTTTCATGTCCCTGAGTGTGTCCTGTCTTGGTAGATTTCACATGTATATGGCCTGAGTCTGTTCCACAGTGTCAGGTGCATGTCCATTGGTGTCGATTAGGTCAGAAGTGACACAACTTTTCCAGTTTCTGCATCTTTAACTGGTGTTCTGTGTACTTCTATCAGTTGAGGTTGGTTATTGAAATTCCAGTTATAGCTAAACATTTCTCACAGCTCTTTAATTTTCACTTCCACTCTGGAAACTGAGGAAAGAGGATCAGTGAGAGTTCCAGGCCGGTCTGGATTACATAACAAGACCTTGACTCAAGAAAAAAAATAAAAAGAACTCATTTTATTAAAAGCTCTATCCTCAGGGGCATCCTCACTCAAGGTGACTATGTGGGCTTGGGGGGAGTTTTTTGTTGTTTGTTTGTTTTGTTTTGTTTTGGTGCTGGGGATTGAACTCAGGACCTCGTGCTTGCCAGGCAGGCACTTATGTCCTTGAGCTAAATCCCCAGCCCTGTCTAATTTTGAGACAGCATCTCCACTCCTAGGCCACACTGACCTTGGGCTCACATCATAGCCTAGGCTAGGCTCACACTTGCAGCAATCCTCATGCCTCAGCCTCCTGAGTGCTAGAATTACAGGCCTGTGCCACCATGCCCGCCTCAGTTTTTAATTTTGGTGTGGTAAGATTGTCAGGGTCTTATAGATGACAGTTTTGAGAAATCTGCAGTGTCAGGCACTCTAGTGTGGCTCCTTCTGCCGGTTCCAGCCCTAACCCTCACATCTGCAGCCCCCTCTGAGTTTGTTTGGGGTAAGGGGGCTCTGCAAAAGTCTAAGGTCATCTGTGTGTGTGTTCCTAGCATCCCATCACCCTTGTTGAAGGGACTGTTCTTTACTCAGAAATCTGCCCGGAAGTTCTCTCTTGCTCAAAGTTAGAGGTCCCCTCCCTACCGTGGCCTTGGACTCCCAGGCAGGGGGTCCAAACTCAAAGGAGCCCTTTCCATTTCCTTGTCTCAGTGATGCTTGTCCTGCATTTTCTTTTGCTTGATACCTGAAAACCACTGGTTCCTTATGTTTTGGTTTTTTGAGGTACTGGGGTTTGAACCCAGGGTTCCACAAACACTAGGCAAGTGCACCACTGAGCGGTAACCGCAGACCATTTTATTTTTTGAGACTTTGTGAGACATTTTTTGTTGCCCAGACTGCCATCAAATTAGCAATCCTCGTAGCTGGGGTTGCGGCCCTGCACCGGGTGTCTGGCTGTTTTATGTTTTCCCTGGTTTTCCTGGTTGAGGTAGGAGAGGGAATCTGGTCTCCATTAATTCCTCAGGCAAGACACACAGGTAGGCGTTTGCATTTCAACTTTAAAACTTCGTATGCTATTTATTAATTTGAGTCTCCCATAAATGAAAATTTTATTGGGAAGCTATGTGTTATTTTCAGTTGAAGAATTAGGGGCCGCGGCACTGCTGCGTGGCCACCCGGGGGCCTGGCGTGGGCGCCCTTGCATCTCGGGGATGAATGTAGCTCCCGCTAAGCAGGGATGTCCAGAAGCCCCGCGGCGCCGCTTGATCACTGTCCCGCTCGGTTGGTTGCAGGCGGCTGTGGCGGAGCGTGACGGAGGCACTGAGCTGCGCGGAGATGGAGCGCGCCACAGAGCACAAGCGAGCGCTGGAGGAGCGGCAGCGGGCAGAGGAGCGGCTGCGTGCGGAGTCAGGCGCACCCTGGAGCACGCGCTACTTCTGCAAGGAGGTGGGCGCAAGAAGGACGCCAAGGGTTACTGCCCTCCCTGTGGGCGTCGGGCTTGGTGGCTTCTCAGAACCGGTGCCCAGGGCCCCTGCTAGCACTGGGCTCAGCGGGTGGGCACAGGCTGCTCTGGGAGACAGCCCAGAGCCCGGCTAGGTTGATGAAGCAGGGATGCTTGTCACCGTGTGCCAAATAAGCCCCAGCCTTAAAACACCTTGGAACATGGTAGGTAGAGTAAATTTATAAATCTTCTTTAACTTCAGTTTTTTTTTTTTTTTTTTTTTTTTTTTTGAGATAGGGTTTCCCTAAATTTCTCAGAGCATCTGGGGTGCACCACGATGCCCAACTGTAAAAATTATTCTTAAAAAGCAAACCAGTGTGGCTAGGGATGCAGCCCAAGGTGGAGCAGTCACTGGGCTTGCAGAGGCTCTGGGTTTCACCCCAGCACCAGGGAGGGAGGACAGAGGCACAGACCTGAGCGCCCGTCCCGCTGCCCCCGTCAACTTGCACCAGTGCTCGCCCCACTCACCTTGGCTTTAGCTCAGCTCTGACCTCACTCCAACTCCTTGCCAGGTCCTCTGCACAATGACCAGGGAAGTGGTCAGCAAAGCAGCAGGGGACAGCGCTTCGGGCCTGCAGCTTGCAGGAGAGCACACAGTGGGGTCGAGGTGGCCGGGTGGACACAGGCAGGGAACGGCTCTGTGGGCACAGTGTGCATGACGCTCACCCTGGGCCCTCCACCGGTGGCTCGCCCAGCCTGGCCCACCGCAGGCATGTGTGGTGCCAGCTGCTCAGGGCTTGACTTTCCCACATAGACTTTTTCTTTGCCAGAGATGCAGCTCGGCAACACAAGCACCTACCTGGCAAGCACAAGGTCCCCAGTTCAGTTCCCAGGGCTAAAATAAAAGCTTCCTTTATGTGAGAGTAGATTTCCCTTTCCGTGACAGTGTCACTTCTAGCTTTGTGTGATGTGTTTCACTGGTGATTGAATCCAGGGCCTTTGCACTGAGTGCCTACCCCTATTTTTTTGAGACAAAGTCTCTCTAAGTTGCTCGGGCTGGGCTCAAACGGCAGTCCTCTTGCTTCAGCCTCATAGTGACAGGATTACAGTAAGCCCCTGCCCCGGCCCCCACCCTGCCCAGCAGTCCCAGGGTCTGCTTTGCCTCCTGTCAGAGGAGGTCCCTGAATCTCTGTCGTGTCCCCCCCACCCACCCCCTCCTGGCTGCAGGGAGACGGCTGGGTCTACCACAAGCCCCTTTGGAAAGTGCTTCCAGCAGCTCAACCAGCAGAGTGACACGTGTTCTCCCCACACCAACCCTATGGCTCTCGGTTCCCACCCTGACTGAACAGAGTCACCGTGCACCGCTCTGAGTGAGCCACCCTGCTGCTGACCTCGAATGTACCTCCTTGGGCCCCGCCTTTGGCAAGACCAGAGTCACTGTCCTGTGACCAGCAATATCTCAGCCCACTGGGGCCCGGCCTGCTCCTGCCGCACAGGGGCGGCCATGCAACAGAGGCAGCGGGGCTCTATGACCTTAACCCTTGCGGGTGAACCGTGAGGCCCTTTCAGCCCTGGTCTGCTTTCTGTCCATCACTGAAGCGTTGACTGCATCAGAACCAGCCCTGGCGCGGGCCAAGTGGCCGGGCTAGGCCCGCGTCAGCATCTAGCGGCAGAAGCCTGGGGGCCAGTGACAGGCGGCCCCTCCATACCCAGCCAGTCACCTCCGCAGGGCTCTCAGCGGTGGCTCTCGACGGTGACCCAGATCCAAACCCGGAGGGTTTTTCTCCCAAGTGTTTTCCTATACTTGAAAACAGCACTGACTTGAAAACTTCCGGAACGTTTTCAGTACCTAGTTTTATTAAATGTTACACTTGAGCGACAGTTTTTTTAAACGTGTTCCCATTGATCTGATGAGATGGGGCCTTTCTCACAGACAGATGGAAGTGTTGGAGGACGCAGCTGTTACTTATGTCCCCGCCTGGCCCCCTCACCAGCCGCTATCAGTATTGCGTGAGCTGGGCTGCTGTCCCCACCTCTGACCCCACGGAGTAGAAAGAGCAGCCACTGACCCAGTGTCCCTGCTCAGCCACCCCTGGGACTGGGACATGAAGGGAGGCGCAGTCCCTCTTGTCAAGGACCTGAAACAGTGAAGAGTATGACAGAAAGCTTTCAGGAAGGCCATCGGGGTACAAACCCTTTTCTAATCAGTATTTCATCCGGGGGAGGAACCCCAACCTTGGACCTGGCACCTGGACCCCTTTCTCAGTGTCCGTGGACAGCGCTCACCCTGCGTCCCTGCAAGTGACCTGAGCTCCAGGAGTGGTGCCTTACGCGTCCCCCTCCCCGATGCGGTCTTCCACCCGAGGTGACGGGGTCCCTGCCTCCGGGCCTGGCCTGGGGAGAGCTGCGCCCGAGTCCTTGCAGACTGTGAGCGCTGGGCTCCCATAGACTGGTCTGGAAACAATAGTTTTTTTCAACCAATTGTAAGTTATACAAAAAGAATTGGTTTGTGTACAACCGTTTTAATGATTCCTTTTGCATTTTTGCTGTGAAATGCACTGAAAATATCTCCAGATGAGCTATAGTTCATGTGTTGGGAAAATTCAGAAATAATAAAACTAGAGAACAATGTGGTCTTGGTTTGTGAGTGGGGAGAACAAAGCTGTATCTAACGGGGTCCTCACCCACCTGTCTGGGAGCCACTGCCTTTCCCTTCCATCTCTTACTCTAGGAAGCTGCCGCTGAAGAGGATGCTTCATGGGTTTTTAAATGAAAATGTTTAAATTTTGTTTGTCTCCTTTTGTTTTTCGCCATTGTTGCCCAGGCCAGTGTTGAACTCGCAGCCCTGCCGCCTCAGCTCCTGCAGAATGTCCCGCTTGTAAAGGTACTGGCACAAGAGTGAGGATGGGCCTGGAGAGTTCCACTGTGCTCTGTGGGCCACTGGTGTGCCTGGTGATTTCTTGACTTGGTGGCCCTTTTCAGGAATCCCTGAGAACCAATCCCAGGTGATACTGAGGCAGGAGGAATGCAATGAAAAAGGCCGGAGGCTGGCCTGAGAGTTTAGTGAGATCCTAGCTCAAAACATAAAAATGGCTGGCAGGAGTCGAGCACCCCAGGTTTGACCCTACTGCCACCCTGAAAAATGTTTTTGAAATAGGAATTTTAAATTGTTTTGTTTTTTTAAGGCAGAGTCCCACTGTGTAGCCCAGACTGGCCTCACACAGATCCTTCTGACTTGGCCTCCACAGCACTACCACCACACACGGGCAGAACGTTTTTTTTTTTTTTTTTTTTTCCTGAGACAGGGTCTCACTATGCAGTTCAGGCAGGCCTTGAACTCACTTTGTAGTCCAGGCTGGTCTCGAACTCACAACGATCCTCCTGCCTCAGCCTCCTGAGTGCTGGGATTACAGATGAGAGCCACCATGCCTGGCTATGGGCAGAATATTTTAAATTATTATAAAGAACTGTACTTGGGACTAAGTGACATCCTCCCTGTGGGGGCCAAGCTCTTCACAGGCCATGAAAGAGTGCTGCTGCAGGGTGCCCCTCTCCCTGCGCCTGTATGAGCATCACAGTGCAGTCCTAGGAGCAGGGCCAGGAGGGCTGGGTGGCTGTGCCTCCAGAGTTGCAGTTGTGGCTGTGGCTGCGGCTGTTTATCTACACCCTGTCACAGTGCCAGCCTCTCTTCTGGCCAAAGTTACGTTGTTTGGTTGGCTCTTTATTTTTTGGACTACCAAGGATTGAATTCAGGCCATGTGCTTGCCAGGCAAGTGCTGTACCACTGAGCTACATCCCCAACCCTCCTCACCATTTTTTAAAATTTTACTTTGAAGCAGAGTCTTCCTGTCTGCACTATACTGCCTATAACCTTTCTGCCTCAGCCTGGAGTAGCTGAGAATATACATATGCGCTCATGTGTCCCGACTTAGGGGAATTTATTAGACAACACCCTGTACCCCATATTCTGGGACAAAATGCAGGGTGCCACAGAAGTGCGTGACGGAAATCCCATGAGGCTGAGGATGACATTCCAGGGACAGTGACTGTTGCCCTGCAAGGCCACCAAGAGCTAAAAGGCAAACTACAGGCCTTCAGCTTCCTGGAATTTGCCCAGCGGATCAGTGGTGGCTGCCAGGGAACAGCGGTCTCACCCAGCACTCCTCTCTCCAAGGCTGCAGCAGAGGGGGCACAGGGAAACTCGGGGCCCTGAAATTGAAACACCTCAGGGCCTCGGGCAGCTGAGTGTGGGCACCGTGCCGCTTTCCAGGTTTCCCTCTTCTCTCCTTTTCGCAGGTCACACTCCTGGGGCTCACACCGTGGACCTCGTTCCCACTGTTCTGCTTGAAGGGCGCCATTGCCCCCAGCAGGTGAGGGCCCTGTGACCCACACCACTGGCACTGTCACTACATCAGGGAGGACAGCCGAACAGCCCCAGAGGATAGCAAAGAGTGCCTTTGGGTCCTCTTAGGTAGGGCCACACTGCTCGTAACATCCTAAATACCTCAGAAGTGGGGCAGGAGCCCAGGCGGCCGAGAGGGACCCCTCAGGCACAGGGTTTTATGTCAGGCCGGCAAAGGTGTCTCCTGCCTTTAAGTCCATGTGTCCATGCACACGTGGGTGCGTACACACAAGTGAACACTGAGTGGATGAGTGCAAATATAAAATGCGGAAGCAGTGGGCATAGGGCAGGCAGCACACTGGTTGGGCTCCCGCACAAAAGCCAAAACGGGAGAAAGTCTCAAGCGGAGAACTCCAGCCCTCCCAACATGCAAAACAAAGCACATGCCTGCCTGTGCCTGAAATCCCAGCTTTGGGAGGCTGAGACAGGAGGGTGGCAAGTTTGAACCCATCCTGAGGATCTCGGCAGCTCAGCAAACCTTGTCTCAAAAATAAAAAGGCTGGCTGCAGCGCCATACCAAGTGCCCAGTTCAACCCCTGGTAGCACTAAGGTGTAGCTCAGGACTCTCGGCTAGGTCTCCAAATAAGACAAAATGAAACAACCCCAAACACCGCAAAAATTAGAACTTGAGATCAAGCACATTCAGGGTGGTATGACCATAGGCAAAAATTAGAATTGAAGGGAAAAAAGAGACAGGAAAGGGAAGGAGAAAGGGAGGCGCCACTTGACGGAAAAGGAAGTAGGAAGCCACGGCTGTCCAAAGCACCACCCAGAATTAAATCAAATGAAAACTACTGAGGCCAGCGTGAGACCTCAGCTGGGGGCCAGAGCCCCGCACACCCCCTCTGCATCCCCACTGGGCACCCGAAGCAGGGGGAGGGTGTCACATGCCTTCAGGAGCCCATTGTCCTCAAATTGTTGCCCTTTTTTAGGACAGCTCACAGGGACAACTGGGTGACCTCTGGGTGCCACCGACCAAGGCAGCCACTGCCTTCCCCTTGTGTCCGAGCCTCTTCACTGTTGCTGGGGGGGGGGGGGTGTTTTTTTGTTTTGTTTTGTCTTTTTCCTTTTTATTGGTATCAGGGATCGAATTCATGCTTGCAAGGCAGGCGCTTATGCCGCTGAGCTAAATCCTCAGCCCCACTGTTGCTGTTTTTTGAGGCAGGATTTCTCCATGCTACATGGCCCAGGCTGGTCTTGAACTCACTGAGATCCTCCCACCTCAGCCTCCTGAGAGCTGGGTGACACGTGTGCACTGCCATGTCCAGCAGGGCTGACTTTCAGTAGGTGAAAGTCAGGGTACTGCTCTGCTACCCCGACCACGGAGCAAGTCAGTGACCAAATGTAGTGCTAGGCTCCCCACAAATGTGCATGGCATGCTGGGTGAGAGGGCAGTCCCCCTTTCCCACTGCACCCATGGCTCAGGAGCAGTCTGCACCAAACCCCAGCGGACCCAGAGCAGGGCATGGCCCACACCAGGGCTGGGTGGCCAGTGTGGGACAGGTTAGGGACCAGCACTCCCCAGCCACTGTGTTGTAACCAGGCAGGTTGCATCTTAGGGGTGCACCTCTGTAACCTCACACATGGCAGCTATGCTCTCCCTGCCCCTCCCCTCCAAACAAAGCCCTGACGCAGCCCTGCAGGTCCTCTGTACCAAATTGGATCACCATGGCAACAGTGGGTCATCACTAGGGCAGAACTCCCTGCCCTCAGAGTGGGTGAGCAGCCCGCACTGGGTGGCTTTAGCCACTCAGTAAGAGGAAGAGGATCAAAAGATGGTGGCATCACTGTGACCAATGGGCTGCCACAAGCCACCTATCCCTATGTGATTATCTGACACCTCCCACTTAAACCCCAAGGGCCAGAGGGACCATAAGGTGCCACTTTCCTGTCTGTATCCTACTAGAAACCAGGACAAAGGGGTCTCCAGCCTTCTGCTGCCAGAAGGCCCTTCCTCCCCAGCTGCCTGCCTCGGTACTGCTGGGAGACTGCGGAACTGCGCACCTGCGCTGTCCTCAGAGAGCAGTAGGCTAGAGTCCAGCTCCAGGGGGTCTTCTTTCCCTGACCCTCAGCTTTGGTTTCACTGGACAGTTAGGGACAGTGGGAAGCATCATTCACCATCGACACAAATTAGATGAGGGGACATTTGTCAACCTTAAAGAGGCTCCTTTAACCCTCTCCTCTTTGACTTTCCTGTATTGTTTTGTTTTAAAACAGTGTCTCCCTTTGTAGCAGTCTCCCTTTGAGGCAGGGCAATCCTGTCTCGGCCTCCTGAGCGCTAGGATTACAGGCATGCACCACCACGACCTGACCGGCTCTCACTGGCTTTCCTCATTCTGACATTCGGAACAATGGGCAGGAATCACATGGCATCTACTCCACGGTGCTTTAAACAGTAGTGTCCCCTGACCCCCCCCCCCGGCCCCCACATTCCCAAGTCAGCTGCGAGGTGCCCTGCGGACCCAACAAGAGGGTGGCAGCTGCTCAGGATAAAGGGAGCAGAGGAGAGTAGAGGGGTTCTGGGACGTGGAGGGCCCTTGGCCCAGCTCCAGGCCTGGTTTGCACCCCAACTGTGCCCAGCCCTGAGAGCCAATCCCATCCCGAAGTCAGACCCTGCGGGTAGATCCCCGCATTTACCTGGCATCCCCAGATTTTCAGGGACTGCAGGGGCTCCGGGACACTGCAGGGCCAGTGGAGGCACAGGTGGGGGTCACGCGCTCTGGTCGCCCAGCGGGGGACCCCTGCCCTCTGCACCATGGGATTCCTGGGGCGGGGTGGGGGAGGCGGCACTGCAGCAACCAGGACACCTCCCGGAGGAAGAGGGGAGGCGAGGGCGACACCCCTGGGACGCAGGGCCCGCACGGATAAGGCTGAGACCACCGGAGCCCCCAGTTCCCGCTTTCCGCTTTCCTTCCGGCTGCCCTTAAGCAGACCCAGCCTATGTGCCGCAGCGGTCAGCGCGGTGGGTGACGATTTCCCCGGTGACTGTGAGCGGGGTGGCCCCGTGCGCATCACCGACACCGTCGCGCGGGATCTGATCAGCGCGGGCCTAGCGGCCGCTGCCCACACCCCCAAATAGGGCCGGAACCTGCGTGTCACGCCCCTTGACCCTTGCACAGCCCCTCCTCCATGTCCTAACCTTTGACTCCAGTCCTGCCTGCAGTCCCCAGTAGGGTCCGCACTCCTGGGGATGCCTGCTGGATCCCGCGGGTCTGACTGCAGGCGCACCTCGGTCGCAGGTGCCACCAGGGGGAGCTGGGTACAGAGGCGACCTCGCCGCACCGCGCTGCGCCCGTGTCTGCACAGGCTCGCAGCAGGTCCCCAGAGAGCGGAAGACGCGAGCGAAGACCACCGCCCAGCTCTGACCCCTGTGTCCCCGGGGCAGACGCTGGGAACCCCAGGGAGCCTCGGAGGCTCAGCGATCACGGGGCCTCGGAGTAATCTGGCCCCCCGAGTGGGCAGGAGGTTCAGGCCTCAGAAGTGGCCCCAGGAAAGGCCACCCCAAGGCGAAGCGGGCGCAAGCTGTACCCTCCTCCCCGCTGTGCCCCTCCCAGGGGACCCGGCCTCCTGCAAGCGCCTGGCTGGGCAGGGCACAGGATCCTGCTGCTTGTAGCAGGTGGAAGCCTGACGTGGTGGAGCACATCGCCTAGCACTCGGAGGCTGAGGCAGGAGGATCTTTTCATGTTCTAGACCAGCGTGGACTACAAGTGAGCAGGACCAGCTTGAACTGCACAGTGAGACTCTGTCTCAAAAGGTTAAAAAAAAAAAGTGTGAGGGTTCGGGTCTGTGACCAAGGTGGCAAAGTGATGTGTGCATCTTGGAAAGGGCTCGTGATGTCGCTCCAGACTAGGGGAGCGCGCAAAATCAGGTCCCGCGGTGCCAAGCAATTCTGAGGCGCAGCTGCCCCACACACAGTCGGGGAGGAGCCCCAGACGACAGGACCCAGAGGATGCACGGAGGCCCCGGGTTCCCACTTCCCCAGCCTGAGGTGCTCCCGAAAACCCAGAGGTCCTCCTCCGGAGGGTGGTGAGCACCTTGTGACCAGACCTGGGCCAAGGGCTCCCCCCGTCCCCCACCCCGGTACAAGGGATCAAAGCAGGCACCGCCCTCCGCCCTCTGTTATCGATGTGTTTGCCAGGAAGCTCCCTACTCAACAGTCAGTCATGCTCCTGCCAGCCTGCCCCGGGCGGGCAGCGTCCTTCCGCCCTGGCTCCCACCCTGGCTGGTGGATGGGATCTCGGGTAGATCCCCCACTCAGGGCCACAGGGCGTCTGGGGTCACTGCGCCGGCAGTGCCTGCCCCTTGGCAAAGTGATGCCTCTCCTGGTGGAGATAAACGCTGTCCCAATTAACAGTGCAGTGCCTGCAGATAGCCTAATGGACACACGGAGTGAGCCAGAGCTAGAAAATGGAAGAAATCGTGGTTTGGTTTGGTTTGGTTTGGTTTGGTTTGGTTTGGTTTGGTTTGGGACAGGGTCTTGCTGTGTAGTCCAGGTTAGCCTTAAAGTTGAGGTAATTCTCCTGCTTCAGCCTCTCCAGTGCTGGGATGACAGGCCCACAGCACCATGCGGGCTGGAAGTCACACATGGAAGCAGGAGTCTCCTTTGGGACATGGGGGCCAATACTTCTACCTCCCTGCATGACAGGCCCAGGAGCAATGGAGCCACGCCCCACCACCCAATGACCAGAAGGAAGATGTGACCACTGAGTGGGGTCAGGAACACCTGGGGATGCTGAGAGGTGGCTGAAAGCAGGAATTAGTCCTGAAGTGACCAGGGTTCAGTGACCACATGGGACCCTAGATAGCACATGAAAACATACAGCATTTGTTTTGTTTTGGGTACCAGAAGTCGAACTCACAACCTCAGGCTTGCCAGGCAGGTGCTGTGCCACTGAGCTGTATCCCTGGCCTCTGAGCCAGCATCTGTTAGCCAGATGGTCTCTGTCCAGGGTGGTTATCTAGCAAAAGAGCATTTTACATATGAGACAGAGTTCATTTCCTCTGAAGACCCTGAAATGGCCTAATCTAGCACAATAAAAAATCAGAAGCCAGGTATGGGGGGCGTACCATAAGCAAAATATACTAGCACTCAGGAGGCTGAGGCAGGAAGATCCGCTGCCAGTTCAAGACCAGCCTGAGTTACACAGTGAGTTCAAGCACAGCTTGAACTACATATTGAGATCCTCAGAAAAATAAAAATAAAGTAAAACAAAAAAATAAGGGCAGGAACTGAAAAGTTGAGTATGGCATAACTGTGAAAGGACAGATTCAAGTTTGGCAAGCCCCGCCAGGTGTCACAGCGCTGGGTTGCTAAGAATGTCCACACCACCCCCAGGAAGTTACTACCTGCACCCGGAGAAGTCAGTAGCATGGAACCTGGAACAAGCTGGGGCCTGCTCCTCCTCTTCCTGCTGCTGACCTAAGGCTCACTCCCTTCCACTGCCAGCCACCAGGACCTCACGGGAACACCAGTCACTTTGCTGTCCATCGCCTGCAAGCAGAAGGAAGAGCACTGCTTGGCCAGTGCCCAGGGCCAGCGCCAGTGTCGTGCAGGTAACGGGGGAGGTGCCCGGATGTGCCCATCCGGGACGGTGGAGATTGGCTCAGAAAACGTGTAGGATGCAGGTGGCGAAGTTGCAAATGAAATGTCCACGGTCGGAAAAGGTTGTATCTTATTGGATTTTATTATATACGATAATACAAGCAAAAACTTTTATAGACAAGGAGTTTATATGGAAACCATTGTTCATTTTCTGTCAATTGGTTCTAAATACCCTGTAATAATGTCATTCTCTTGAATAGTTTTATAGTGTCGTGATACGTTTGGTGCTACAGTATAAGAAGTTATACTCAAAGATTTCAAGGAAAGAGACACTATGGTAACTATTTTTATGTCAGGATATCTTGTGGTGAAACACTGGTTTGCTTAAATGGTTATGATTTGACCTGCGCTGTTCTGTTGTCATGCCCTCTTTTATCTCAATCCCCTTTTTTTTAATTACTTTTTTCTCTTTATTTTTTTAATTAAGGGAAAAATAAATAAAAAAAGAGCAGGATACATTATAGCAACCTACTTTGACTTCCTATTAACTTGATTTGAAATCCTGTATTGCCCTCACCATCTTGTTTTGACTGATTTTCCTCTGTTCTGCTTTGCTTGATAGTACCAAGATCGAAAGTATAGGCATAACTGTGAAGACAATAAGATTCATTATGATGCCCATTCCAATTGACTATTATTTTCTTTTAAAATCCTGTAATGTCTCCAATGCTTTGGTTTTATTCTTTACTGTTTAGTTCAATTTTATTATAACTGCCAATTCTTCTTAAAATAGCAAGAGGCGGTATGGTAACCATTGTTGATCACCTTATATTTTGTTTTTACATTATCTATTATGTCCATCCTTTTGATTTGACTGACTCTGTTCTGATATGTTGCGTTTGATTTTAATCTCTTCAAAAAAAAATAATAAGAACTGTGGGAGTAATAAAACCCAAAATGTGTAATTGTCATTCTCAAAAAAAAAAAAAAAAAAAGAAAAGAAAAGAAAGTGCTCTAAAGGTTATAACTGCATATATGTTTAAGTGTATAAGATAGATAACCATATTACTGAGTGGTTCTTTGGATTATTGAACAAAACTGTTTGCACTCTCACTGTTTGAAAGTCCACTTTATGTGCTTTAATTTTGTAACTTGAACAACTATTTCTAAGATGAGAATATGTAATCTATTAACTAGTGATTTCTTACTGTTTATTTTTAAAATTTTATATTACTTGTACCCTTTTTCTGTTTTTTTGGGTTTTTTTTTTTTTCCTTTTTCTCCTTAAATAAAAAAAAAAAAAGAAAGAAATGTCCACAGTCGGGTTGTGTAGTTCTTTTGATAATGCAAGCAAGCGGTTGGAAAATATGCCAAGGTTTTCATGTCGGTCACTGTGTGGTTACTAAACGTTAGCACCCAAGGGTGGCTCCAAAGTGGGTTAAAGCTTGCGGGTCACATCTGTGTTTTATCCAGGTCCATTTCTTATCATGTTTGTGGGGAAGGGTCTGGTTTTGGTTTTTTATTTTGTTCCTTGAGACAAGGTTTCACCATATAGTCTAAACTGGCCTTGAACTGACAGTGAACCTCCTGCCTCAGCCTCTCCCCACCCACACCCCTGTGCTGTGATTACAGGCCTGTGTCGCCACATACAGCCCTTATGGTCTGTTGACTCATGTGTCACCGAGCTTTCCAGTGACTGCCCTTCACCTCAGAGATAAATGAAAACTTAAATACTTCATTGAGAAACTCTTGGTGTTTATTCTTTGTCTTGCAAGTATTTTGTATTAGTTTTAGGTTTTTTTTTTGTTTTTTGTTTTATGGCATCTTCTAAAATTCTGTCTTGATAGTCATGGCAGTGTTTCTTTTCTTTTCTTAATTTTTGCACACTAAATTGTTTTGCATGCTTTTTTTTTTTTTTTTTTTTTTTTTTTGGCTTTTTGAGACAGGGTCTTACTCTGCAGTTTGGGCTGGCCTTCAGCTCACTTCGTACGTAGCCCAGTCTTGGCTCAAACTCCCTACGATCCTCCTGCGTCAGCCTCCCGAGTGCAGGGATTACAGGCATGAGCCACCACACCAGGCTTAAATTTTTATTTTGATTGGTACAGTGTGTTTTGTAGTATATATTGATTACTTTCCTGTAGGGTCATTTCCCCAAAAAACATCCAATTATAACAGCGAAACGAACTCAGCAACTTAATCCCATCTGACACGACTCATCGGAAAGGACTGAGAAAGGACAGAGCCTTTACCCGTCATTCCCTTGTCTCTCGGGGTCTGGGAGAAATTGTGCGCCCCCCGTGGTGTGGGAAATGTCTCACTGCAGAATACTGCGCATGTCCACAGCTCACCCGCACCATGAGGACGACCTTCGCCAGCGCCGTGCTCCTCCTGGCCGTGGCTGCGTGGACCGCCGCTGCCGTGGGTGAGTGACAGGGCTGGCGGCCCCACGTTGCCTGTCAGCATTGGCTCGTGAGGAAGTAGAGGCTTCAGTTCCCTTGAGTTTTATTGAACCCTGCTTCCTTTTTGTTTTGGTACTGGGACTCGAACCTAGGGCCTTGCACTTGCCAAGTGGGAGCTGTGCCACTGAGCAGCATCCCCGGCCCAGAATCCTGATTCCCATGTGACACATGAAACTCAACTCCGGAGAAAGAATGAAGTCACACAATTTCTCGATTGTTTGGTTGGTTGTTTGTTTTGTTTTGAGATGGGTCACACTGTGTGTAGTTCGGTCTGGCTTTGAAGTCACTATGGAGCCCAGGCTTGAATTTGAAGCAATCCGCCTGCCTCAGCCTCCCAAGTGCTAGGACCACAGGCCTGTGTCACTGTGCCTGGCCACAGGTGTCCCCACCAGCTGAGTCCCGAGACTACTGTGTCCCCAAGGCTGTGCGCACTGCTGCTGATTGCAGACACAGCTGGGCACTCTTCTCTGACATTTTGAAGCCCTCACTCAGTTTTCCCCTACCCTGCCCTGTGCGATCTGGTCTCAACACAGCCTAGGGGCCCCGCAAGCCTCAGGACACAACGCTGCACCCACTTTTCTGTGTGGTTGGGGAGTGTGGGTGCCCACCCTGACAGATACCAAGCAACAGGCGGGAATGGGCTCAGCCCAGGGGTGACATGACCATGGTGGGAGACATGGATATCAGGATCCAAGCCAGGAGGCTGAGGCAGGAGGATTGCAAATTCTAGCTGATCCCGGGCATCTTAGCAATTTAGATTTGTCTCAAAAAAAAAATTAAAAAGGTTAGGGATGCAGTGCAGTGCAGAAACCCTGGGTTCAGTCCCCAGTGCCACAAAAATGAAAAGTGAATTTTATGATTTGTAGATTATAGCTCACAAAGCTGGTAAGAGGTGATGACAATAGCATACCTAAAATTATGATACAATGTAATTATTACATGATTGCATCATATATATATACATACACATAGCAAACCAATAGGATTGACTATGTAAACCTTAAACTCAGCATCTTTCTTTTTTGGTCTTTTTGCGACAGGGTCTTGCTATGCAGTCAGGCTGGCCTCAGCTCACTTTGTAGCCCAGGCTGGTCTTGAACTTGCAATGATCCTCCTGTCTCAGCCTCCTTAGTGCTAGGATTACAGGAATGCACCACCACAACGGCTGAAACAAGCATCTTTTAAGGCATTCTGTGTAACTATTTCATGGAATTTATAACCTGCAATGCATTTTCTAAAACTATTAAAAGGGCCAGGCATGGTAATCCCAATACTTTGGAGGAGGCAACACTGAGGCAGGAGGATTACTGCAAGATGGAGGCCAGAAGAACTGCTTAGTGAGGCTCTGTCTCAAAAACAAACTGAAGAAGTGTTGTTACTATTTTCTGACACAGCAGATGGGCCAGATCTCCAGGTCTAAGGGGCAAGGGTTACAAGCTCCCCAGCTCACTCCCTGCCAGGCCTGAGTGGTGGCTCCAAGGAGGGTGGCTGAGATCCCCGCTCCTGTCTTCCAGACTTCCCGCTGCCCATGAAGTCCTCGGGGTCGCTCCTGGAGGACACGAAGGTGAGCCTGGTCCCCTCAGCCCAGATTTCTCCCAAAGGTGGACAGCAGGATCACGCATGGAAACAGCATGACACAGGCCACTGTCCTTACCTGCTTCCCTCCAGAGCTCACACAGCTCTCCTGGGAGGGTCAGGCATTATCCAGCACGGGGAGGTCAGAGCTGAGCCTCAGCTGAGTCCAATAATGGCCATGCAGAGGACACCCCAGGACCCAGGACGTGTCCACCTCCCGCACAGCCCAGTCTGGGTGTCTGCTCCTCTGTCCCTTTCCTGCCCTCCCAGCTCCCCAGTGCCACTGCACAATCACTCCTGGACCCGGGGTGGCCATCTGGACACCAGGGCAGGGACCCTGTGGGCCTGGGGGCCTTTAGGGTGTGCATGAGACCTCACAGACATGGTCGCCCTTGCAGGGATTTGAAATCCTCAAATCAGGTTCCACGCTGAGGGTCAGAGCCTGACTGAGGCCCCCTCCTCTTGGTGGCAACAGTGGCCAGGGACCTGGAGGAGCCGCTAAACAGGCACCGTGTGTCCCATAGGTGGAGTGCAACCGGAATATCAAGAGGTGCTGGTTCCTCTCCTTCTTCAAGCCCAGCGAGCCCATCTGTGCCAGTGACCTGCAGACCTACAGTGGCGAGTGCTACCTCTGCTCCAGGGTCCTGTGAGTGCCCCCTCCCCTGGCTTACCTGTGGGAGGTAGCCTGCGGAGAGGTTGGATCTCTCCCCGGAGGCACCTCTGCTATTGCCCCCCCCCAGGAGCCTCTGTCCCAGTCTGTGTCCCCAGAGGGACCTGTAACTCTCCTCAGGTAGTGCAGAAAGTAAAGGCCACTGAGGTGACCGTACCACACAGGCCAGGACACAGTCAAGCAAAGGGCACTCAGGAAGCAAGAGCAGCAGTGTTCAGAGTACTCCACCATACCAAGTCCCCTCGGGCCCTACAGGACGGGGGGGCAGAAGCTAGATGAGAAGCAGGAGGACGAGGCTGGGCTTGGAATGGACATCAGTCTCCACAACACACTTGGCCAGGTGTGCTGGCACGCATCTGTAATGCCAACATTCAGGAGGCTGAGGCAGGAGGATCTCTGTGAATTCAAGGCCAGCCTAGATTACACACCAAGGCCTTGTCTCACAAAACAAAAAGAATTTATCTTTTACTTTTTTTTTTTTCTTTGTCATTTTGAGACAGGGTCTTTCTGTGCAGTTCAGGCTGGCCTTGAACTTACTTTGTAGCCCAGGCTGGCCTCAGACTTACAGCAATCTTCCTGCTTCAGCCTCCCAAGTGCTGGGATTGCAGGTGTTCACCACCACACTCAGCTACCACATTTTAAAAGGGAAATACAGTAAATTTAATTTGGTATAAATTTATACCAACTTAATTTGGGTTAATAACAACTTAATTGCAAATGTATCCCAAGCTGTTGTATATTCTACATTGTATATGTGAGATAAGTGTGTGTGTCTGTATCTGCTCTCCACCCCTGAGTTGTTATTGCTGGGTAAGTTAAACCTGTACACTTCATATGCTACTCACCACACATTTATAATTACTACCTATGTGTTTGTCCTTAAAATCAAGAGAAGTATAAACAGAAAAGGCTTTCATACTGTTTTTTTTTTTAATTTTATTTTCTTACATAGTTATATCTAGTGGCTCTTTATCCCTTTATGTGAATTCAAGTTTCTGGTTCTTGTCCTTTTTTTTTCTTTTTCCTGAGACAGGGTCTCATTATGTAATTCAGGCTGGCCTTGAACTGGTACCAGTCCTTCCGATTCAGCCTAAAAGATGCCCATGAAGACGTTGTAGCTCTGCTACCAGTAAATTCGGTCCATTTTGATCTGATAATGTCTCAGTTTCACCTTTACTTTTGAAGAATGGTTTTGCTGGATAAGATACAGAATTCTTGAGTGACAGTCATTTTCTTTTAGCATTTTCTATCATTCTCTTGCTTTTCCCCTGTTTTTCTGTTCTTTCTTTCCTTTGGTGGTTACTGGACATTGAACCAGGGTCTCTCACGTGCTCGGCAAGCACTTTGCCACTGAGCTACATCTCAGTCCTCTATTTGATTTTGGTTGTTGTCTCGGCTGGCCTTCAACTTGTGATTCTCCTGTCTCAGCCTCCCTTCTCAGTCTAGAATTAGAAGATGCACCACTTAGGGCAGGCGTATTGTCATTCTAACAATACGAATTATTCCAGACCATGAGCAGAGCAGAGCTTTTTTTTTTTTTTTTTCAGAGCAGAGCTTTTATTCAGGTCTTTAATTTCCTTCAACAGTGTTTTAGTTTTCAACATACAAACCTACTGGTTAAATTTATTAAAGAAAAAAATTAAAGATTTCTTTTTGGATGCTACTCTAAGTAGGATTATGGTCTCCACTGTATTTTCATATCATTTGTTGTTTATATATAGAAACAAAACTGATTTGGGGCTATTATGGGGGTTTGGGGTTTTTTTGTTGTTGTTGTACTGGGGACTAAACCCAAGATCTTTACATTGAGGCCTTTTATTAATTATTTCAAGAGATGGTCTCCCAAGCTGGGCATGATGGCATATGCATGTAGTCCCAGCACTTGGGAGGCTGAGGCAGGAGGATCATTGCAAGTTCAAGACCCGCCTGGGCTACAAAGTGAACTAAAGGCCAGCCTGAATTGCATAGTGAGACCCTGTCTCAAAAAGACAGAGAGAGAAAGAGACAGAGACTGAGACAGAGACAGAGAGACAGAGAGAAGAGAGTTCCTGAGTTACCCAGGCTGGGTTTGAATTTAAAATTGACCTGCCTCAGCCTCCCAGAAGTCATAGTTTCGATATTAATTCTTTAGCATTCTCTATGCAGGGTTATGTCCTCTTTGAATATAATTTACTTCCTGCTGGTGTAGATGTCTTGTTTCTTTTTCTTGCCTAATTGCTATGTCTAGAATCTCCTGTACAACCGAATATCCGCAATGACAGCAGATGTCTTTGCCTTGCTCCTGATCTTAGAAGTCTTTCTGTCTTTCACCACCAAGTATGCAATTAGCTGTGGAGGTTTTTTCATTTCATTTTTTCATTTTCATTTTTATCGGTACCGGGGATCGAACTCACGACCGCCTGCTTGCAAGGCAGGTACTTATGCTGCTGAGCTAAATCCCCAGCCCCAGCTATGGAGGTTTTTTAAGTTTTCTTTATCACATTGAGGGCGGTCCCTCAAAATTTTGTTTTTCTGGCAGTTTTTGTTACGAAAGGTGTTGGATTTGACTACAGTGTCTGCATTTTTGCATCGGTGGAGATCCTCCTCCTCCTCCTTCTCCTCCTCCTCCGCTCCTTCTTCTTGAAGAGTAGGAAAATTTATTGAGGAATAGGGATGGGGGAACGGCACTAGGAATAGCTTCTGAGAGACAGGAGGGACTCCAATGGGTTGCTAATGAGCCTATCTCCTGAAGTTTTACAAAGCAAAATCATGAAGCAAGTACAATGTGGGTCAAATTTATGATCAATAAGATTACAAATACAGTTGCTTAGGTAATACTGATCTGCTGGTAGCAGAGGTGCATGGGTGACATCTCTAACCTTGGTGGATAATCTGTAGTCTTGGTCTTGGGGGTTTTAGTTGTGGTCTCCGTAGATGGGGAGGATGGCCCGCCCTGAATGTGAGAGATAATGGGGAATCTCAAAAGGGAACTGAGATTTTCTTGTTTCTTCTTCTTCTTTTTTGCAATGGAGATTTTCATGTGAGTTTCTCCTTCATTCTATTAATATGATGCTATTACACTGTTCTGTTTTAGATTAAACCACTCTGAATTCCTGGGACATATCCCATGATCATGGTGTGTGATCCTCTTAATATGACCTTGTTTTTGGTTTGCTAGTATTTTGTTCAAATTTTGCATCTATATTCATAAGGGATATATTGGTACATAATTTTCCTTCTCCCTCTGTCTCTGTCTCTCCCCACGATGTCTTGCTATCATAGGTAAAGTTTTGCTAGATTTGCAGAAATCTAACAAAACTTGTTCCTCCTTTCCCATCATTTGGAAGAGTCTGAGAAAGCCAAGAATGGAATCCTTTAAAATATTTGATAGAATTCACTAGTGAAGCCATCTGGTCAACTTTCCTTTGGTGGGAGGTTTTTTGGCGTGTTGCTGCTGTTGTTTTGAGACAGGATCTTGCTACGTGTTGAACTCATCTTTTAGCCCAACATGGCCTCCAACTCATGGTGATCCTCCTGCCTCAGCTTCCTGAGTGCTGGGATGATGCGTATACAACCACCATGTCCAGCAGATCACATTCTCCATTTCTACTTGAATCTTCATAGGTTATTTTGAGTTTGTGTTTTATTTCATCTGACTATATTTTATTTATTTAATCGTTCACAAATAATCACATAGTAGATTTTCAAATATTTGTTAAGTAGGAATTGACTAGTAGATTTCCTTCTCAAACCTAGCCAAAGATTATCAAGTAAAATTTAGTCATAATTTATGATAAATTGTAAACCAAAAGTAATCATGGGATGTAGCTCAGAGGCACAGTGCCTGCTGGCAAACGCAAGGTCCTGAGTTCAATTTCCATACCAAAAAAAAAAAAACCTCATTTCAAAATATCATTTCTTTCATCAAAATAAAAAAAATATCATTTCTTTCAGATACGAAGGGCTGAACATAACTAAACTATATGATGGACCATGTGTAAGTAGAGTCATTTATTTTTATTTTTATATTTTTAGGAGTAAACCAGACATACTTAAGAGCCCATTGCTATTGATGACTTTAAATGTTTTATTATGAAAATTTTCAAGCACAAGTGAAAGTCAAGATAATAGCAGAATGAATCCTACATATCTATGGTATAGTCAGTATTTGTGAAGTTTTTCCCATTTTGGTTTTCAGTTTTGTGTTTGTTTAAGCAGGGTCTCACTATGTAGATCAGGGCTAGTCTCAAACTCATGGTGATCCTCCTGCCTCAGCCTCCCAAATGTTGGGATCACAGGCCTGTGCCGCCACGCCCCACCTTGCCATTAGGCCTGACAGCTCTTTGTCATCCTGTCCAGAGTTTCCCACCTCCAAAGTAGCATCTTCCAGGGAGACAGCATCCTTAGCCTTACCCTCGGCTGCTATCCCTGAAGCCCACGAGTGACAGGAGACCCCAGTGCACATGGAGGGCCAGGTGTAGTGGTCCTGTTCTTGAATTTAGGGTCCCTGGACCAACACGAGAACACAACTGACGCCCTGGAGCCTGCTGGATGGGGCGCAGCAGCCGGACTGGGACGAATCATCAGCCAAGAGCAAACAGGTAAAATACAGCAGTTACATAATTTATAATAATCTTATGACAGTATTTCTGACACAGTCTCCAGACAAGTCACAAGGCCCGTGTGAGTTTTGGGGTTGTTTGTTTGTTTGTTTATGAGACCGGATCTGGCTGTGCAGCCAAACTGTCAAACTCATGGTGATCCTCCTGCCTCAGCCTCCCGAATGCTGGGATGACAAGCGGACACTGCCGCACCCAGCTTCACAGGGAGTGGGTGTGCGGTCCTAACACACCTTCATTCTTCTCACTTTCCCTGCTCCTCCACAACAGCTTCTGTTTATCATTTTTTTCATTCAGTTTGCTTTAAAAGAGAGAGAGAATGTTAGTTCTAGCTCTCCTAGGGGAGCCTCCTTCCCAGTACTGTGTTGGGACCTCGACAGTCTAGGTAAGACAAGGTACATTTTGCGCATTTATTTCAAATGCAAACATGAGCTCCACCCATGGGTGGAAAACTAAGTATAGGGGATCACCCCAAAATTGTATTGCAGAGTACATTTCTACCTTTCTACCAAGGCACCAATGAAACTTGGGGGAAGAAAAAAATTTTTTGAGTCAGGGTCTCACTATGTAAGTCAGGCTGGCCCAAAACACACGGCAGTCTTCCTGCCTCAGCCTCCCCAGTACTGGGATTACTAGCGGGCACCATCATGTCCAGCAACTATTGGTAAATTTATGTTGCTTTTATAAAGTGATGCAGGAAATTCTAATGCCAAGGATTTATAGAGGTTAATAATGTAGACCAACCTCAATGTGGCGACAATGGCCTGTGAGCCAACATTCTAGGAGGCTGAGGCAGGAGAATTGCAAGTTCTAAACTCTGCCTGGGCAACTTAGCAATTTGGCAAGCTCCTATCTCAAAATTTTTTGAAAGAATAATTTTTTAAGGGATTGGGGTTGTATCTCAGAGCAGAGACCCTGGATACAATTCTCACACTCACACACACACACACACACACACACACACACATACAAACAAGCTTGTTATCAGGCTTTTTGGGGTGCTCACTTCTTGCAAGGTTCCTAATGTTTCATCTCAGAGGATGAGACAAGCAAATATAGTGACAAAGTTTATCTGAAAAAGTACAAGTGAAGGGTAAGGGAAGAACTGGCTTTAGAGAGCAAACTTGGGCCAAATAAAAGAAGGAAAAGAACACCCTGGGGACCACAGGTTGGGCTGCTGCGAAGGAAGCCCCGTAGGGAGCTTTTCACGGAGTCTCTGTCCTTCTATGTCATCCACACCTCCAAGGACAGCCTCTACATATGGGGCCTGAGAGGCGTTAGTGAGTAGATTCTAGGACCCCACTGTGCCTCCTTTCCTAGCCCAGCTAAGCTATACCCCATATCCTGTCTCCAGCCTGGGCTGGTGCCACGTGCCTGACATCCCAGCACCAGAGAGGCTGAAGCAGGAGGATTGCTGGAAGTTATCGGGCAGACTGGCCTACAAAATGAGTTCAAGGGCAACCTGAACTAAGCAGTGAGACGCTGTCTCAAACAAACAAGCAAAAAACAAAAAACCCTAAAGCTAAGTGTATTGGCTCACACCTGTGCTCCCAGCATTCCAGGAGGCCGAGGCTGAGGCAGGAGGATTACAGTGAGCCCAGTGTTGGCAAATTGGTGATGTAGCAAGACCTTGTCTCAAAATGAAATTAAAACAGTACCACAAAACAAAACAAGACAACAAAAACCAATGATGCACACCACCAACTCATGAAAATGCTTGGCTATGCCGGGCGTGGTGGCTCACACCTGTAATACCAACAACACTCGGCAGGCTGAGGTGGGAGGACCTTTGCAAGTTCGAGACCAGCCTGGGCTACAAAGTGAGCTCAAGGCCAGCCCGAACTGCATAGTGAGACCCTGTCTCAAAAAAGACAAAAAAGAAAAGAAAATGCTTGGCTGTGGTGTGCAGAGAAAGCGAATGAATGAGTGAGTGGGCAGGGGCTTCTCCCCAAGGCCTGGTACCAAAGCAGCACAGAAAATGCTTTTTATAAGATCAGAAAGCAAAGAGCAGGCTGGGTTGCAGGAATAACCAGGACTGCCGCTGGCTGCCTCAGTGCCCTGCCTGTGTCACCTCCCCAGGTCCCTCTGGCCCCACATGGGGCCGAGCCAGGACCTTGACAAGGACCACAGATTCTCACCTTGGCCTGGGCAGCCGCTCTGTGTCTCCGCCTCCCACCTGGCCCCCCAGCCTCATCTAACCCAGGGTCCCCTCAGCACCCATCCCTGCCCCATTCTTTACCCCTCTCAAAGCCTTCATGCAGAGAACAGCTGCCTGGCACCCACACACACACAGCCGGGCCCCTCAACCGTCCCCAGCTGGTCTTCTCTGGATGCTTTTCTAGGAGGAAACTACCTGAACCTGGCATGAAGAACCCAAGAACTCAGATCCCCAGCGGCTGCAGGAAAATTAGGCTTCCTGCTCCAGCACCAGGATTTCTCCCTCAATAAACAGATCTTAGCAAAAAGCCTGGCTGGGAACTTGTCACTTGTGTTGCAGCTCATTGGGACCTTAAACAAGCCCCCAGAGGGAACTAAGGGGATGGAGTTGCGCTTTGGAGCCTAAGGCAGGAGGATCCTTGAAAGTTCGACACCAGCCTGGGCTACAAAGTGACTCAAGAACCAGCCCTGTCTCAAAAAGACAAAAAATAAAGGGACTGAGCGCCAGGAATTTAGCTCAGTGGCATAAGCGCCTGCGTGGCAAGCGCAAGGTCGTGAGTTCAATCCCCAGTACCAAAAAAATAAAGGGACTGAGTTGAAGGGCAGGCAGACACTTTATTTGAAAGGAGACGCTAGCTGCTCCCACCCCTGGGGAAAGGGGCCCCCGGAAAGATAGGGCTCCGTGGCCCTGGCTGCTTCCATGGGGGTCAGGGCCCTTCCTCCACCCGGACCTCGCCCTGCATGATGGACTTCCGGGCACCGCAGAGTGAGCGCCATCACCACCACCGCCTCCTGCTGGAGGCGAAGCGCTGTGGCGCATGCGCATGGCCTTTCTGCTGCATCCTGCCTCTGCTCTCTGCTCTCCTGGTGCGAGGTCAAGGCCACCGGGTCCCTTCTCTGATTTCTCTCCGTTTCTTTACTCGATCCTTGACCTGCATCCTAGTGGAAATTTCTAGTGAAGTTTGTTTCTAACTCCTTCCAATCAAGGTTAGCTCCAAGACATAACGAGGTCCCTATTCTGTATTTTCCCGTCTGCAGAGCGCAGGCCCTACTAGGAACTTCCCCTGGCCCAACTGCTCCCCTGGACTGTCCTTGGCTAGGCTGGGTCTCTTATCCACCAGCGCACTTATTTTGGTGGCTTTGTGAAACTATTTTGTACTCATTTGTCCTTGATAGGGCCTGATCTCTGGGATGAGGTGGCCGGCTCCGAGGAGCCTCATAGAAGGTCAGCTTCTTATAAGCAAAAGGCTGCGCGGATAAAATGTGACCCTGGAGTGATAGAGTGCTATAGGTCTACAGCACAGATAGATGTGTGTATGTTTGTGCGCAGGAGTGAGCATACACTGGGTAAGAGTCACCCTTACCCCTCGGCTTCCTGTCTTCTGCAGCTGGGGTGGGACAGCTGCTGTGGTGTTGGAGCCTTGAAGCTGAGTACACGTGCAGAGCTGCAGCGTGGTCTGGGCAGGATTGAATTGAGAAGAGACGCCCCGGGGTGAGATAGGCCACAGCTGACACCACCTGGGGACTTTCTGGGTAGTTTCCCTTACTTAGCATCTCTTGCTCTGAGGGGTCCTTGAACCCCTCCTAAGATCCTACTCAGGTTTCCTGCACTCAACTCCTTGTTTTGATTCAATACAGGCTGCCTATTGTCAGTCAGCCAGCCGGCTAGCAGAGTTACAAACTCTGCAGAAGATATCACTCCTCCCTAAAGACCATGCAGCCTGTCTCATTCTTCTGGGCCGTTGCCATGCACCCATTTGGGGGGTTGGGGTCTAGGCACAGGGCCCAACACTGTGGCTTCCAGCTTCATTGCCTTGGGCTGTCTCTGCATTGTGTATTAGCTCTGTCTCTATCGCTCGTAAGTCCCAATGCCATCTTTTCTCTATCCTTGTCCTTGAGACCATTCCCAAGGGTATTTCTCTAGCAGAGTTTTGACTTCTAGTCAAGAAACCCCAGAAACCCCAGCGAGGCCCTTTTCCTGTTTTCTCCTTGCCTCCGGACCCTCTTTCCCTGCCCTTTTCTACTTAAATAGTAGGAAATCTTGTCTGGGTCATTTGCCATTTTAGGGGTCCGATGTTTACTTCTATCTCTGGGCTTCACGGTGTGTTAGCTCCATTGTTTGACAGATTCAAACCAAGCCTTTTGGCTTTGAACTCACCACAGAGCCTATGACTGGCCTTGAACCTGTGGAACCTGAGAGCCTCCTGCCTCAGCCTCTTGAGTGCTGGGATAACAGATGTGCACCTTCATACTCCCCAAACACTTTTAAACAAGAATCTTTTTTTTAAAAATACCAGATAGTTTATGTGTTCATCCCCAAATTACATGAATCACACTTTAGGTTGAGTTCTTAGATTATGACCAAATGACCACAGAAATCTCAAACAACAAGCCTGAGAGCTTTGGTCTTAATGTGCTCACTTAAACGTTCCCAAGGTGGCAGAGCTTTCAGTATGTCAGGACCTAGTTTTGAAACTTCCAGCCACACCATAAAAGGGATTCAGTTTCACTCAAAGAAAACTTAACTGAGCATAATACTTGGGTAGTGCCAGCCATGGCAAGGTTTCTAAAAATACTTCCCTGGCAGCAACTCAAATATCAAAACAAGCTTAAGTAGTACAGTATATACAAACAGGTCACAAAACAGCATATATGGCATCACCAATCTTTTATTTTCAAAAGATGTGTTAATGTACACAACTATCCAAAAATTCATCTAGAATGGTGTTCATTAAATGTTGTAATCTGTTCTGAGAACTAAGCTTATTTTTCTTTCTGTTCAAGAGTATTTTGTTATTGCTGTTTCTTGACACAGGGTCTCGTTACATAGTTCAGGCTGATCTTGAATCACTATGGAGACCAGGCTGGCCTCCAACTCAAGGGGAACCGTTTCAGCCTCTGGAGGGCTGGAATGACAGGCGTGCGCCACCAAGCCCAACAGTTCACTTCCTCTATTTCTGCTTGGATCTTCAAAGGTTATTTTGAATTTTTAGAATGCCATCACGCTTTGCTTTGCTAAGCTTCGCTTTAAGACGGTCTCACTATGCAGTTTAGGCTGGCCTTTAACTATGTAGCTCAAACTGGCTTCGAAATTGTGGCGATCCTCCTGACTCAGCCTCCCAAGTGCTAGCATTTCAGGCGTGCGCCACCACGGCCGGCAAGAAAACTTTTTCATCACACCTAACCTGTCACCAGTTTTCTGACCACACCTGCTACAACCGGCTCCCCTCTTCCTAGAGACACCATCGTCTCCATGCACCACACTAAGCACCAGAGACCCCCGACTTCTCAGCTCCTCACCCAGGACTGCCTCAGGGAACCAATCCACACCCTACAGACCTCGGCCCTGACCACAGCCACAGGCAGCCCAGAACACACCCACTCCTTTTCCGCTTTCTTCTGCGGCCCCACGCTTGCTAGGCAACCGCGCGAGGCCCCTTAGCAGGGCTGCCCGACAGAACGCCTGAAGGACCCCTAGAGGCCACGCAGGCTGACAGCGCGGTGCCTGCTGGCTGGAGTGGTGGTCCTACCAGCGAGCGTCCAACCGGCTTTGACCCCGAATATAGGAGCGGAGAGTCGCAAGGCTGAAGCTTCAGAAGAAGGCGGGGCGGGGCAGGAGCCTGGGCGTGCAGGCGTGGCCGCAGGTGGAGCGGGAAGGCCCGGGTACTTGCGGCGCGCGGGGGTGGGGGTGGGGGTGGGGGTGGGGGGCCCGGGTGGTGGCCTCCCTGGGGACGCGGGGTCGGGAGCTGAGGCAGTGCAATCCAGGCTGGCCTTGCACTCACTATGTAGCTCAGACTGCCTTCGAACTCATAGCTATCCTCCTGTCTCAGCCTCCCAAGTGCTGGGATTGCAGACGTGCGCCACCTCTCCCAGCCTCCGCGAATTTTTAAATGTGTAATTTTATGATGAGAGATCTTTACATTGAGCATCTTTCTCGACTTGATAACATTTGTTTTAAACCAAGAACTAGGACAAACAACGCTTAGGCAGGGGAACGGAACTAAGTCCCTGCCCCAGGAAAGCAAAGGCCCAGGAGGCGGAGCGGAAAAAAAGTTGAGGATCGAGGGGTCGGGTCGGGGTCGGGACCCCGGCGCAGCCTGCTGGGCTGTGAAGCAAGGCTCTGGGATTTTGTCGTTAGATCAGGGAGAGCTTCCAAGGCTTGAACCAGGGACTGAAGCGATGGGCTTCGCATTAACGATCCTTCTCTCCGGCCGAGGGACAGCAGATTCTGAGGATGCCAAGAGCGAAAGCCAAGGAGCAGATCCTGAGGACGGCCAGAGAGAAAGCCAGGGAAGAGGCTGGCGGGGAGGCCGCCGCTGAGGGCGTGGCGTGAGGCTCTGAGCCCTTGGAGGGGCCAGGATCCGAGCTCCGCTACAGGCAGGGGCCGAAGTGGGAGGGCCTGGGCTGACCCCTGCGGCATAGGTGGGGCCTGGGGTCGAGGTTTCACCCAGACATCCACAAGAGCGAAAGAGGCCTTAGCAGTTTCTTCCTTTGGGTCGAACCCTAGCACCGACACAGAGATGACCGTCAGGCCGTCTTCAGGCAAAGAAGACAGGATGTTGGTCAGGCTTTGTGCCTGGTGCAATGGTGGAAGCCTCCTTGGCAGTTTTTGGCAAATTGGAGATTTATTGAGATAATATTTTGAGACCAAGTCTTTTTTTTTGAGATAGGGTTTTGCTATGCAGGTCAGGCTGATCTTGTAGCCCAGGCTGGTCTTGAGCTCACAGCTATCCTCCTGTCTCAGCCTTCCAAGTGCTGGGGTTACAGGTGTGTTCTACTTTGGCTAGTCAAGAGACCTAGTTTTTTTGTTTTTTGTTTTTTTTTTTTCCCCTTGGTACCGGGAATCGAACTCACAACCTGGCACTTACTAGGCACGGACTGTGCCGCTGAGCTGTATCTCTGGCCTGATACCTAGTCTTTACCCCTACAGAGATGATCAGTTTATTCACATGTGGATAGAGCTTCACAGTTGGAACAGACCTCAAATTCTTTTTTTTTTTTTTTTTTGTCTTTTTCCTTTTTATTGGTACCGTGGATTGAACTCATGACTGCCTGCTTGCAAGGCAGGTGCTTATGCCGCTGAGCTAAATCCCCAGCCCCAGACCTCAAATTATTAGTTCAGTCATGATTGCATGGTGGCAGGCAGAATCCTAACAGGCTAGGAGGATGAGGCAGGAAGATACAAAGTCTGAGCTCAGCGTGGGCAGTTTAAACAATTTAGGAAGACACTGCCTCAAAATAAAAAAAAAATTTTTTTTTTTTTTTTAATTTTTAAGGGCTGGAGATGCAGCTCCATGCAAAAACCCTGGGGTTCAATCCCCAGTTACATTTTTTAAAATGTTAGTCAAGTTTATAGGGTTGCTAATCTAGTTTTTATGCTTGCTAATCTGTCCACAAGTATTTAGTGAGCTGTTACACGATGTCAGATGCCAGGACAGGCTAGAAGACTACGTGGTACCTAGGTTTACTGCTCAGTGAAACTGGTTGTGCTCCGGAGTACCAGGCACTGTTTTAGTTGCTACACATGGAAAAGATCCAAACCAGGCCCTGACCAGGGGTCGTGGTGCTGGCCCCAAAGGGCAGCTGAATATATTAATTTTTTTTAAATTTTATTTAAGGATAAAAGAAAAAAGAAAAAGCAGAGAAAGGGTACAAGTTATACAGATTTACAGAAAAAAAAGATAAACAGTAGGAAATCACTAGTTAATGGATTACATATTGTCATCTTAGAAATAAATCTTAGAAATTGTTCAAGTCACAAAATTAAAGCTTGTAAAGTGGACATTCCAACAATGATACTGCAAACAGTTCTGTTCAATGATCCAATAAAACTCTGTGATATCATTTTCTATCTTATACACTTAAATATACATGCAGTTATATAGTTTAGAGCACTTTCTTTTCCTCTCTTTTGTACAATGACTATTACACATTTTGGGTTTCATTGCTCCCACGGTTCTTATTACTTTTTTGGAAGAGAGTAAAACCAAATGTGACATAACAGAACAGAATCGGTCAAGTCAAAAGGGTGGACATAATAGATAATGTAAAAACATAATACAAGGTGATCAACAATGGTTACCGTAATGCCTCCCGCTATCTCTAATAGAATTGCCTATATCATTAGTTATAATAAAATTGAACAAAACAGTAAAGAATAAAATCGACAAAACCAAAACATTGGAGACATTGTAGGTCTTCAAAAGTAGATAAAAGTCAACGAGAATGGGCGTTATAATGAATCTCATTATCTTCACAGCTGATGCCTACACTTTCGAGCCTGATACTATCCAGCAAAACAGAATAGGGGAACATCAGTCAAAAACAAGATGGTGAGAGTAATACAGGGCTTTAAATCAAGATAATGGAAAGTCTAAGTGGGTTACTATAATATATCCTATTTTTTTTCCTTTAATTAAAAGGATAAAAATAAAAAAGTAAATAATGGAATGGAGATTGAGATAAAAGAGGGCATAACAGCGAAACAGCGCAGATCAAAACATAACCTTTTAAGCAGAATAGTGTTTCACCACCAGATAATCCTGACCTAAAAGTAGTTACCATATTGTCTCTTTCCTTGAAATCCTTGAGTACAACTTCGTATACTGTAGCAGTAAGTATATCAAAACAATGTAAAACTATTTAAGAGAATGACAGCATTACAGAGTATTTAGAATCGACTAACAGAAAATGAACAATGGTTTCTGTATAATCTCCTTGTCTTTAAAAGGTTTTTGCTTATACTATCGTACATAATAAAATCCAGTAAGATACAACCTATTAAGGCCATTGGAGACAGAAGAACAAAAGCTTGATGAGACTTCAAAACAAGATGATACTAAATCAGTATCACCTATTAAGATGTCATTTTCTCCAAAATAGCTGTTCCTATCATCCAATCTTCTCTGCCTCATTTCTGTTGAGCTCTTTTTCTGTCAGTAGCTGTCAGTTTGTCTTCTTCATTTTGTTCTCTGCTCCATTCGTTGTGGCCTCCCTGCCACTATTTCTGGATTCTTTGTATTTTTCTTTTTTTAGAATATCCTGCAATACTCTCTGTAGAGTTGAATTGGTGGTTGCAAATTCCCCCAGTTCCTCTTTATCCTGGAAGCACCTTGTTTTTCCATCAATTTCCAGGGACAGTTGTGCAGGATATCTCAATCTTGGCTGGAGATTATTATCTTTCAAAGCTTGAATTATTTCCCCCCACGCTCTTCATGATTTGATGGTTTGTGCAGAGAAATCTGCTGTAATTCTGATGGGTGTTCCCTTGTAAGTGGTCTGTTTCTTGTCTCTGACAGCTTTTAATATTCTGTTCTTGTATTGAATTTCTGGAATTTTTATTATTATATGCCTGGGTGTTGCTCTGTTTGGGTTGTAGGTAGCTGGGGTCCTGTATGCCTCATACATCTGAGTATCTTTACCTTTTGCTAAATTAGGAAAATTCTCCTGGATTATTTCTGTGAGTAGCTTTTGTAGTTCACTTGTTTGTGTCCCTACTTCTTCTTTTATGTTCTTAATCCTTAAGTTATGGATCCTCTTATCATCTTCTTGTCTTTGTATTATTGCTGTTTGTTTCTTTGTTATTTTTAAGAAGTTTTTCATTTCATTCTCCCATATTACAAGTCTGCCCTCCAGTTCAGATAGTCTGTCCTTAGTTTCTTTCAAGCTGTTATGCCAGTCTTCGATAGACTTCTTAGTTTCTTGGTAGTCCCTTTGAACCTGCTTCACATATTCTATGCTTTCTCTGTTTTCTCCATCAAACAATTCTCCCCTCTTTTTCTGTTCTTCCATTCCACCATCTGTTTTTTCTTGGGTGGTGCTTAGCATTTCTCTAACTATTCTGCATACTTCTAGCTTCAGGTCATTGATAACTTCATTCCTGAATTGATCTATGAGGCTCTCTATATGGCGCTTTACGTCTATTGGTGCGGTGTCCGCTATTGCCTGTTTCTCAGAATTGGGGGCCAAGGAGCCTTTCTTGTTGCTGCCTCTTCCCATATGCTCTGTTCCTTATATATGCAAGCTTATATAGGAGACCCAGCTTCTCTCCCTGTCAGCCACAGCCTGATTGAATTGCGCCGGTTAGGTGTTCCCGCCCAGCGCAGCTCACCAGGGAGTTACAGACCAGGCAGCCTACGCGGGGCCCGCCCCTCCCGGCCACCATCAGGCTCTGGGATCTGGGTTGGGCCAGCCTACCGGGTCCAACAGCAGCGTCACGCAGGCCAGGCACTTTTCACCAATCCTGCCCGAGAGGGGGATGTGTGGCTGGAGTCGCCACCGTGCCCTGCTCCCGCAGGACTGCCCAGGCCCAGAAAGTCCTCCGCTGGAGTCAAACTGTGGTAGAGTGTCAGTTTCTATCACTCACCTCACCACAAGTCAGTGCACGCCTCCCTGCCTGTCCTGTTTTCGACTCCGTTCGCAGATTCCCGCTCTCAGAGCTTCCCCGTGTCTCTCTCCTTGCCGAGCCACTGTAGAGGCAGTCGCCGCGCGGCGGGAAGCCCAAATCGCGGCTTCCAATGGCGTGGGGTCCAGCCTCCACACTGAGGCTTTTCTGTTCTGTTTTAGCACCAGGACTGCATTCCAAGTTGGTTTCTCTCAGCCCAGTTCGTTCCTGAGTCAGGAGAGCATATCTCCACCTGCTTATGTCTCCTTATTCCACACCCTTCCTGACTTCTGAACCAAGCCTTTCAGAGAGCCTCTGTAGTATCTGTTATCTGTCCGCCATGTTCTCCCGGAAGTGTCGAATATATTAATTGATAGAACTGTGGGGGACTGGCGTCAGCTGAAAAGATAAGAAGTATGAAATATAAATGACCTTTATTTTGAGAATGCGGGGAGAGACACCCCCAATCCCCTGGGACGCGACATCTCCCCCCAGGGTCGGCGATCTCTCCGTGGAACACGTGGAGTGGAGGCATATAAGTAGCCAAGGTTTGGGGTGGAACCTAAGGGGGCATTAGGGATGCACAGGTAGCCCATTGGTCTTTGGCGCCATAGGTAAATTCCTAGGGGTGGGGGAGATGGAGCTCCTTGGTTCCACCTGAGGCTTTACCAGCTACAGTGTCTTGTCTGGGCCAAAACTCTTTCATATCCCGTCTTATGATTATTATTATTAAAAGGGGCAAAGATTTCTCTCTTTAACTGCTTCCTGCTAGAAGAGGGTGTTGTACTGGGGTCTAGGAGAGTCCACCGGATGACAGTTGATGCCAGGTGTTTTAGCCAGGACTTCACTGGTGAATGCACATATGTTAGACTGAAAAAACAAAGAGACAAGATGTTATGAGGAGGCATGGCACTATCATATTTAAGGACCCAGGTGAGGTAGAAGGAAAGGTGCCTTTGATTTAGACATGTCATTCTATCAGGATGATGTTGAGGTAGGATCATTGCCACAGTAAGGTAGAATTCTGAAAAATAAATGTGGGGTTAGGAGGAATGAAGTTATGAGAGGTGATTACTCCCCCATCTGAAAGGATAAAAGTTAAAAGGATAGGTGGGTAAAACTTGTCTCTGGTCCAGGAATTGAACTGGAAAAAATAGGGGGAGCAGGGAAGGCGGTGGCTGTACCCATATAGGGAAGGTAAGGGCCTAGGCTTTCAGGGATGTCACGTTTAACCAGACAGCTGAGGGTAGAAAGAACTAAGATAGTTGTCACATAGAATATTATGAAGATGATCTTACGCATGATATGGGAGTTTTTAGGAAAGACTGTCAGGAGTCATGCTGTAAGAATGATCATTAATAGAACGTAAGAAATTAGGAACCAAAGTGGATAACAAAACATGACTTAGCCTGAGAGTCATGGCTGTGAGGCCTTGGTAAGGCAGAGATGAGTAGGAAAAGGATGGTTAGATCTAAGGCCTGAGTAATACGAAACCAGAATGGCAGTCTAGCAACTTTGATCACTGTTGAGATTGCCAAGAATATCAGGTATGGGTCGCTGTAACCTGGTTGTAGTCCTTGGAATGATTTGCTGTAACAGAACTTTAGTAAGTATATCAGCAGTCTCCCTGGTTGTGTGAAAGTATAAACAAAGGAGGTCCTGAAAAAGTATAAACAAAGTGAGAAGACAAAATTTATCTGCCAGTATTGACCAGGGTTGCCTGAGAAATTGGTGAATAAGAAAGGAAGGAGGTGGTCTTATATCACTGAGGAGAAGCCCTGGCATAGGTTGACCCTCAATGTCTCCTAGAGATTGAGGACTTAATATAGCAGCCTGAAAACTCAGGAAGAACTCCATATATATGGCCTCTATGTCCACAAATATAGAGAATGTCTTACCTGAGACTTTTAGTGGGACTTGGACTCTGAGACAGACACCCATAAAGTGGGCTATTGTTGGCCCTGAGCCCTGTCAATCTTCAGCAGCAAGTTTAAGCAGATCTGTCAGCAGTGAATCTGGCAGTGTTGGCATTTCCTGTGAGGGCTAGAAGTTAGGATGGCTTACCCATTCTCTGGTGGCTAGGACAGTCCAGTAGCCCTGGGGTAAGGTCTCAAAGAACGCCAGGATGGGGCACTGTCTTGCCCAGTGTCTTCTGCTGCATTTAAGGCATGGTCCATGGGTGGCCTGGGCAGCTCCACCTTGTGTCGGTTTACCTGTCTCAGAACTTCAAGTGTCACAAGTGTTATTGTTATCTCTGTTGTTAAAAACATGAAAAACCATATTAAGGTCATATTAAGGTTTAAAGGTCAAGTTTTGCCTTTTTGTTGTGGGATCTAGACTATAGTAGAAGGTATCTGTAGAATTAAGTAAGTATGCAGGAGTTGAATATAATCAACAGGGTATTTATAACTTTAGTAATGGCTTCCCATAAGGAGGACAGGTTCAGAGAATTTTAGGAACTGACATGTTATTTATATCATATATATAAGTATCTCTTTATGTTATTAAAATGTCTAATGCCATCTGATTTTTAGAGGATGGCCTGTTCAATTAATTTTTACCATTTTATTTAGGAGAGAAATCAGCTACAGTGTTTTTAATATCAGTTGAATATAGTTAATTATGGCTCAGTGGAGGGCTGAGCCAGGGCAGGCAGATAGGCTGGGAAAAGGTTTAAGTTTGGCTTCTGGGGCTGGGGATTTAGCTCAGCAGCATAAGCGCCTGCCTTGCAAGCAGGCAGTCGTGAGTTTGATCCCTGGTACCGATAAAAACGAAAAAGACAAAAAAAAAAGTTTGGCTTCTGCCACAGTGATATCACTAATGATATATGCTATTTTGCATATATCATTAGTGACTTCAATTTGGGTAAGGGAGAGCCTGCCCCTTCCAGAATATTAGCTCAGAGATGGAATCCTGGTATCCTGCTTGTTTGGATTGTTTTGGTTTGTTTTTTGGTTTGATCTGGATTTTTTTTTTTTTTTTGAGGCAATGTCTATGTAGCCCAAGCTGGCCTCATATTCACAGTGATCTACCTGCCTCAGCCTCCCAGAATCACGGATGTGTGCTTCCACACCTGGCCGTTCACACCTAGATTTCTCTTGAGCAGATAACTTTCATGGCCTTACAGTGGCACCAGCCCATACCCTAGGGCTCCCTGCGATCCCAGGAAACACCTGTGTGGGCCACCCTGTGCTGTAACCCCGGTGTGCCATATGCTGCGTGGCTGGCCGGCAGGGGGCGCTGTGTGGCTCACGCAGCTGCAGAGCTTCCAGGGGCCTTACCTCCGCTGTCCTCCTCCCAGGTCACAGGGGTGACATGGCCTCTGCATTGCGAAGTCCCCAGGTCCTCCAGCTCACCCTTGCCCTGATCAAGCCTGATGCGGTCGCCCACCCTCTGATTATGGAGGTAAGAGGAGTTCCAGCCTGTGATGCGTGGCCACTGTCAAAGAGGCTCCAGGGCCACTGGTGATTACGGCCCTGCTTGTACCCTCCGTAGCAGCACGGGGCCTGGACTGTGACTAAGGGACTGGAAGTCCCTCGGAGACCTGAGCAGATCTCAGATCTAAGGCCCTGGTATAGTCAAAGCCAGTGTCTGTGCATTCACGGTCCCCAACTTCAGGCGGCCTGGCGACCTCCTCAGGCTTGCAACTGCGGTGTCCAGGAAGATTCCGCTTCCGGCTTGGGGCCAATCTTCTAAGGTTTGGGCCGCTTCCTGTAATGACAGGGCCCGTCCCTGTTTGCTCAGCCAGCCTCCCACGTGCATCCTGGAGACCTCACATGTTCCTCATTACTCTGTCCTTACCATGGTGACAGCATACCGAGTCCTTCCCTTGCTTTGTCCCCAGCCACAGATGCATTCAGGGGAAGGCCCCCAATTCATGAACCTCACCTTGCTACGCTCCTATTTGATCCTGATCAACCGATGAGGAGCCTTGTTTACACCTGCCCAGTTCCCTTTGTTATATGTGTAACTTCACGTAATCGAATCTACTGCGTTTGCACACCTGGGCTTCAGGGCCAAAAATCAGGGCTGGCTGGTGAAGGCTTGGAAATCTCTAGTGGCATAAGAAAGAAAAATGAGTGACCCTGAGGTAGACTAGACACTGACATTGAATTAGACAAGAGGAGAAAGACTGACAGAACCTCAGTGAACATTTAATGTTTAGGAAATAAAGCCAGGCATAGTGACAGTAAGGAGGCTGAGGCAGGAGAATCACCAAGATTTTTGAGGCAACCTGGGCTACATAGTAAGTTCAAGGCCAGCTTGGATGTCAGTGAGACCCTGACTTAAAAAGGGGGGGGGGCAGAAAGAAAGAAGAGAGAGAGACAGAAGAAAAAAGAAAAGAAGGATTCTAACAGAAATTAAGAAAGGGAAGGATGGTGTTAGGGCCCAGCCTGCTGTAGGTTGATAAGTACAGCTGAGCACCAGTCTGCTCTGTAATGGTGGCCTGGATGGGGCAAAACTCCGGCCATAGAAGGCAGACTGAGGCAGGTGGGTTTCACAGACAGGAGTCCAGGCTTGCTGGATCTGGGGAAGTAGAAGGAAGGGCAGCCTTGATGCTGCATTAAAGTGTGATACATACCTACTTTTGTTTTGTTTTGCTTTGCTTTGCTTTGTTTTGTTTTTTGAGAAAAGTCTTGCTATTAGTTCAGCCAAGCCTTGGACTCATTGTGTATCCCAAGCTGGCCTCGAACTCACAGCAATCTTCCTGCCTCAGCCTGCCAAGTGCTGGGATTTACAGGGGTGCACAAGCACACTCAGCTTGTACAGCGTTTCTAATTGATCAGATGTGACAGTTGAGAAAGAGCGAGGAGTTCTAGGCAGGGCCACCCCTAAGTCCCCTGTAGTGGCCCACATGCCCGAGGGGCTGCAGGATGGAGGGATGCAAACAGCCATAGCCTATTCCTGAGGTTCCTGCACTGTTGTGAGGACTGGGACCCCTGCATCCCCCTGACGTGCAGGAGACCTTCCCATGGTTGTGCCCCAGGGCTCCGGGCTGACCCGACCCCCACCACTGTGTGTGTCCCCCCCCCCAGGCCATCCACCAGCAGATCCTGAGCCACAGGTTCCTGATCGTGCGCACTCGGGAGCTGTGGTGGCGGAAGGAGGATTGTTGCCGCTTCTACCAGGAGCACGAGGGTAGGACGGGCTGATGCCAGGCGCTGGGTCTGGGTTTATACTGGGCTCCACGTGGTGACTTGGTTCATGGATTCATGAGTCGGGGTGCACAGAGATCAGGGTGTCAGACCCCAGCCCTGACCAGTTCCTCTGACACGGGGCTCCCTGCTCCCCTTTCTTTACAGGGCGCTTTTTCTACCAGCGTCTGGTGGAGTTCATGGCCAGGTACATGTCATTCTGGGTCACCGCTCTGCCCCATGTACAAAGCTGTTCCTCTTTCCCCGGGTATGGTCCCCCTCGGTGTCCATTCTAAAGAAACAGGGCCCAGGCTCTGACTGAGCTGGCAGGGACCTGTGAGGCCCCTGTTATGCTCACCATGCCAGTGACTGAAGAAGAAGGTGCCACAGTGTTGCCTGGCAACCCTGCTGATCTCCGGCCCTTGTTTTTGTCAGTGGCCCTCTGTCACCTACTCTGGAATGCAGGCAGGCAGGGCCCGCTGTCCCAGGCCAGCGGCCAGCCCCTAACAAGCCCCTCTTCCTCACAGCGGGCCCATCCGAGCCTATATCCTGGCCCACGAGGACGCTGTCCAGCTCTGGCGGACGCTGATGGGACCCACTAGAGTGTTCCGAGCTCGCCACGTGGCCCCTGACTCCATCCGTGGGCGCTTTGGGCTCACTGACACCCGCAACACCACCCACGGCTCAGGTGAGTCTCCCTCCCTCCACACCAGGAACGGGGCCAGGCGGTGGAGCAGTCTTTCCATCCCAGCCCTCTGGGAGGATGAGGCAGGAGGATTTGAACGCTACCTAGATGACTTACTGACTTAATGAAACTCTGTTTCAGAATTAAAAAATAAAATAAGAATTGGGGATGTAGTTTAGTGCAGAGGCCCTGGGTTCAGTCCCCACGGCTGCAAAACAAAAAGAAAAAGCCTTGGGTTTGGGGCTGGGCTGCCCAGTAAGGTGAACAGCCAGGTCCCTTCATCAGGCATTTCTGGCCCTCGAGCGCCACCCCGGCCGGTAGGGACCTGGGCTCTGTCTGCCCGGCCCAGGCAGGAAGGAGGCCATTCCCTGACCCTACACCCCATCCAACCTCCCCAGACTCCGCAGCGTCAGCCAGCAGGGAGATCGCAGCCTTCTTTCCCGAGTTCAGCCAGCAGCGCTGGTACGAGGAGGAGGAGCCCCGGCTGCGCCTCGGCCCTGTGCTCTACAGTCCCGAGGGCGGCGTCCACTGTGCGGCCGGACTGGACCTGGGTCAGCCCGGGAGCCCCGACTGTGCGCAGTGACAGCTGCGACACCGGCCTTCACTCCTCAGCCTCAGGCCTGGTGATTTCTCACAGGAGTAGGAAGCCCGGGCTGTGGCGCCATCTCTGCCTCATGCCACCACCCCTGGGGACTCAGCTCTTCGTCTACCTCTTCTCTGGAACATTCCTGGTGCCTAAAATGGAGGGTTTCTCTTGTGCAGAGAGCCACTCCTCCCTCAAGGACTTGGAGACACAGTGAGTCTAGAAGCACCACCTGGCCTGTCTTCCTTAGTAGCATTGGCCAGGCATTGGGGTGCACCCCTGTTATCCCAGCATTCAGGTGGCTGAGGCAGGAGGATCATTGAGAGTTCGAGGCCAGCCTGGGCTACATAGCGAGACCTCTCCAAAAGCAAAAAAAAAAAAAAAAAAATGCCGTTGCTTAAAACAACAGCGATTTTTTTTTTCTCCTCATCTGTGAGCAGCACATCCACCAGAGTCTCATGCAGCCTTTTGTCCTGAGCTAGGCGACAGCTCGTGGATTCAGGGCTACAGGTGGGCAGCCCCTGTCAGTGCATGATGCCTGTGTTGTGTCCAAAAGCATCTTGTGGCCAAGCCCAGGTCCCTGTGCAGCGGACACAGGGCAACGTGGATGCTGGGAGGTGTCACTGCGCTCCTGGGTCAGGGAGGTGACCTGTGCAAGGCCTCCCCAAATGTCACAGGCTGCAGTGCACATCTGTGCTCCCTGCAAGGACTCAGGCGCCATCTGCTGGACTCCGGAGGCCTCTGCTGGACCCTCAGCACCCACTTCGTCCCACAGTTCCCCCTCGGTGGCCTCCTGCCTCTCCTAGTCGCTGTAGCCCTCAGTCTCTGCCCAGCCCATCCTCCTCCAAATCCTCCTCCTCAGAACTTAGATCTGTGTGGCACCTGGTATCTTTGGAAATGTTCATCACACCCTCTTCTCCCCGTGTCTCACATCCTCGTCTCTGCACAGCCAGACCCACATGGGCGCCTGCCCAGTGGGCTCACCCCATATTCAGAGCCAGGTCACCCCACTTCCTTGGGATCTCGTGCAGATGCCCAAGTGCAGATGCCCAAGACCCAAGCTGAGGCCCAATCCTCAGTCCGGATGTTAAATTATCCCAAGGTCCAGATTAAATCCATGTCTTGAGTCCAGGTTCAGTACCTAGCACTAAGCAAGGAATGGTGGGGCTCAGCTATAATCCCAGCACTGAGGAGGCTGAGACAGGAGGATCGCCACAAGTTCAAGGCCAGCCTGGATGATGCCAAGACCCTGTCTCAAAAATATCCACAACTAAACATCTAGTACTAAACTGAATTCCAACACTAAGATCCCAGAGCCAGTTCCAAGCCTGTGAGCTGAAACCTTCTTTTCACACTGACTCTCTCAGTTGTATGTTACAGTACTGGGAAACTGACTGACACACATTGTGTTGTCAGTACCTACTTTGTGGTACTTAGTTACAGTAACTTGCAAACTAATACTGTGTATTAAACATAAGCTCTAGTTTGAGGACCAAGGTTTGTATCCAAGTTCCAGAAGTGAGGTCAGGTCCATGATCCTGGAAAATACAAGTGAGGACTGACTTTCTAAGATTGGATTCAAATCCTCAGATAAATACCCAAGGCCAAAGCTTCTCACATCCCCTTCCACCCGGATCCACACCATTATCTAGTCGGGGCTGAGGGAACTCAGCGAATCCACATCTGAGCTGCAGGTGTCACCTCCAGGAGCAAACACCAGGGTCCCCAACAGTGACCCAGATCAGGCCTAGGTACGTGTATGTGGTGTTAGATGAAGGGCAGTGCCACGGTACCCTTCAGTAAGCAGATGCCAGTCTGTATGCGAGGCCAAGGCTCAAAGGCTGCGTTCCTGTGTTTTCATTTTGTTTTTCAGAAAGGGAAGAACCAAGCTCTTTTCCTTGCTTTGGTGGTACTGGGATTGAACCCAAAGACATTCTACCACCAAGCCTCAACTCCAGCCATATATACGTGGTGGGGAGACTGGGGTTTGTTTTTTTTTTTGTTTGTTTTTTTGTTTTTTGTTTTTTGTTTGTTTGTTTTTTGTCTTTTTCCTTTTTATCAGTACTGGGGATCAAACTCAGGACTGCCTGCTTGCAAGGCAGGCGCTTATGCCGCTGAGCTAAATCCCCAGCTCCAGGTTTTTTGTTTTTGAGACAGTGTCTCAATATGGTTTAGGCTGCCCTTGAACTCACTATGTGGTCTAGGCTAGTCTTCAGCTCATGACAACCCTCCTGCCTTAGCCTCTTAAATGCTGAGATTACAGGCATGCACTACACCTCCAGTTTTATATTTTATTTTGAGGCCAGTTTTCACGAAGTTACCCACACTGGCCTCCTGCTTTAGCCTGCCAAGTAGCCAGGAGTCCTGGTGTGCAGCGAGCCACTGGCTGAAAAGCCACTCTTTTAATTTGTGTGGAACTGCAGAGGGTCCCAAAGAGCCAGAACAATGTTGAAAAAGGAGAAAGTTGGAGCACTCACACTTGCCCATTTGGAAGCCTGCTACAGAGCCACAGTGATCAAAACAGGTGGTACCGGCCTAAAGACAGACGTGTGAGCCCATGAGATAAAGCTAAGAGTTCAGAAACAGACGACTGCCATAATCCCAGCAGGCTGGGGGGCAGGTGGGAGACTGCAAGTTTGGGTCCTGCCTGCTGAAAGAAAAGAAAAAGAGGAAGCACAAAATAAACATGCATGGCCAAGTGATTTTTTTAAAGAGGTTTTCTAGACCATTCGATAGGGCAAAAAACCATTACTTTAATAAATGGCAGTGGGACACCCGGATAACCACTCACAAAAGAAAAGCTGAACCCCGGCCTCACACCATATAAATAACTAACTGAAAATAGAGTTGGGTGAGGTAGCACGTATCTGTAACCCCAGCACCCCAGAGTTTGAGGCAAGAAAATGTCATACATGTTCAGGGCCAGCCTGGGCTACACAGTGAGAGCCTCTCTTACAAATAAATAAATTTTTAAAACAATTACTGAAAGTGGAAACCGAGTGTAAGAGCTGACACGGTAAAGCCACTGGAAGAAACTTGGGGTAAAGCTTCATGGCCTTGATTTGGCAACAGATTTTTAGATTTGACCCGTAAACCAAGAGGCACAAAGGAAAGAAAACAGATAAACTGATTTTCAAAATTAAAAGTTTTCACTCATTGAGATAAATTATCCAGAGGGTGAGACTACAGCCAGAAAATGGAATAAATGTTTGTAAGTCGTGTGTCTGACTGAATCTGATTTAAAGTTCAGACTAAGGATCAGCACCAGCTCAAGGCCAGCCTGGGCTACGGGGTGAGACCACATCTCAGAAAACCAAATTGAGCTGAGGATTTAGCTCAGCTGCAAAGAGCCTACCTGGCAAGCACAAGTCCCTGAGTTCAATCCCTGGTACCAAAAAAAGAGAAAACGAAAACCAAACCAAACCAACTACCTGAAGTCACCTGAGTCACCTCAAGGTCTCATCCCCATTAAGGAGCATTCCTGTTCCTCATGGGCCTGTGGCTCCCAGGACTACACTGTGGCCAGGACAAGCCACCACCCTCCTTTGAAAGTGGCTGTTATATTAGACTAGCAGAAAGGGAAACTGATTCATTAAACCCACAAATAAAAGAGGAGTTTATTTGTTTTTTGTTTTCTCTTGTTGTAGATAGGGTCTTATTATATAGTTCAAACTGGCCTTGAACTCACAGTGATTCTCCTGCCTCAGCCTCCCGAGAGCTGGGATTTACAGGCGTGCGCCACTGAAGTTGTACTTTGGCAAAAGAGAGCAGTTTTTTCTTTGCCAGACAAAGTCAGCCTTGTACACCCACCCACACTGTTTCAAGACATTTGAAACTTTGTTGGGGTTTGCCAGTCACTGCCGCTAACACAGAAAGCAGTCTTAAACACATTAAGATTCCCCAATCTTTAGCTCAGCAGTGTAAGTGCCTCCCTGGCAAGCGCAAAGTCACAAGTTCAATCCCCAGTACCAAAAAGCAAAACAAAAAGACTGAAACTTGAGCTGGACAGAGCAGCACATACCTGCAGTCCTAGTGCTGTGGGAGGCTGAGGCAAGAGGATCACAAGTTCCAGGGCCAGGGTCATAGCTAGGGGGGAAGGTCCTGGGTGCAATCCCCAGTACAGAAAGAAAGAAAGAAAGAAAGAAAGAAAGAAAGAAAGAAAGAAAGAAAGAAAGAACTCTCAGTATCATTATGCAAATAAGGTGACCCATGGCCCACTGGAAGCACCTCAGGGTGTCTTTAGGGTTTCCCTAGACCACATCTGGAGAACAGCTGCTCTATGCGGTAGACCAACAGGCAGAATGGCTTGTTTACAAGTGTGCAAATTGCCAGATGTGGTGGTACTGACCTGTGATCCCAGCACTCAGGAGGGATGTGAGTTCAAGGCCAGCTTGGGCTACATAGCCAGACCCTGTCTCAAAAAAAAAAAGTACAAGTTAAAAACATAGACCTATGAAAAGAAGTGAGCCCTGCAAATAGCATAAATGAAGAAGATAATGTTCCCTTTTTCCTCTCTTTGCAAGGCAAGGAGGGAACCCAGGGCCTCAAGCATGCAAGGCAAGCACTGTGCCATGGAGCTACACCCTGTCCCATAAACTGACTGAAGAAAAATAGTAGCAGCCAGGCATGGTGGTGCACACCCAGCAAGTGGGAGGCTGAGGCAGGAGGATTGCTGCGAGTTCAAAGTTAGAGCAGGCTACACAGTGAGTTCGAGGCCATTTTAGACTGCATAGTTGAGAATTTAAGAAAAGAAACAAAAATCATAGCAATTGAGCATGTGGTTATAGAACGTACAAGAGAAAATGTTTGAAATATTAGGAAAAATGCACGAGCACCAAAAGATGGCAAAGCAAGAGGAAGACACTTTCGGGGTACACTGCGGTCAGTACCCACTGAAGTGATGGATGCAATTAATGATACTGGAAACCCCATGGTAGCCACTTAAACATGTTTTAAACGGAAGTATAAACAATAAGCCAAAAGCAGACACAAAAAACACAATCACAAATGCATTTAGTCCAGCTGGGCGTGGCAGCCTAGCACACTAAGAGGCTGAAGCAGGCAGATCCCTAGCTCAAGCCCAGCAGTGATTTAGGGAGTTGCTGTCCAAAGCATAAAGGAGCGGGCTGGGGATGTGGTTCAGTGTGAAGACCCTGGGTTCCATCTGCAGCACTGGGTGGGGGGGGGGGATCCAATGGAAGCCAGGAAAGGAAGAGAAAGTTCACACTGAATTGATAGGAGATAGCTACAAGGTTACAAGGTGCCAGGGAACAATTCACTCATGCTGGTCATGCTGTTAAATGCAAATGATCTCCGGTAAACCACATCTTCTAGTTTCTGCAGCTGGTATTTTCACACTGGGGCCTATTTCCAGGGAGGGACACCTCATGACTCCTAGAAACAGCCAGGACTCCCCTAAACCTGGCTTTCCCAGGCAAAGAAACCAATTCAGAGCCAGCCTCTCCAGCCCCAGTTCACCCCAAGCTGATATTTGAAAGCCAGTAACTCCTCCCCTAACCCCTAGGGCCAGGCCTCAGAAGACTCCCAGCCTATAAGCCCAGCGCTGGGAGGCTGAGGCAGGAAGACTGCTGCGAGCTTGAGACCAACCTAAACTACACTGTGAGAAAGCCTATCTTAGAAAGAAAAACACTGGCCCTGAATCAAGGCCGGCAGCTTCCTGACACTGTTGGTTTCAAGCAGGAACCTAAAGAGATGTCTTTCTGCAGTCTGCTGGCCATTGCAGAACTTGGGCAGTAAGTGGTCAATTCATTAGAAAGAAATAGCTTGAAGCAAGCCCTTGCCCCACTGTGAGCGGCTGTGAGCATGGCAGGCTCTGGGGGGCCCAGGATGGGAGCCACTGGCTTTTACTGGGACCCATGCCATGCTGGGACATGGAGGGCCAGGACACCAAGCAACCCCTCCCGCCCTGCCTGTTTTATTGTTGAACTTCAATATACATGAAAGTATGGACAGCTATTTTGAAGAGAATGAAAGCCTCTACAACAGCCATTAGTGACTTTCCTGTTGTCTGGTTTTGAAGACCTAAAACGCCTTCCTCATTCTGTTTAGACCAGTTTTATACTATGTTGTTTTGTATAATTCTCTGCATGCGAAGACATGAACAACTATTTGGAAGAAAACAAGAGACAATATGATAGACAATGAATATCTCAGGTCGTCTAGCTTTGAAATTTACATCTCTTACATTGCTTTCTTATGTCCTGTTTTGTTGTGTCTAATTTTGCTCCCTTTAAAATAAATTAAAAAAGAAAGAAAGAAAAACAGGGCTAGGAGTTTAGCTCAGTGGCACAACTACCTGCCTGGCAAGCATGATGGTAGGAGTTCAATCCCCAGTACCAAAGAAAAAAGAAAGGAAAAGAAAAACAGCTGGACATGATGGTGCACACCTGTAATCCCAGCACTGAGGCAGGAGGGTCATGGTGAGTTTGAGACCAGCCTGGGCTACAAAGTGAGCTCAAGTCCAACCTGAACTGCAAAAGCGAGACCCTATCTCAAAAAGACCAAAAAAAACAGAAAGAGAAAGAAGAAAGAATGAAAGGAAGGAAGGAAGGAAGGAAGGAAGGAAGGAAGGAAGGAAGGAAGAAAAAAAGAAAGAAGGAACAACAGCAACACACACAAACTCAGATCACCTATATGCTGGGCCATCTGAAATTACTCGAACTGGCCAGCCCTTTACCCAGCCTCAACCACTGCTCAGGAAAACCACCATCAAGGGTTTCCAAAGTCCCACACGTGCCCTCTGCCCGTGACTGAGCTCTGGGTGGCCAAGTGGCGTGGCAGGAAACTGGGAGGAAAAAAGTCTGGGGTTTTCTGTGTTTGTTTGTTTATTATTTTTCCTTTTTGGTTTTTTGAGACTGGGTCTCACTACATAGTTGAAGAAGGCCTTAAATTCACTGTGTAGCCCAAACTGGCCTTGAACACGCAGTGATCCTCCTGCCTCAGCCTCCAGAGTGCTGGGATTACAGATGTGCGCCACCATGCACTGCTTGGTCAGTTCTTTGTTCAGGACAAGAACCTAGAGACAATCTCTGGAAAGGTCCCACAGCTCCCCAGAGCTCAGTGACAGAGAAACAGAGGCTAAAGCTAATGGAACAGAAAACTCATGGAAGTGACTGTGGATAGAAAGAATACAGGAAAAGCCCAGGCATAGGGGCACGGGCTCATGCCTAGCACTTGGGAGGCTGAGGCAGAAGGATCACTCTAAATTCAAGGCCAGCCTGGGCTACAAAGTGAGTTCAAGGCCAGCCTGAACTGCATAGCAAAACTTTGTCTTAAAAAAGACATTATATATATATATATATATATATATGATCAGAATTGGACAAAAGAAGAAAGAATGTGGCCATTGTGAATACTTTTCTTGCTATTTTTGGTGTGTTTGAAATTATTGCCAAATACAAAAACATTTTCTTCCCAGCATGGTAAGGCCCAACTGTAACCCTCAGAAGGCTGAGATAAAGGGGTCAACCTGAGTTCCTAGCCCGCTGCGCTACATAGCGAGCCCCTGTCCCAAAATACAAATGCAAAAACACTTTTTTTTTTGTCTTTTTCATTTTTCTCAGTACTGGGGATCGATCTCATGACCGCCTGCTTGCAAGGCAGGTGCTTATACCGCTGAGCTAAACCCCCAGCCCCGCAAAAACATTTTTAAAGATATGTTAGGCATCAGGTTGGTCCATAACCACAATTCTAGCTACTCGAGAGGCTGAGGCAGAAGAATAACAAGTCCAGGCCAGCCTGGGCAATTTAGCAAGATCATGTCACAAAACAAACGTTTTATTGTTTTATGTTTCTTACAGACATTTTCCTATGCGTTTTTCTGACTAATGTCCTGGTTTTTTTTTTTTCAATTCATTTGACTCATAGATAAAAAGAAAGAAAAAACTACAACAAAAGTTTGAAGCACGTCAATTGGGGGCAACAATGGTACCCATACTGCCCACTGGCCCCCAGATCACTCACCCAGAGCACAGGACGCCTGCACTCAGCTGTCCAAGCACAGGTCTTTCTCTGCAGTGAACTCAGAGAAGTCAGCAGTATAACGGTATTAATTATTTTTATACACATATACATACACATGCAAATTTTTTTTCTTTCAGCTTCTCACACTAATGAAACAGTATGACGCAAAACAAAAATCTTACAAAGGCTATGGGTGTAGCTCAGTGCCAAGACCCCTGATCTGGTCCCCAGTAGTCAAAAGGAAAATTACATAAATACATGAATAGCTGGGCAGCGTGATGTGCAGGTCCTAATGGACCAAGAGCCCTGGCAACACCTGGGCTGTGAAAGTGGCTTGTACACCCCACTTCCCCAACCGGGGCCCAAACGTGCAATCAGCAGCTTCATCCAGGGCTCAACCACACAGGTGTCCTGTGAGGCCCAGGCCTGTCCCCCGCCACAGGCTGCCAGTCCTGCAGCTGCTCACACACAAGCAGGACCAGAATGGCCTTGCTCAGGAAGCCAGAAACCCACCATTCCTTTCTGTTGTTGTTTGGAGACAGGGTCTCCAACTCACTGGGATCCTCCTGCCTCAGCTTCCCAAGGGTATGGGCGCATGCACCACCACACCCAGATGAGAGCCCCTGGTTCCTCAGGCCTATTCATCTCCCACTGTGCCCTTCCCCTGTCCCCAGCACAGCCACCTCAACTTGGGTCTCAGTGAGGGCCAGCAGGGGACACTTTCTGCAGCCTGAGGAAGCATAGGCACCACACAGGCATAAGAAATCTCACAGGAGGCAGCAGCAGCCAGGCAGCACCCCAGGAGGTACAGGGAGCCACCTGAGCCCAGGGTGACAATGACATCTAGCAAGGCCACAGGCCAAGGCCACGCCCCAGGGACATCTGGGGGCTAAGGTTGGGCTGGGTCCCCTGGAGAGAAGGAATAGGGACCGAAAAGCTGGGGATCCTGAGGTGAGGTCCTCAGGACCTACGGGGCCTGGGATCCAGGCCCATGCAGGGGACCCCAACACAGGGTGGGGACAGCCACACCCTCACAGGATCAAGATGTCAGACACAGAGGAGGTGCTGTCCAGGGAGGGGTGGCCGGCCCTTGGCCTTTATTAACCCTGCATTTTGTTGCCAGCCTGTGTTTGTAGGATACAAGGACTGCATTCATCATGGGAGAGCACACGTGCCCGATGCTGGTCTCCATTATCCCTCCCCCAGAGGGTCTCTCTGTGTGGTACAGGCTGCATTTGAACCCCCTTAGGTGGCCAGGCTGGCCTCCAACTCCTCCTGACTCAGCCTCCCCAGTGCCACCAACCCCTCCAGACAGAGGACACAGGAGAGGGGACAGATGGATCCCACAGTCCACTGGCTGCGACCCTAAATCTGCGCCTGAGTCCTGGTGGATGAGGCAGGAAGGCCCCTTGAGCAACCCTGGCCAAAACCTTCCCCTGCAGGGCCTTTGGGGTCCCAGGGAGCTGGTGAAATCCTCTTCCTGTTGCAGCACAGCCGCCTGAGGCAATGCTGGCTGAGAACAGGGGGTGGTGGGTTGGGCCGGGCATAAAGGAGGCGCCCACAGCCCTGGACCCACTGAGGACCAGGGGTACCCCAAGGGACACTGCCTCATGGGGGCGACTGTCACTGCCCCTGCTGCTGCTGCTGCTGCTGCTGCTGCTGTTGACCCCAGCCATGGCCCGGGTCCTCAGCCACCAGCAGGCATCGCAGCGGGCCTTGGGTCATGTCAACCAGTGCTCAGCCAACGCCAATCTCTTCTGCCTCCTCAGCCTGGACTTGCAGCCCCCGGGGGTGAGCACTGGGCCTCCCTGAGCTGCTCCCCAGCCCTCAGGTTGCAAGACAGGCTCTCCCTAAGTCACCAGTCCGCCCAGGCTGGGCTCAGGCTTGCAGTCTTACTGCCTCAGCCTCCCCAGGGCTGGGATACAGGCGGGCTCACATGGGAGCCTGGGCGAGGGGACACCTGTATGCCCTCAGGAAGCTGAGGCAGGAGGATTCCAAGTTCTATTTAGGCCAGCCTGGGCTACATAGGGAGACCCTACAGAAGGAGTAGGGGCGACAAGCATGGGCCTGAGCCAGCTCTCCCCCTTCATCCTGACCAGGATGTATGTGGACCCACATGGCCCAAAGCCTGTGAGCTTCACCGTGAAGTCCCAAGGAAACCGTGTGTCCCAAGGAGACACCACTGCCACTGGAGCAGTGTGACTTCAAGGAGGATGGGGTGAGGCTGGGCTCTGGGTGCTGGGGGATCTCTCCCGGAGGTGGGCATGAGACCCAGAGGTGAGGCTGGGCCAATGGAAAGGGGTTCCCACCTGACCTGGAGCTTCCCCTCCCCAGCTGGTGAAGCAGTGCATGGGGACGGTCACCCTGGATACAGCCAGCAGCGCCTCTGATATCAGCTGTCACAGGGTGAGCAGGGTGTCCCCAGCTGCAGGGTGTCAGGCAGGCTGAGGGGCTCCCCTGTGGGTCAGTTAGAAAAGCCCTCTACTCTGGGGCTCTCCTTGAGCAGTGTCCTCACGGTCTGCTCCTCCCTGGTCTGGTTTCACTCCCCTGTGATCCCAGCACTTATGAGGCTGAGGCAGGAGGATCCCAGGTTTCAGGCCAGCCTGGTCTACATATCTAGACCCTGACTTGCTGTCCACAGGCCTGGTTTTTTCTTCTGCTTAGGGGTGCAGGGATTGAGTCCCCAGGGTAGCCCCAGATGGTGAGCTGTTACAACCCTGCATGCAGCCTCCAAAACCCCACTTCTCCTGCCACACAGGTGGACCACACCCCACATGTGGCAACTCTGGGGGAGCACCTCCATGAAGGGGCAAAGAAACTGGGTGAAAAGGTGGAGAAAATCGGACAGTGAATCAAATAGGGAATTAAGGACTTTTTTCACAAGTTCAGAGAGGCCTCTGAACTAGACGGGGGGGGGATAAAGCATGAACCGAGTTCCCAGGGCCTCCGAGCTGCCTTGCTTTCTCCCACTGTCTGCGGTGGAGTCCTCTCCTTCAGAGCTGTGTGTGTGTGTGCCCGAGATTGGAAGGCTGTGCGTGTCTGTGTGTGCACGCATGTTGCATGTGACATAAGGGCGGGCGGGCGCAGCCCATGCTTCTGATCTTTGTTTTATTGGGGCGGGGGGCAGGAACCGAACTCACCACCTCCCACTGGCCAGGCAGGTGGTGCACACTGAGCTCCCTCCCCGGACAGCTCTAGCCCACACCTCTAAAGAGAGCCCTGAGGACTGGCACAGACCTGTCCTGGCGGGTGACATATCTGACAAAGCAAGACTAAGAGGCCCCAAACCTAATACCTGAGGACACTGAATCGACCCTGAGACATCACAAAGGATGATCCACCGCACTCTACTTGAACTTGGCCATAAACTCGCAGCAGCAAAAGGGCACAGCCAGAGAGACATAAATAATAACCACGCGGGGTAAAGGGAAGAGAGGCTCCCAATCACTGCCAGCTGTGCTGTGGCCTGGTCCAGCAGCCACTGGCTCCGGTTGCTGTTCCAGTCCCTGGAGGACCTGGTATAGGGCAGCTCTGGCCCATCCACCTTCCCAGACTGCTGCTCAGGCTTCAGGGATGCAGGCTTTCATCTCCCCGTCCTGCTGCTCCTGGCTTGGAGGCTGCAGATGGGGCTCAGGGAGGGCAGAGGGGCCAGACCCCCTGCTGAAGCCCTTATCCACTGCCCACAACAGCGACCGCCCCCAGCTACAGAGAAGCTAGAGGGATGGTCACCTCCTTTCCCCAACAGAGCTCAGATGGGGGGGGGGGGTCCCAGAGCTAGAGCTAGGGAAAGGAGAAAAATCCATTAGGGGCCTCCACAGGGCTTCGAGCTAATCCTGCTAGAAAGAGTTAAAAACCAATTTACTAAAGAGATACCTCTAGAAAATAAGCCAAAAAATGGTAAAAACAACAGAAAACAAAAAGATTTAAAGAAGAAAAGTTCCAAATGGTCTTGGGATTTACACCAAGAAAATAAAAAGAGCTGACCACCAAGACATGGAAAAAGCCAGGCCCGCAAACGCAATTAAAGGCCAGGGAGGGAGCACAGGGCCCTAAGCCCCTACCTGGCAAGCACAAGGGCCCAAGTTCCATCCCTGCCCTAGAACAAAACAAACAAACAGAAAACGTGCAAACAGGTGAACACAAAGCTACACAAAGACCATCGAAAAGACCACCTTAGGTGGAGGGACCGGAAGCCGATCCACTCATGGCCAGCTCCGGGTGTGGGAGAGCACTCAGTACAAACACAGAGAGACCAAGGGACAGAGGAGGGACAGCCCCCGCTGGCTGCAGCGCCCTGGGAGCTGAGCTGCCCTTCCTGGCCTCGCTCTTCCGGTTTGAGTACTGGGGACGCAACCCGCTAAGAGGGCGCAAAGGGGGCTGGGGATTTAGCTCAGCGGCATAAGCCACCTGGCTTGCAAGCAGGCGGTCGTGAGTTCGATCCCCGGTCCCGATAAAAAAAGAAAAAGACAAAAAAAAAAAAAAAGGGCGCAAAAGGAAGCCTAGGGCCACGCAGGATGATTCACAGCGTTCGATCCTCGAGCGCTTCTGACCGCGGGTCTGAGAAAGTGCGCCCCGCGCGTCCTCCCCAAGGGCCGCTCTGTCCCCTGCCTAGAAGGCCCGGCCCAGACCTGCCCGGCCGCGCGGGGCACAGCGCCCTCTGCCGCCAGCAATGCGAACCGCATCTCGCGCTCCCAGCCAGCCCCAGCCGGGCGCCCAGACCTCAGAACACCCGTCAGTGCTGGGGTGGCTCTCGCCCCCGCGCTTCCTCGGCAGCTCCACACTTCACAGAAACGTGGCTTCCGCCGATCCAGTCTGCACGCACCTTGTGTCCCAAGAGCCCCACTTCTCCGTTCTCTGCAGTAAGGGCCAGGAACCCCTCTGCTCATTGGAGAGCCCCCCAAGTCAGCCGGTCCCAGCAGGAGGGGTCACTCTAGGATTGATCCGATGTTTTGGTGAGATGGGGAAGGTCAGGGACCCTCAAAGAGGCTGCAACAAGCCACGTGAGTGGGTGCACACCTGTGATACAGTACCCTGGGAAGCTGAGGCAGGAAGATTGCAAGCCTTGGCCATTTAGCAAGAGCCTGCCTGAAAATGTTTCAGATGCCAAGACCTGGGTACGTGCGAAGTCCCTGAGTTCAAACCCTAGCACCACAAGAGAAAGAAAGGAAGCAAAACTAAAGGCAGGAGGCTGGGCCAGGCAGTCTTTCAGGTTGAGGGGTCACCTGCCCCATATGGATGCACACAGGTTATGGGGAGCTGTAGACCACGGGAGGGGTGAGTCACTCTGCAGGATCCTGAGGTGCAAGAGTGAGACAGTCACTTAACCCATGTAGACACAATCTCTCCTCTGTCCCAGGCAATATGTGCATTGATTGACACAGGGTTTGGCTGTGTAGTCCAGGCTGGGTTTAAATTCTCAGCAACCCTCCTGCCTCAGCCTCCCAAGCACTAGGGTCACATGTGTGCACCACCACGCCCGCCAGGGGACACATTTAGACTGAGGAAGGCAGTGGCAGAGGACACTGGAGAGGGGACAGATGCAGCCCACAGCCTGGTGGCTGTGGCCCTAAATCTTCGCCTGGAGTCCGAGTTGGAAGAGGCAGGATGGTCTCTTAAGCAATGCTGGCTGCAACCTTCCCCTGGGGGACTCTTGGGGTCCTGGGGAAGCCGGGCCCAAGGGAGCTGGTGAAATCCCCTTCCTCTTGCAACATGGCCACCTGAGGCAATGAGGGCTGAAGACAGTGGGTGATGGGCTGGACCAGGCATAAAGGAGGTGCCCGCAGCCCAGGACCCAGTGAGGACCATGGGCACCCCGAGGGACGCCGCCTCAGGGGGACCCCGACTGCTGCTGCCCCTGCTTCTGCTGCTGCTGCTGACCCCGGCCACCGCCTGGGTCCTCAGCTACCAGCAGGCAGTGCAGCGGGCCGTGGATGGCATCAACAAGAACTTGGCTGACAACGAAAACCTCTTCCGCCTCCTCAGCCTGGACACGCAGCCCCCAGGGGTGAGCACTGGGCCTCCCTGAGCTGCGCCCCAGCCCTCAGACTGCAAGACAGGCTCTCCCTAAGTCACCAGTCCGCCCAGGCTGGGCTGCAGTCTTCCTGCCTCAGCCTCCCCAGGGCTGGGATACAGGCGAGGTCACATGGGAGCCTGGGTGGGGGGAATACCTGTATACCCTCAGGAAGCTGAGGCAGGAGAATCCCAAGTTCTAGGCCAGCCTGGGCTACATAGGGAGACCCTACAGGAGGATGGGGGCGGTAAGTATGGGCCTGAGCCAGCTCTCCGTTTCCCCCCAACCAGGACAACGACCCGTATAGTCCGAAGCCAGTGAGCTTCACTATAAAGGAGACCGTGTGTACCAAGATGTTGCAAAGGCCTTTGGAGCAGTGTGACTTCAAGGAGAATGGGGTAGGCCGGGCTTGGGGTGCTCGGGGACGCCTCCTAGGGGTGAGCACGGGGCCCAGAGGCGGGGCGGGGCCAAGGGGAAAAGGGTTCCTGGCCGACCTTGAGCCTCCTCTCCTCAGCTGGTGCAGCGGTGCACAGGGACGGTTACCCTGGACTCGGCATTCAACGTCTCCTCCCTCAGCTGTCTTGGGGTGAGCAGCGAGAGCCCGGCTACAGGGTGTCGGGAGAGACCCGAATGGTGGGGCCGCTTCTCATCTTAAGGGTGCAGGGAGTTAGTCCCTCATTCCTGAGATCACCCCAGAGGGTCACCTGGAGCTCCGGGCGCCTGGTGGTGGGGCTGAGCCCTGGAGGGACCTGGGACACAGCCTGAGGCCTTAGCCTGTCCCTCCCCACAGGGGCGGCGTTTCCGGCGCATGGTGGGGCTGCGCAAGAAGTTTAGAAAAACACGGAAAAGGATCCAGAAATTAGGCCGGAAAATCGGGAAAACTGGCCGGAAAGTCTGGAAAGCTTGGCGCGAGTACGGGCAGATCCCGTATCCGTGCAGGATTTAGCATCCAAAATAAAGCAGGAAGGCAGCCATGGTAGTGACGCCTGTGATCTCAGCACTCAGGAGGCTGATGCAGGAGCATCCCTACGAGTTCAAGGGTAACCTGGACTACCTAGTGTGTTCTTGCCCCAAAAAGATTTAAAAGTAGAGAAATTAAAAAGAAATAAAGCATGAGTGAAGCTCCCAAAGCCTCTGCTCTCTCCTTGCTTTCTCCCACTGGCCACAGTGAAGTCCTCACCCTCAGAGCTGTGTGTGTGCGTACGTGTGCACGTGTGTGTCCATGTGACACAGAGCAGGGTGGGCACAGTTGTTCCATCCAGGATGTGCAGGCCATGGTGACACAGACAGCCTCCAAGGGCTGGAGGATCGGGCCCAGCAGGTTCAGTCGGTCAGGACAGCTCTGGGAAAAGCACAGCTCTCTAAACTGGCAGCAGACACATGGCTGCTGCAATGTGGGTTGCTGACTTAAAATGGGGCTTTATGGCAAGGGTTCTGAGGATACGATCACTTTATACTATTAAAAAAAAAAAAAAAAAAAGAGGGGCTGGGGATTTAGCTCAGCGGCATAAGCGCCTGCCTTGCAAGCAGGCAGTCGTGAGTTCGATCCCTGGTACCGATAAAAACGAAAAAGACAAAAAAAAGAAAGAAACAGCAGGCCACAGTGTTTCGTGCCCATGATCCCAACACTCAGGAGGCTGAGGCAGGAAGATTGCAAGTTCGTTGGAGGCCAGCCTGGGCTACATGGAGAGAGCATCTCAAAAAAAAATGTGGAGAGGGTTGGGGATTTAGCTCAGTGCATAAGCACCTGCCTGGAAAGCGTGAGGTTGTGAGTTCAATCCCTAGTACCACCAAAAACAAAAAAAAGGGGGGAAGTCTTCGCCCAAGGAAGTGTGCAAATCCCCCATGCTGCTTCTTGGTGTCTTACAATGCACAATCTTTCTTCTCTTTTTCTTCTAGTATTGATTGAATTAAGGGCATTCACAGAGAACTACACCCTCTTTTTTTTTTTTTTTTTTTTTTGTCTTTTTCATTTTATCGGTTCCAGGGATCGAACTCACGACTGCCTGCTTGCAAGGCAGCTGCTTATGCTGCTGAGCTAAACCCCCAGCCCCAGAACTACAGAAATTTCCTTTTTAAATTTTCCTTATGGAACTGGGTATCGCTAAACTGCCATGGTTGGGCTTGAATTTGTGATCCTCCTACCTCAGCCTCCCATACCAGTGGTATGGTCACAGGCATGCACCACCTGGCCTGGTGAGACACACCTTATTACAGCCTCTGACAACTGAACAGAAAAGCAGCCCTTCACTCCTCTGAGCCCTCCGTCTGCCCGCCATGAAGGCCAAAGCCCCTTGAGTGTGGACCTTGGGCTCTAAGCCTGTACCAGGTTGAGCCCCAACAGCCTCAAGCAGGCTGTACTGAGGCCCAACCCCTCCTCAGCTGCTTCCTCCCGCCACTCCTAGCCATGCCTTGCCTCATGGGGCTGTTTGTCAACAGTTCCAGATGGCACAAGAGGCTTTGCCTCACTGGGGCAGGAGGGAGTCCCGGGAACAAGGATTGAGAAAGCCAGAGACAGCAACACCACCGGGGGCCCTCCCTGCCCAGCTCCAGCTGCTCCCTGCCCAGCCTTTTCCGCCCTGCCCAGTTCATGGGGTGTCGAGAGTTGTAGCACGGAAGCATGAGCTGTGAGGAGACCTCAGCTGCTGCCCATATCCCCCAGTCCCAGGGGAGACCCCAGGAACTCACAAGAAACCTCCTCCCTGTATGAGGAAGTGCTGTCCCCACTCCAGAACCCGCTGTGGCTCCCTTCTGCCCTCCACCAAGCCACACTGTCTCTCTTTGCCAGAGCCAGCTCCTCAGGCCGCCTGCACAGGATGGTCACTTATAGCAGGGTACACAGTGCCATGTCTGTGTCACATCTTCCAGATTGCTACGTTTCAGGGTGAACATAGCCACGGCAGCAGCCCTCACCTCTGGGAGTTGTGCCACTTTAGCTTTTGAAAATCAACTACAGGGAGCTGGGGATTTAGCTCAGTGGCATAAGCACCTGCCTTGCAAGCAGGTGGTCGTAAGTTGGATCCCCGGTACCGATAAAAATGAAAAAGACAAAAAAGAAAGAAAGAAAGAAAGAAAATCAACTACAGCGCACTCTCTGTCTCCCCTCTAAAATGCCCTGGGTCAGACTGACCTGCAGTCAGTCCTTCCATTTCCTTGAGGGAAATAACAGAGACCAACAACAGCACTCTGGGAAGCTGAGGCAGGAAGATGGCTAAGTGTGAGCCCAGCCTGGGCTACACAGCAAGACCCTGTCTCAAAAGAAAAAGTGAAAATGGCCAGGGTGTAGCTCAGTACTAAGGTCTTGGGTTCAATCCTTCAATCCCTGGGAGAGGGACAGACAGCGGCAGAGACAAAGAGACAGATGGGGAGGGGGAAGCACGTGGTCATCAGGGAAGCCGCAGACTTGGGGCTTTTGGTTCCAATCTGCCAAAGGCAGACAAGGTCTCCAGAACCTGGAGTGCGTTTTCAGCTTTCAACCCCACCCCCCACCCCCATCGCAGGAATCTCTCAGTTCTGGCTCAGAGAATATTCCCACGGGAGGAGCGCCCACAGCACACTGAGGTCTGCCCAGGCAGTGGGAGGGAGGTGACCCTGAGCCAAGAGCTCAGTTTCCAGCATCCACCACCCCACACGGTTCGCATCCCCACCTGAACTCCACCTGGGGTCAAGTCGGTGGCAGGAGGTCCCAGAGGAGCACGGACCCTGCTTTTGAAGCAACTCCAACCATCCTCCACCCCGCACCCCATGGAGAAATTGTGTCAAAAAGGTCGTTCCCGTGCGTGGTGGCACATGCTATAATCCCAGCTCTTGAGAGGCTGAGGCAGGAGGATCACAGCATGTTTGAGGCCAACCCGGGCTATGTAGTGGGTTCAAGGTCAATCTGAACTACCTAGCAAAATCGTCTCAAAACAAAAAAGCCTAAAACAAAGCAATGAAACCAGGGGTGCTTTGCTGAGCTACACCTGCAGGCCTCGTTTTTTCTTTTTAAAACGTGATCTCTCTCAAAAAAACAAAAACAAAACAAAAAACATGATCTCTCGGGGCTGAGCACCTACTTGGCAAGCACAAGGTTCTGAGTTCAATCCCTGGTACCAACCCCCCCTCCAAAAAAAAAAAAAAAAAAAAACTAAAACATATCTTCTAAATTGCTCAAATCAGCCTAGAATTTGCAGTCCTCCTGCCTCAGCCTCGGACCTGGAGCAGCAAGATCACTGGCATGTACCCACACCCCGTGCTAAGAGACCTTTTTTAAACCCATCACCCTGGAGATAACATTCAAATGCTTGGATTTCTTTCACTGCACAGACCCAGATTTTCGGTAAGCCAGGCTGCAGGCCACAGCCTGGCCAAGACTGCTCTGTTCCCCACTTGCCAGGTCAGTGGGGAAGCTGAGGTAGCTCTGCCCTGCCTGGCTTTCATCCCGCCCCAACAAGCGCTGCAGTAGCTCCAGCCCACACTTGGAAGAACCTGAGAATGAAGTCCTGAAGGCCAAGACACGCACCTCCTATCCTCCTCCTTTCTCCAGTACTAAGGGCCCGCCCCCACTGATTTATGTCCCAGGCCCTTTTGTTGTTTGTTTGGTTTGGTTTTTGGAGATAGGGCCTCTCTGTGTAGCCCAGGCTGGCCTTAACTCATGGCTGTCCCCTGCCTCAGCCTGGGGTCACAGGTGTGCAAGCTGCCATCAGCCCTGTGGTGCAGCTGTGAAGCATGCTGTCCCGTTCTGTAGCTGCCCCCTCCCCCAGTGTGACTTCCCTGGTGGCCAGTGCCCTCTCCACCACTGCCCCTCTGGTTTCTTCCCCAGCTGCAGCTTTTTGGGGGCCTTCTCAGTGCTGGTATCCCCCCGGACCCAGGTTCCTGCACCCCTCTGCATAGCCTTGGTCTGCTCACTCACTAACTCTTCTACTCAGACATTGCCCATCTGGTCCCTCCTGAGCGGGGCCACTTCTGGGGGAGGCTGAGGCAGGAGGATTGCGGTTTCAAGGCCAGCCTGGGTACACAGTGAGTCTGAGGTCAGCTTGTTTCAAAACAAAACATCAAAAAAAAAAAAAAAACTGTCCAAGGAAGAGACAAGAGAGTCTGTGGTTTTTTTGTTTTTGTTTTTGTTTTTTGTACTGGGAATCAAACTCACGACCTCACACTTGCCAGGCAGGCACTTGTGCCCCTGAACTAAATCCCCAGCCCTACTAGTTCTTTATTTTCAAAAAACACCCCCTGATTCAGAGGCCTCACTTGGTGGCAGAATGTATATATAGCATGCATGAAGGACTGAGTTCAGGCCCGGTGCACATACACACACAGAACTACCTGGGAGACAGACTGACAGACAGACAGACAGACTTATCTGCTGATATGAACCATTCCAAAACATGCGATATAAAAACAATTAAAGTTCACCATACTGACTCTGGTGGTAGAAAATAAATAAATAAATAAGTTTAAAACTGGGTGTGGTGGTCCACACCTGTAATCTCAGCACTCTGGAAATTGAGGTAGGAGAATAGTTTCCAGTTCAAGACCAGCCTGGGCTACAAAGTTCATAGTCGAGGCTGGGGATTTAGCTCAGCGGCATAAGCACCTGCCTTGCAAGCAGGCAGTCGTGAGTCGCGAGTTCGATCCCTGGTACCAATAAAAACAAAAAAGACGAAAAAAAAAAAAACAAAGTTCATAGTCATCCTGGACTACATAGTGAGACCCTCTCTCAAAAAAAAAAAAAAAAAAAAAGCAGGACTCAGCAGCGCCTTAAGCATCTGCCTGGCAAGCCCAAGGTGCTGAGTTCAATTTCCAGTACTAAAAAAAAAAAACTAAGGGGCTGGAGATTTAGCTCAGCGGCATAAGCACCTGCCTTGCAAGCAGGCGGTTGTGAGTTCGATCTCTGGTACCAGAAAAAAGAAAAAAAATAAATAAAAACTAAATACAAGCAGGCATGGTAGCACCCTTGAAATCACTGATCCCAGCACTCGGGGAGGCTGAAACAGAAAGAAGTTTGAAGTCAGCCTGGACTACATAGTAAGTTCACAGCCAGTCTGAACTACACAGTGAGCTCCTGTCTCAAAAGGACAGTATCTAAGATGAACTATTTTGTGAAAAAAAAAGTGTGCATAGGAGAATCTGTACATGGGTCCTAGCA